AGAAAGCCATGACAGGAATCCCCGCCATCATCCTAACATAACATCAATTAGACAGAAAACGTGGGTCGGGCCAGCTTCACTTACCATATCGGAGTGTGAGGCGCCACATCAATGATGGGGACTAGTTCAAGCAGCGAGCCGGCAGTATGCTCAATGGTCTTCATAACAGACTCTCGTCGCGAACAATCTGGGGAGTCTTCTGATGAAGGGAGATGCCTGAGAGCCATTCTTGTAACAGTTAAGAGGAAGCTGTAGTAGAGAAAATGAGTGACAAGTGCTACCGTACGCTCTTTGCCATCTATGATCGAATGAGCCTTGATCTGGCCACCCGGCCTGAAACCATGGTCAGGCAGCGTGTTTCTCCAGTCTTCAAGCTCTACCGTTAGCTGTTCGACTATATCCCGGTAATACTCGTCAGGATAGTCAGAAACACCGACGGCAAAAAGGGATGTGTATGCGCGCGAAAGAATGCGCGCGTGTGTGACGAAAGAGAGAAACCAGTCAAAGTCGCCGGAGAAGACTGACTCGGGCGTATACGGGATTGGACACGCTATGTCGCAGTCGACGATGCCCTTTGATGTGGTCAGTCATGAAGATACGAATCAATATTGAAGAGAGGGGAGAGATTTCCCTGAGTGTAGTCTTTTGAGGCACTTACTGAAGACCTTCCATGATGAAAGCATGTAACTTTTTCCAAAGAGTACAAAACCCAAAAGGTCCTACTATAGGCATCCGCTGCAGAACCGACGAACTTGGCGTCGGCCAAGTTCTGGGCTCTTCGAGTTGCTTCCGACATGAAAATGTGCTCCAGCGCAATCCCAGCTACGCCGAAAGAGTATATGGTCATTGCTGTCACTGCTTGAAAAGCTGTGACCGTGTCCGGCATGACCATCAAGTCTGTAAAGTTGGCTATAGCGACGGAGAAGAGTTTCCATGACTCCCCTTCACCGGCTCATAGCTACCTCCACCGTCGTACTGGCACCCTAAGGCAAGAACTGTGTGGTACAGGCAAATCCATGACTTACTCTTCGGCGATGAGTGGGGGTTGCCTTGGTTGGCTGCAGTGCTTTCGAAGGCCACACGATCCAGGAACGGAAAACGCGGGTGGACTTGATCGAAATACACTAGCTTTAGTGAGTTAAGTGTCGTAGGGAAAGAAGGCAAAGATTTGACTTGCATTGAATGTACCTAGCAGCAAGTACTTTGTCGTCAAGGCAAAACGGGCTATCGGCTGGGCGAGATAGGTTGCAACCGCGAAGCTTTATGGCTCTGATCCGCTCCTGAACAGACATTGCAATTCGTCGTACCAGGTCATGGACCCCGTTGTGACCAAGACATTGCGAGAGAGATTTCAGTCTGCTCTCAGAAAAGAAAGTCAAGTTGTTGGAACCACCTAGTAGTAGCAAACCTATTAACACGCCGACCGCTCACAAGCAAGACAAAGAGATTTTGTCATTGGTAGATCGCGTCATCGCACTTACCAAATATTCCGTTTCCCTTTCTGACTGTTAGAAGAGGTCCGTATAACGTTTGAGCCCTTACTTACTCTAACGTAATTTGTACTCTGGGTTACAGGCCTGGAGCGTTTCGGAGCTTTACGAGCTTTATCAAGGATCCGATCCACCAAGAGTTCCGGTATGCGGTACAATCTAGCCTGTCCGGCATCAGGCACGGAAGTGGAGCCGTCACTTGAATGGCTCGGCTCCGATGGCTGGGGCGATGACGGATTTGCGAAATCCAACACTGAAACAGTACAGTTTTGTCGAACTGCATCAGGCATGCTGCTCGACTCAGAGGAGTTTTTGGTGGGGTTAAACTGCCTTTGAACTATCGTGGGCGTCGTCGTCAGTGATTTGACAAGATAACAAAGGCGGTTATGTATTGTGGTGTCTAGACAAGCTTACCGTTTGGCCTACGGGCTAGCTTTCTCACACCAAAAACACATTCGGTCTTCCGTCTCTACCGAAGGTATGGTATCAGCGAACATGCAGCCGGAAGACACGGACATTAGACCGTGACAGAAGCTTACTGCGCAATTGCTGCAGCATCCCGAAGCACCTGGGCCTAACTGCGTGTCAGCTTCAACTTTTAGGGTGGGAATTCGCAGACTGCCGAGGCACTTAAAATACCGGGACAGCGAACTTTCCGCGCAGTGCACGCATCGCATGACCTATGGGTTCTGGAGCTTGTGGCATTGATAGGCATCTTCGGGAGACTTGACTTCCAAAAAGGGACGAAACCCCGAGAAAGAACAGATAAAGGCTGAAGTTTTCCAGATCCAAAAACTTGGGGTGATGGCGAGACGTCACGGCAAAGGGGTCTGTAACGGCCACACAAACACAACTTGGGCGTTACCGAACTCGGGGTTTAACTTCCCAATTGGGTAGTGATTACCGAGGCGCGGTGTACGGAGTACTAACGACGAAGTCGCCGATCATGGCCAGTGTGTTCAGTGAGAACACTTGCTCTTGACCCCGCAAGACAATGAAAATAACGACGTAAAAGTTTTAAGGTTTTGTCTCCTAATTGCTTGAGATATTGGAATGGGGTGGGGTGATCAGGGCCATACTGGGGTGCCTGAACTTTCTTTTTGACTTTTCATCTTTTGCGAATAGATAAGCGGCCCTGACCCGGGCCATAGACTAGATGGAGCGGGGGGCGAGCGAGCGTAACTTGATCAACAATTAACAATGCATCTTTTTACCGAATTCACAGAGCCTTTCGTGACGACCCGCAGCCTGGTCATGATCATACAGAACTTTTGGAAGCAATCACCTTAGTTAAGCGCCTACTGATGATTTGATCAGGACTTATGCCCGGGTCAGATCCAGCCTCGTCAGACTTTAAGAGAAGAATCCTGTGTTACTTTGAAGGTTGTTGTGCTTTGTGTACGCAGCGTACCGCATCGCCAAAGTCCTGATCACCCCGCACGCTTCCAATATAACCACCGTGAGTAATTAGCTCTAGACTTTGATCTCACCCCAGAGAGAGTGGGTCAGTTAGCGTTGTAAGCTCAGCCAATGGGCTCTGAGAACCTGCTGGTTGCAAGCAAAAGTAATTATTGCGTACCAGAGGATGATAGGTGATGTTGTGAGAAATTACATTAAAGATTCTTAAGTCCCGAAACTCCTGCAACCTGTCGTGATCGTTGCAAGAAATTTATCATGTATCTTTCATTAATTATGGGAAAGTATTGTTATTAACGCGATCATGTTTGAAAACCGATGCTTGCGTACCAAAATGTCGCGCTGATCTACAGATCAAGCCTTGGCAACCGAGGCACCCTCCTTCAGTCGAGCTGATGCGAGAAAAATGAAGATGTAGTCTCGCTTATTTGCCATATAATTGGCGTTGTCTATAACTCATCAATCTGGTCGAGTAAATGGTTACATTGGAATCCAAAGCCACTTCCAGCCCCAATATGCACATAGCCGTCTTCCGCCTGAGAATGGAACGGTCCCAACTCACGATTGCTCACCCAGAAAGCCTCCAAGTCCAGTTTCTTTTGAACGCCCTTGAGGGGTAAAAAGTTTTGATGAAGCCAAAGACGACACAATCAATAATTGTTTGTCAACTTTGTTGAGTGCGCCGGGTCGCCGGTGGTTAATGTGCACAAGAAGTGCACTTGACCGACCGGTTATTACGGACGTTGGGACCGGTTCCTACTTCGGTACCTGTGCTTCTAAAAGTGACCTATGGATGTGACTGCGGTGATAAGCCTCGAATAGCAAGTCTTTACTACCTGCTGTCCAGCTTCTCGGCCTAGGGCAAGGCCATTTGGCCAACGCTTCGGTGAATCTTACAGGGCCGCCGCTGCAGCAGAGTCTTTTGAAGGATTTTGTTATCGCAGTGCAGAAAACATAGCATTTCTGGCCTCAGGAATAGCACTAGTGTCCTTGGAGAAAACAAAAAGGTAGGTTGAGTTGATAAGGTCGACAATACGTCCTTTAAAGAAGCCAGAGAAGCTGCATGCCAAAGTGCTTGAATAATGAGGTATCTCTTACGAGAATCTAGGTTCCAAATCATTCTTAGAATATACAGAACGCCTAATCTATGATATTGTAGTTAGGACTGGACAGATTTGAACCACTTGAACCCACATGATGACCACAAACAACCTATTGAGTAAACCAGGCCTCCAACAAGCGAATTATATTGACCGTTTTTATAGTGATACAAAGGGTTCAAAGGGTCTTCAAAAAAACGTTGTATCATATATTCTAATACCCACGCCCTAATTATCGATAATGAGACTTACGTGACAGCGCTTACAAGTGTACTTTGACCCTTGCGGTGCGGGTGAGATGTTGCATCATAGCCTTTGGACTCTGAACCAACGTGAATACATAAAAGGCATCGCAATGCAAACTGACAGGGTTGCTCGATGTGTCAGAGGATCATCTTCCGGCGTACGCGCCTGACGAAATGCGAATCGAGGAAAATGAACATCTCTACAGCCTACCGTCCGCTCGACTCAGAACACAAGGAAACATAACAGCGGGCTCTGGAAGCTCCATATGATCTCTTGTCAAAAGTGTACTGATACCCTTGGCCTGGAGGCTCGAAGGTGTGAAAGAGTATGAATGCCCGTGTCATTCTTTGACCAGAAACATCTGTGGAAACATAGACTTCGAGGGCCAAAGACATCATGACGGCTGAAAACTAGACGTAATGTTCTTTTCAATGACTGCTATCTCGGCCAGATTGCCACTCCTGTTGCGCATCGAGGATCTACATTCAACATGGTGGATTATGTTCAGGGGCTTGTGGGCCAATATCACCATATGCGGCTAGCTTCATGCATGTTCTCCATGGAGCTCCTCAGCGAACATCACTCTGCACATGCAGAATAGGCACAACTGGATGTTTGAGAACGAATTGGGACTAAGGCTTATGCCAGAAATTTGAAGCAAAGTATTTGATCCCCCGCTCGCTGGAAGCTTTGTATGACAACTTTCACAACTCTTGAACAATCTGACTCTCATACCACAAAAATCACGATGGCTTCTTCGCAAGGACACGAAGCCTCTTTTGACTACATAATTATCGGTGGCGGTACAGCCGGCCTGGTTGTGGCTTCTCGTCTCAGTGAGGATGACGACGTACGCGTCCTCGTTGTGGAGGCTGGTGCGGATAAGAGCGCTGATCCTCTGGTCCTCACCCCCGGTCTGGTGGCCGGTGTGTATGGCAAAGAAGAGTATGACTGGAATTTTACTTCAGTCCCTCAGGTAGCTGAAATAACCTCTACAACTAATCAAGCAGAAGTGTGCTGAAAGTCAACAGCCGGGTCTGAACAACCGAAGAATCAATCAAGCACGAGGCAAGATGCTTGGCGGCAGCTCCGCTTTGAACTTCATGTTAATGCTTTACCCATCAAAGGGCATCTTGGATGCTTGGGGTGCTCTCGGAAACGATGGCTGGAGCTTCCAAGTTCTCGCCCCGTACTTCCGCAAGCTCGGCACTGATCACCCGCCGCCTCAGTCTGCCAAGGACATGGTTGGCTTGACCTATCATGATGAGAAGTTGAGCGGAAATGGACTGCTTCAGGTGTCTTATGGAGAAGGTTACAGTCCCATGAATGCGGCTTGGATGCATACCTTCGACAAGCTTGGCCTCGGTGTGACCGGTGATCCTCGCAGCGGCAAGTCTTTTGGTGCTTTTCAAAACCCTTGCAGCATCGATCCGGAGACCAAAACTCGAAGCTTCGCAGCAAGTGCATACTACAATCCGGAGATCGCCAAGAGATCCAATCTTGTGGTCTTGACTGAAACCCTAGTGAAGAAAATAATTTTCGACAACGTTGAAGGCGATGTTTCGGCGACCGGTATCCAAATTGTCACCAAAGATGGCCAGGAGAAAACCATTTCAGCCAATATTGAGGTTGTGCTTTCAGCTGGCGCTCTTCACACACCACAGCTGCTGGAACTCTCTGGTATTGGAGGGAGAGAATTGCTTGAATCTCACGATATCCATATTGTGATCGACAACCCCAATGTAGGAGAGAATGTTCAAGACCACCCGGTAGTTTGTCAGAGCTTCGAAGTCAACGAAGGAGTACCATCAGGCGACGTTCTCCGAGACGGGAACATACTCAACGCTGTTGTCGGTCAATATCAGGCTACGCGTGAGGGACCCTTGGGACAGAGCACGATTAGTTCTGCATACACACCACTTGCCGACATCAACGGTCTATTGTCGAAAGAAGCGAAGAAATCCCTCCTTGACGCTAACGTGGCGCACTCAAACACTGCATCCGGAAGGGCCATTCGGTCTCTTATCGAGTTGTCCGACGAACCAAGCAGCCAATATCTCCTGTTTCCGTCACAAATTACCATCAACGACCATCCGGCCAACATGGCCGAGTACATTCTCCCCTCGCGGCCGGAGAACTACATCACCGTCATGACGATACTCAACCACCCATTTTCCCGCGGCACAGTTCATATTACAAGCCCCGATGTCAGAGTCCTTCCGGCTTGGAATCCAAAATACAACTCCAACCCTCTTGACTTGGAGCTTCTGGCTCGCAATGTGCAATTCGTCGAGAGAATTGTGGGAACCGAGCCTTTCAGCCCACTGCTCAAGCCTGGTGGCAAACGTCTACCAGACTTGAAGGGTGACTATCTTGAGAGCGCCAAGGAGATCGTGCGCCAGAGGCAAATTTCCGTGTTCCACGTATCGGGCAGTTGCGCAATGCTCCCGCGCGAGCAGGGCGGTGTCGTCGATGAGCGGCTTCGTGTATACGGGGTGAAGAAGCTTCGTGTCGTTGATGCGAGTATCTTCCCTATTGAGCCTCTCGGTAACATTCAAAGCACTGTGTATGCGGTTGCGGAGAGGGCAGCCGATCTCATCAAGGAAGATCGGAAAGCAGGCAACATCTAAAGCCGTAAACACATGTGGAGACCCGTATCGACATATATACGAGTTGACAACGGTTCGTAACGACGTCGTAGTGTGCTATGGCATGATACAATAGAGCTTCATATAGTTAACTGCTTCGGGATTTCAAAGCCTGGCGCATATTCGCAAGAGCCAGGTGGTGTTATGGCCCAGTGCAGAACCTTGCACACAAGTTCTTTGACTTCGAGTCCCGCATGGAAGATTCGGCACTGTACTCTCTGGTGTATCTCGGGCAGGGTTAGAGGTAGGAACGCTAAGGTCTCTCGACTGATACGGTATGTATTCAGTTCATCTATATAGCCAGGCTGGCAAACAATATAACGAAGTCATTTTCAGAAAGTGTGGTTGTTATAAGCGCAGGGTCGTCGGACACTTCGTGTGTCCCACCGCGCCTGCTCGTCCCGCCTAAATGCTGCAAGGTTTACCAACGGTGACCCATATAGGTGTTCTGTTATCTGCTGCCACTTCGGCATGTCCAGATTCGTCAAACCCTTCAATATGACCTACAGGGGTAACGTCCCCTTTCCTGAACCTGAATCCAGTATAAGTGGGGGATGGTACGGTCCGGGACCCACCTTTCTGTTTCCTGTGTTCCGTTTGTTTCTCAACTGCCAAATCAAGACACGCTACCACGTTCATGTATACTTACCAAGCCAAAAGGGATCATACTCGTGCGCGGCCCCCAGCATATGACATTATCAGCTAGACATTCATTCAGGAGTACTAGGCTTCATTCTGTGGAAGTATGAGTATCGCTCTGTAAAAGTCCTAGCAGGCAAGCTTCCATCTGACTACTATCAACTGACATGGAACACTGAAACTTTCTTACTCTATCAAGGCTCAACGAACTTGTAGTTATTAGCAAACACCTGATTGGCAGAGGAAAAAAATGCGGTACAATCGTCGCTTAAATATGGCTGGTTTGTGCATACTTTGTAAACGTTCTGAAAGGAAAAGATCTAACATATTTTTCAGTGTGGGACCTGCCAGAAGCGGAGTAGCGGTAGCGTCCGTTCGGGTGAATATCGCGTCGATATCCCATCGACGGACGAGCGGACTGAAGCGCGTACATTGCCATAGCACACGGGGAAACGGCCAGCGGAAGATGGACACCAAACAATTCTCTCCAATCAGAGATTCCTTGTCCCTGTCAACATTAGAGAGAAGTGGGGGCTAACCGGACCTCATTCAGCGTTGCGATTCACTCGCACTCAATCCGGTGGGATTTGGGGCCCCCGGCACGGTCTTAATATGAGCACATATATAGGCCTTTTTTTCACCCCTGGATGTTCATGTACAAGGTTGAATGCATAAATCAGGTAGCAAAAACAAATTAAAAAACCACTGAAGGTCAAGTTGATGCAACAATATGTGGGCTTTTACCCCTTAGATGCGCCTCACTGGCAGCTGTATACGACATTGGGGCGAAGGCAGTGCTCGTGTTAGTTAGGCAAGAATTGAGAAGATCTGTGCGATGGGTTGTCGATGCTGTCATTAATAAGCGCTGCGGCCGCCATCACGCAGGTTCTTCTCTCTTCACGGTGTTGAGATCACTCGCTACTCCCGTCTTGTCTGCATTCATTCGCTCCACATTTACATTCGTTTCGTGGTTTGGCCTGCTATTAGTCTGGTTAGAGGTGTCATCGGCCTCAAAAGCTCACTTTCACTCTTTCATTTTGTTGTTTTCGCTGCCATCTCGACCGAATCAACTGTTCCTCTCGTTTTTAAGCTTAGTCACATCACGCCATCATGCGCTTCTCAGCCGCGATATTGGCCGGGCTGCTAGTCCTCGCCGACCACAGCTCGGCCGCCGGCCTCCACGAGCTTGCTGTAAAGGCAGGTAAGAAGTACTTTGGTACGGCCACAGACAATGGCGAGCTCTCAGACTCGGCCTATACGTCCATTACGAAGGACGCCAACCTTTTTGGTCAGATGACACCCGGCAATGGACAGAAATGGGACTACGTCGAAGCGACCCAGGGCATTTTCACATACAGCTACGCCGACGTAGTGCCCGACTTCGCCAAGAAGAACGGCCAGATCTTGCGCTGTCACACGCTGCTCTACCGCGCCCAAACACCTTCGTGGGTGACGAACGGGAAGTGGACCAAGGCCCAGATGACGTCCGTCATCACAACGCACATCAACAACGTCGTAGGTCACTACAAAGGCGAATGCTACGCGTGGGACGTGGCCAACGAGGCCATCGATGACGATGGCAACTACCGTCAAGACACCGCCTTCTATAACGTGCTTGGCCTGGACTATATGACGCTGGCCTTCAACACGGCTCACGCTGCCGACCCAGCGGCCAAGCTCTACTACAATGACTACAACATTGAGAATGTCAATGCGAAGCAGCAGAAGACACTGGAGCTGGTCAGGTTTATTCAAGAGTCCGGCGCGCCGATCCACGGTGTTGGTATGCAGGGCCACTTCATCGTCGGCAGTATGCCGAGTCAGGAGGACCTCGAGACCGCTGCCAACCAGTACACCGCCCTGGGCGTGGAGGTGGCTTACACCGAGTTCGACGTTAAGTTCACCAGCCTGCCGTACACGGCCGCTGGCCTCAAGTCGCAGGGTGACGCGTACGCGGCCGTCATCAAGGCCTGTCTCAACGTCGAGGGCTGCGTCGGCTGGACCATCTGGGACTGGACCGACAAGTACAGCTGGGTGCCGGGCACTTTCCCCGGCCAGGGCGGCGCGTGCCTCTGGAACAGCAACTTCGAGCCCAAGCCCGCCTACTATTCCGTATCATCAGCCCTTGCTGCCGCCGCCACCAAGGCTTCCTCTTCCTCGGCCCTGCCCGCAACCACCAACACAGTCGTCGCCACGTCTTCGGCCAGCAGCGCCGTTGTTTCCGTTTCCACTTCTGCTTCTGCCGCCGAGGTCTCCACCTCTTCTTCGACTGCCGCCGGCGCTGCCACCACCACTACCAAGGCTGCGTCTAGCGCCGTGGTTGCGTCTGGCACCAAGACGGCATCCATCGTTTTCACTTCTACTTCTAGCCAGGCCTCGAACGCTACTGCTCTCCCACCTAGCGCTACCATTATCCCACCCAGCGCCACCGTTCTCCCATCTAACGCTACCGTTCTTCACCCCAACGCTACCGCTTTCTTCCCTAACGGTACTGCCACCTTGACTCGCCCTGCTGGCGGCATTACCACTCTCCCTGGCGGCGTTGTTCCCAGTATCTCTGGCGGCGTCATTGAGAGCACCTCTACTCCCGTCATCGGACGCCCCTCCACCGTGACACTCCCGGGTGACATTCAGACCGTCAGCCTCACCCAGACCGCCATCCCGAACCCCATCTCCTCTGCCGGTAACGGTGGTGATTCCCCGAGCCCCACCTACTCTGCTGGCACTGGCGGCGACAGTGCTGTCACCGCGGCGCCCAGCTACACCACCTCCACCATCACCGCAACCAACATCTACACCATCACCTCATGCGCCGCCGACGTCCCCGACTGCCCCGGTAGAATCGGCAGCCCCACGACCGAGATCATTGTCATCACAACAACCGTTCCTTGCTCACAGACGACGGCTATTCCTGGGGTTCCCACAGCTGCTGCTGTCACATCCGGTGCACGCCCGTGGGACAACGACACGATTACGTCTAGCGCTGGACCCAAAGCGTCCACGCTGCGCTCCGTGACTCTTGGTATGGACACGACGCCTGCTCCGACCAAGGCCCTCGTTGCTCCGGGTGGAAGCGCGGGATGCAAGAAGAGGCGTCGCCGTGCCAGGAGACATGCTCTTGTGGCTACTCATGACGCTTAGAGGCTCTTATGCCTTTGAGATGAGTGCTATATCCATTGAAACCGCGAAGTATATGGGCCTGCAGCGAGCGTGCGATGGGAGGCCCCTGTTTTTTATCTAGCCACTGACTTCTTTCTACGTACTCTAGTCTACAATGACACTAATTAGTAAAATATCATCTTCCTTCAAAAGTTTGCCATTATATAAGAGAAAGAAAGCATCATGTAGAAACCAAACGGTATTGACTTGGGAACTTGTTGACTTGGACTGCTATAGTCTCTATAGGCTCTCTGTGAGTTAGGGTTAAAAGAGTAAGTAGGATTGTAGGCGTGCAGCATGGCCCGATGGTATAATGAGGTTAGGTAAAGAAGAGGAAGGTGTTGAACACATTTAGATATCCAATACAAATGTGTTATACTCAGTGATACATAGAGTTGGTGTCTAATCCAAGAATACTACCAACGTACTTGCTGGCTTACTAGCTGATCTTGTAAGGTGGAACACACACTATTTAGTATCCCAGTGCTTGGAACGCATTAAAGTAAGATCTGAAGTAGAAACAGTTGACAGGGGAGATTGATTGACAAGTGCGTAGACATCCTGCGGAAGTTCATTCAGCATTAAAGCACTATGGTGTACGCACACATGACCCCAAGCCCTTTCCAAGGTGCCACGCAGGTCAGATGAGGCTGTTCAGCAGCGATGAACCATTGCGTTGTCGCAAGCCATGAGTTTTCGGCCATGGCGGCCCTCCTATTGCACCAAGGTTTCTGCACGATCCACTCGATACAGTCGTATCCGTCACGGCCTTCTTGGGTCCCGTACGCGTGAAGATCGCCGCCGGATTTGAACGACCCTCGCGCGTCGATGTTGACAACAGCGTAACCGCGGGCGACCCACTCAGCAGGGTCAGGAGCATCCCCCTTTTCCAGATCACTCGTCGCAGAGCGAGGCACGCCGACTCTCCACGGGAACATGTCGAGCTTCTGCACACTGGTTCCGGTCTTGCCATATGGGCTCCAGGGCATGATGGCTGAGACAGGCTCGTCGTCGGATGTCAGTGGACGAAAAACGTCAGCCAAGAGCTCGACGCCATCCCAGAGCGGAATGCGGATATCTTTCTCCTAGACTGTGTCGACTGCGAAAGCCATACGACCCTCCTCTTTGGCCCATCCTCTGGCAAAGATTTGCCTCTCAGAAGGGCCATGGGTAACCCAGTTATTCTTTGACTCATGTTGAAGCTCGGTAAGCAAGGCGGGTACACTGAAGGGCTGTGCAGTTTGTGGCATTGTGGCAAGTTTTTCGGGTTTCAACTTGCAATAATAATGAAAAACCTCGAGATAGGTGAGGGTCAGTTGCAACTTTCCACGTATTATGAAGTATACTACCTACTAATCACTCCGCAATTCCCTAGTTTCGTTTTGCAATGCTCTAAGATCGGGCTCCCCAACCCCGCAATCGGAGACACGCCATATCCAGGTCAGACACTGGGCTGAGCAGGGGTGTGCTGAACTCTTAACCTGCACTGGTAGGAGCCCTTGGAGGGACGAAGTCTTACGATTTATGAAGAGCAACAGCTGTTGACCAGTACAAAGTTGCCAATGTACCTCAACCAAGCTTCACACAGCGCTCTGTATATTCTGTCGGTGATCTCGAAGGCCTGGAGCATACCCTTTAGCTTGCGACTCAAGAATAATCGACATCTCCTTGGCCATCCTTGAGACCGAGGACCCAATTGCCATAATTCGTGATGCTTCTTTATATAAACGAGGCACGCTGCGGCTACTGTGTAGGAGACCGACCCCAGTAATGTGAGGTATTTTGTGATTTCTGACCTCCAACCAGCCGTTCCTTTGATCTACATCAACGACTTGGTCGAGTCGGATGATCTCCGTGCTAGACGTTCTGACGCTGGCCCCACTTCCGGTGGAATCGGGATCTTGTTGCTCAACAACATCCACGTACAGCACCATGTAGAGCACACAGATTAAAACGCTTAGGATGTCGAGTAATGTCGCGACTCTAGTAGTGCGGAAGTATTGAAGAACCTGCGCTGCGTAGTACAAGCAGTGTCTTGCTCTGCCGACATTATGCGGTATAATGTCTAGCAGTTCGGACCGGGCGTTGCTGTGACCTACGTCTGTCGTCTGCCATTTGCTGTAGGGGTAGAGTAGACGCAATGGTGTAAATGAGCAAATGGCAAGAACTCGAGAAAGCAAGGCGAAGTCAGTCGAGTTGGTGCCGGCGCCCGTTTCGCGCAAAGCCTGAGAGCATCCTACTTGCGACAAAGCATCGAAGGCTTTCTGAGAGAGCATTGTCACCATGCCTAGAGCTAGACCCGGTTGACTAGCAGTACTGCCAACAGAGTCAAGTCCCATAGCTCGCAGCAAATCGCTCTCAGCGGCTTGCTGCACGAAGGCCGAGAGCAGTATTGTAGATCTAGCCGGTTGCTCCAGACTCGCCGGCACTACATCGCCGAGACCGACGCGTGCAAGTAGAGCGCAAAGAGTTGACGAAGGCTGCGGTGGTGGCGGGAAAAGGTGCCACTGCTCGAAACTTGATGACCAGTACGGATCAGCTGTGGGTACCGGAGTTTGCAGCTCAGCAATTGAGAGCAGAGGAGGAAACATGAAGAATGTCGCCTGGAGACACTCGGACACTTTTTGTGTAAGTTCGTAGCCAAGGGTCGGCTCAGTGAAGATGACTTACTCCAAGTGAAGTGAATGATCCGGCGTTTGGCTTCGGCTTGTATCCACTGGAACCATGCGTGGTTCACGTCTTCGGCGGATGTATGCGTGTGCATCAAAGTGCCCTCTCGAGACAGCAATTGGCGACAAAGGGTGACGAGGATATTCCGGTGGAACTGCGTCTCGACGATAATGTTCCACTCGCCCGAGAGCCACAGGCTTTGGTGAAACAACAATAGGGACTGTACACAGGTCAAGGCGTCAGTGCCCGGTAGCTCTCGAATCTGCAATGTATTGAATGTCGCATCAGCACGATATCATGAGGAATGGTTCAAGAGTGGGCCTTACATCTCCTCTCAGCATGTACTGGGCAAGTCGCTGTAGTAGAATAATGTGATCTTGCTTGTGGTGCGCTGAGGAGTACCGACTGCCGAGACACACCACGCTGAGCACCAGTTGCCACGTCTCGGGCGAGGCCTGAAATGTTGGAACGTGTAACAAAGGCATCCGCGGATGAAAATGCTCAAAATACAATTGCATGTATGTTTCAAGGTGTCGCAAAGATGGGAAGTTAGTGTCGAGACCTTGGGCTTCATGCTGTGGCAGTCGGGCTTTGATGGCTTGGATCATGTATGCTCGCGTTTCTGCTGTCACAGGAGGTACATGAGGAATGTGCTCAGCGATCAGGATGTCTTCTTCTTCCGCTGTCAGATTGTCTGGTCCAATAAAGACCTCAACGGCCTCCACACCTACTCTCGGTTGGCCATCCGCAGATTCACCGGCGGCAGCCAGAGTGGTGTCTCCGAAGCAGAAGTCTGTCGATGTCCCAGCTCCAAGAGAAGGCACTGGCGAGAACGGGATCAGGAATTGGGCAGGGGTTAAGAGGGCGTCCCATGGGAGGTCTGGCTCGAGCGAAGGTTGGTCCGAGACACAATACTGCGAGTTCAAAGGCTGCAGGTGCTGACGAGGCGGAGAAAGGGGAGCGGATACGTCGCCATCGGCTGCAGGCTGTGCAACGAGGAGAGTCTCGTCGTCGCCAGAATTTGATTGGTATAAGCAGCGACGACCTTTCTTTGTACAGTTGGTACAAGGTGTCGGCTTGCGGCCATCGCAGCGTTGCTTAGCTCTGGCGCAGGCTTCGCATGCACGACGTTGATCTCGTGAGAAATGATCATCATTGTTTTGCGTCCATTCAACGAGCAATGCAGTGTCATGTGTGCGGACATGCCGTTTCAACGTGTCCCTTTCCCCCGCTTTGAGTTAGTCACAGACGTCACGCAAGATGTATTGTGCAAGGCACGGAGAATGCACACCTCCGAGGGAATGCTCTCTTGCAGATACTGCATGTGTGAGAACGACGGCCGGAGTGGCGGTCCAGATGTCGATTGAGATGCTCGCGCCGACGGAAGGTCTGCCCGCATTCGGGACACGGCAGTGATGCGGAGGAGGAGGAGCATGGGGAGTCATCGCCGTTACCGACGCCGTCGGCAGCGCCATCGTTATCGGCAGCGCCATCGTTATCGGCAGTGCTGCCTCGGTTGGCAACCGCGGAGGCACGCAATCGCATTTTGAAACGATGTAGTGAAGTGTGAAATTGAGGTATGTCTGCGGAGCAAGATGGGGAATGTTTGGGGTTGTGCAATCTCGGGGCGGCGGCGGCGGCGGGGTGGCTGCTGTGGCGGAGTCGGAGTGGGGGTGGGGAAGGAGGAGAATCGCGGCGGGGGTGGAGGGATGCCGAGGAGTAACTCCCGTCTTGCACACTCTACCGACCGTCACCACAACTCGCGAATGTTGACTAGACGAGATTCACTTCGCCCACTCAATCAAGTGTAACCACGTTTACTTCCATAGATCAAATTGCCTCACGCGTGTCTAGAAGTCGCTACAACTGAGACGTTATGGTGGGCATTATGGCACAAATTGGTCGTGATCAGTCTTGTTTGTATTATAATCATTTTGCAATATTCAAAATAGTATATCCGATGTACCCAGTTGGAGTTCAGTCACCTTGGAACCAGTCTCCTCCTCGATGGCTTGCGTAGCTGGGCTTACATCCACCTTCCACGGCTTGATTGGCGCCTCATCGTGCAAACACCAGATCACCTTCTTCGGCTCTCCCAGAAGTTTCGACACTTGCACCGCGAACTGCGCCGCCGATCCATCAAACGGTCGCCCGTTCAAGTTCGCCCGCCCAGCAATTGCCTGAATGAGCACGTCTGGCCGTGGCTGCACTGTCTCCAATATTCCATCGTACCCACCCAGATGCCCGTTCCATAGCAGTGTCTTGCGCTCTCCGAGCAGGAAGTTGTACATCAGCTGCCCTCCGTCAAAGTGGGACATACATTCCCTCGCCGGACCGTTGATGTAGTCGACGAAAGAGCGCATGCCCGAGTCCATAGCGTCGTGAGGCATGTGGTCGCCGATCTTGAGGAGGCCATGTTTCATACCGAATGTGATATCCAGTGTGCAAGCGTACTGGCTTGCTCCCCCAATGTACTCCTTGCCTGTGTCCATGATCGCAGGCACATCAGCATGCGAGCTACCAGGCATCAGACAGTGCAATGAAGGCCAGACATGGACGGAAGCCGCTGCCAATCTCGCATCTGGAGCCGCAGGAGCGCCTGGTGGCCCAGGGGCGACATCAACTTCACCACGAGCCGCAGCTTGACGACACTCGAGAGGAAAAAGAGGGATGCGCTCGCCACCAGATACTGGGATCAACTGGTCCTCGGGCACTCCAGCTGACCGCAGGACGTTGATAGCTTCGCCATTGGCGACAACGTGCGCCCCGGTTTTGATTGCGATCTTATCGGCTCCGGGAAGACTGAAAGACACCAAGTGAGCGGGACTTGTGTATGGATCGACGTGATTGTGATGCTAAGGTAGTATGACACTCACTGGTCAAAATGTGCGTGGGAGATAAAAATGTAATCCGCTTCAGCCACATCGTCGATAGCCAACACTTTGGGCAGAACATCTGGGCGATCCAGCCATGTGTCCAAGAAGATGACGAGACCGTTGGCTTTCACACGAAATGTGGTAGCACCTGGGTAATTAATGAGCCTCACGAACCTCAGCTGGGCAGTCGAGAGACAATGAACGTAGTAGCAACTTACCGAACCACTCGATTGTTGCATCCATGCTGAAGTTTTTGTCCGTCAGCATCGTGAAGTGGAGAAGGGAGCAAGTTATAATTAGTTCAGATAGACATGGCTTCGTCTGGATTGAACTTGAACCATCCACCTGTATATAGCCAGGTTGGAGCCGGAGACCCTCCGAAGACTAAGCCCGGGGACCCCCGCAACCCCGCACTGCCAGACGAACTTGTCCAACACTCCGACCCCTCCAGGCACTGTTCCGTCCAACGCCGTCTCTACAACTACCTAGGCGACTATCAGAATCCTGTCGACAAGCCGTGTCCAGCCTTCGTCTCTGACCTGTGCCAATGATCATCGTCAAGCGACAATCCCGTTGGGCCTCACAAGCACACCGCCAGACCAGTCTACACCGCGGTACTTCTTCCTTTGCCCGGTCGTGTCTTGCCATCCATCTTGTTCAACGACCACCACTTGTACCCTGTCGTCATTGATGCTCTCCCCCAGTGTGTTCTCCACACATTGTGTCAGTACTTCCAGGTCTAAGAGATCACGCAACGCCGCTGTCCTGTCGTCGCGGCCACCCACGCGTAGGGAAGATGATGCCCTGGAATCTTCGAAATGTGGTACTTATGATGTACCAGCGTGCCATCTGCCAGCTATTGCCCTCCATGCGTCGCTCCACCTTCAGAGTCGATATCTGCGCTTGGATAGAACCAGCCTGCTTCGTACTTTGGTGTCTTGAACTCGGTATCCAACGCTTGTAATGCCAATTGGATAAGTCGCTGCTTCTCCGCGTATTCGGGGTGCCCTTTGTCGAATAATGCCGTACCTGCTGCGAGGTTCTCGGCTTTACTCTGCGACACGCTAACGTCCATGACACGAAGAATCTCAGTGGTACGCTGGCTGATGCCGCACGCTTTTGGATGGGTTGAAGTTGACTGGTGGCGCTCGAAAAGCATATTTGAGATGCCTCGCAAAGATAGGAGTATGGGACATGTCAGGCCAACTGGGCCGCCCCCTATAGTAAATACAGGAATGACTCTATTATTTCCTTCACTGGCCATGGTCGCAAATCTCACTGGATGGCTGAAGTATGTAGCGAGAGTGTGCTAACGATATATCAAAAGCACCAAGAAAGCGGAGGTTACATTGGGTAGCGCAGGCCTGACGTGTCTTGTGTTCCGCAGCACACTCAGCAAGAGAGAACTTTTCTTAATACACAATACGACACGATAAGGGCATGCCTAAAACACCGTGTCATTCCTCCCGGTGACGAAGCGGTGGGGTTCCCCGTTTGCTGCGGAGAATGCTCAACAACACACGCAATGGGTGCTCGCTCCTAGAGTATCCATCACAAAGGCGAGTTCCCGTTTCTAGACGGTAAAGCAAATACTGCACATACATCGATTCGCTACATCCCCAACATCCTTCACAATTGTCAGCACATCGGGTCAATCGCTAGATACAGATCTTCTACGTGCACTACTTCTCATGTGATACATAGTCTACCTTTACTTCGGCTTTCAAGCCAACAGTCTCCAAGGCTGAAACCAACCATCCCATCGCGGCCATAGCCATTCCGATGAAACTTATCATCATCTTGCCCGATACCGTCGTCAAGTTCAGCGTAGTTACGGTCTCACTGGCCTTCACCATCTTGAATGCGCGCGTGTACATCTCTGCGTCGAATGTGCGTACTAAAGCGGCAAGCTCACCATCAGACGGCACGACCTGCTCGAATATTGCTTGGTGAAAAAGATCGACAAGATTGCCGGCATCAGTCAGTGCCTGGTTTGCCCCCATGCCTCGACCCGGCGTCATGGGATGCACGGCGTCACCGAGAAGGATCACTCGCGAATTCTTGTCGATACCGTTTCGCCAATCCGTCTTGGGCTTGACGGAGCTGGTCACAAGGCCTGTCCGGATAAAGTCTGTCGCCGATTGCATGATGAGTTCCAAAGGTTTGCCGTAGCCCAGGTCGTTTCGTACATAGTCTATGAGGTGAGGAACAATCTTCTGAGGATCCGAACCGGCCTTCGCTATCAAATCGTCACCCAGAGCTCTGGGTACAAGAATCGACCAGAACAACGTGTATGACTCTGTGCCGCCGGTACCTAGGTCCTTCTTGGGGTCATAAACGGATGCAAATCCAGTAGCGTCCGTGCCGCCCAAGAACATCACCGAGCCAGATTTGACGAGCGACTCGGGTAGTTCATCACGTACAGATCGTGAAATGATGCCGCGAGACTGGATCAAGGTCTGGGTCTGTAGCTTGATCTTGTTCTCGAGGCCAACCTGCCGGTTGACCTGGCTGCCGCTACCGTCTGATGCGATAAGAATATCGGCATCCTGTGAAGCCTGGCCGTCGAAATGCAGCTGCACGCCGCGTCGATCACCCGGCATGAGCTCAAAGCGCGTGAAGGTATGTTTGAAGTGAACCCGCCCTTGAACAAGCAACGGCTGCAGGAGAGCACCACGCAGTCCGTGTCTGGGTATGGCCTGACTCTTGGGATACAACTTGAGATCGCCCAGGCGTAGGCGAACCGCGAAAGTGTCGGGATCAACAATCGTAGGCGCTGCCGCTTGATCACCGTCCCAAACCTCGCGGATCGAAGACCAAAGTTCAAGGTCGGACACTGTCTTCAGAGCGTTTAGGCCGTTGGCACTGATGCGGAGCTGATACCCGCCACGCTCTGAGTCGAATGCAATCGTGTCGCGTTCGAAGACCTGGACATCGAATCTCTCGGCCGGGTCCTTCAGCAAGCCGTTGGCGACGGCAAGTCCAGAGATGCCCGCGCCAATGATGGCGACTCGGATTTTGCGATGATTCCCCTCCTCGTGGGGAAGAAATTTGGACGAGGCCATGGTGGGTGGCTTGTTTGATTAAAGTGATTGGAAGACTTATATACACAACAACCAACCGCGAAAATTTGAATGAAGAGAAAAGGGGTTCTTCCCGTCCCGAAAGTTTCGAAGTCCGTCCGATATATCACTTGTGCCCAGAGGCCCATATTGTGGCCATGCAATGTTGCTCTGGAGGGACGGCACAACACCACGACCACACCGGAATACCCCGCAATGCGGAGGCGTCCGTATGAAGGAACCTTGCAAGGCGTATATTCTTCGTCCCACTGTAAAAGCACCCATCGGACGGGAGCTTGTGTGTCGAACGTGGTGTATGTCCAATGCCGCCAACATCCAGCGCATCTGACGTCTTGAGAAACACAACAGCTATGGCAACAATCAACATTTCAGGAATAGCCGTACCCCGCCTATCCTTCGGTCTTGGGTCACTAATGTCATGGGCACCCGGCCATTCTCACCCACTTCCTACAGACAGCAGCGTCGAAGTTCAACAAGCGATCGACGCTGGCTTCCGTCACTTCAATACTGGCGATCTCTACACCAATAACGACAGCCTTGCGAAAGTCCTCCGCCGCAGCAATCTCAAACGCTCCGAGGTCTTCCTATCCCTTAAGATCAACACCTACGCATCTCTAGGATGTCGAGGCCGCGATCACATAATCCAGACCGTAAAGGAAGAGATCGAGCGGTTTGGGATATTAGAAGGCTATATTGACATCCTGCAGCTGCACTTCCCGCCCCGTGGTTACGCTGGGAACATGACAAATCGCGAAACATGGCGTGTGCTGGAAGACCTCAAGGATCAGGGAGTTGCTCGCATTATTGGCGTGTCGAACTGGTATGTTGCCGATAGTACAATAATATGGTTGGTGCAACCAGATCGAGGCTCACGAGCGCGATTTTGTAGGACCTTGCCCGATTACCATGACATCTTTAACGCCAGCGACCTTAAGCACCCTCCGCAGCTCAACGAATGCGAATTCAACCCGTTCTTACTTTCTGATCCCAAGGTCCGGGAACTCCATGAGTTCGAAGTCAAGCACAATATTGTCCCAATGAGTATGAACACCGTCCAGCCAAGCCATCGGGGAATAAATCTCCCAAGCTGACAGCCGCGCAGACTACGGGTTTTTGACAGCCATAAGCGGCCGCTTGCCTACTAAAGACAGCTCGGCACTGCTGCAGAAGTTGGAAGAGCAGTCGAAGCTGACGAAGCTGTCAACAGCTGATCTGCTGCTCAGCTGGGCATACTACCGGCTTGGCGGCATTGTCGTGACATCTACATCGAAGGCAGACCGCGCTAAGAAGACCTTCGAGCTCCTTTCGGCTGAGAAAGCGCCAGTGAACGGTGGCGTCTACGAGGAAATTGAAAAGGCGGCAGCTCTGGACGGTCCCGAAGGCAAGGTATTCTATGGCCATCCTCACATGGAGAAAGCTCGCCGGGAAAATATGAATGCTCAGAAGTAGGATAGCAAGTAGTAATTATCGATATCTATCAATTTAAGATGGCAGCTAGGACGCCATATCCTACATGGTCATTATATCACAAGTGAGCCTCCAAAACATCGCAATAGCTGCTGATCGACACGTTTGGCTACAGTCACGTCTTGTGCTATTCTCAGTTGATTCACAAAACTCTCGCAATACGCCTTCAACCCCAGGTTTCTACTCCGCATTCCTCTAAAAGAGAGTTCAACTACCCCACCGTCACTTTCCATGAGAGTTTCGGGACCCCACCGCATTCTGCAATATCACCAGGGTTTCCCCACGCCTTCATTCCTCAATAACCATACGTTGTAAGCTTCGTTTACACTGCGAATTTCCGACAAAACCATCTTCAAGCAACAATGATTATGTCTCTGCTTGTGCTCTTTGGTTCTCTCACGCTCCTCGCCATCAGCTGGCTGCTCAACCACATTCGTTCATGTCTTTCACTCCCTGGAGCGTACGGGCCCGCACTCGCCAGATGGACTGACGCATGGTACATCTGGAAAATCTGGCAGGGCAAATATGAGACATACAACATCGAAGCACACAGGAATGGCTGTAGGTGACTTTTCTTTGGTTCTACTCGGTTCCCGACCGTGGCTGATGACCCCCAAAGCCAGAAAAATCGTCCGCATCTCGCCGCGCATGTACAGCATTGATGACCCGGCCATTGTTCGCGTAATCTACGGCATCTCATCTCCCTTGCCAAAAAGCAGATGGTACGATGCCTGGGGAGATCCTCGAATCCCGAATCACAATCTCTTCAGCGCGCGCGATCACGCCGTGCATGGCCTCATGCGCCGCAAAGTCGCCAGCATGTACTCTATGTCGACAATCAAGTCCTACGAGCCCTACGTGGACAGCTGTGTTGCGCTTCTTCTGAAGCGTTTCGATGAGTTCGCCGCAAGCGGGGAGACGTTCGACCTGCAGCTGTGGATGCAGTGCTATGCATTCGATGTGATCGGTGAGATTACGGTGAGTCTGGTGTTAGCTTGCATGGCCGATTGCATCAATTTTCTGACTTCGACAATAGTTCGGCAGACGAGTAGGTTTCATGGAATCTGGCGGAAATGATATCGACGGCATAATGCGAGCTCTAGAAGATTCCAATGCCTTCTCAACACTTTCAGGCGTCAGCGCTGTCTTGCTGCCCATACTTTTTATCATTTATGGCAACCCTGTTCGTGGTATCGAAAGTTATGCTCGAAAACTCCAATCTGAGAATGCTGAAGTTGACATGAAGGAAAAAAATGACGGCGAGACCTTCCTCGCGAAACTTCAACGCCTGCAGAAGGAAGCCCCGGAAGAATACGAAAGATTTCGTCTTGGAACGCTTACTCTGACGGCAAACGTCGCGGCTGGAAGTGACACCACAAGCATTTCTCTAACCAGTGCGCTATATCATCTTTTCACCACAAGTGGTGTCGCAAAGCGCATGTACGAAGAGCTCGATTCCCTGGGCTTCTGCTCAAGTCTCAACGAACACATCACATCTGACCAGGCCCAGCAACTTCCGTACCTCCAGATGGTCATCAAAGAAGCCCTGCGGCTCCATCCAGCCGTTGGCCTGCCCATGTGGCGCGAAGTCTTAGGGTCCGGTCTGGATGTTGATGGAACCCATTTTCCACCTGGGGTAATGTCTTTGAGCCTTGGTCAACATAGCACAGCCGCATGAAATTGTACTGACAACTTTTGACAGTCAATCATCGGTATCAATCCCTGGGTAGCGCACCGAAACGCCGATGTCTTTGGCACGAACGCTGCAGACTTCATACCAGAACGGTGGGATCCCCAACACACCTCATCGGAGACGTTAGCAGCCATGGAGCAGTACTACCTGCCTTTCGGAGCGGGCGCGAGGACCTGCATAGGAAAGCATATATCAAGCCTGGAGATGGTGAAGTTGATCCCAGAGCTAGTCAGACGATATGAGTTCGAGTGCGTCAGCGGGGAATTGAAGACTATTAATAGGTGGTTTGTAAAACCACAGAAAGTGCTCTTCCGCGTCAGGCGGCGAGGAACTAGGGCTTAACTTTCAACAGCGCAGTGGTTATATCCTGCCTAATAAGCAAAGGGAACTCGAAAAATTCCCCTTACATTATTGCGGGCGGTATGCTGCTAGACTACTAGCATATAATCTTGGACAACTTTCGGGTGGCTTTCCACCATTTGTGACTGAACATATTTCAAGTTCATAATCCAATGCTGGAACCTCTAGAACAAGAATGGCTCGATGTATGGAGAGCGCACGAATCTTGTATGTTGCTGGCTTTAATTGAAATGCTGTGAGATTCAAGCGAGCTGCTTAATTTTGTAAAACCAAGCCACCTCACATCATAGACGACAACGGGACAAGGCTCGTTCTCCTTATCTTCCCAGTCCGCCAGCATCATGATAGCCACCCACAAAACATGCTCCGTGCCGCCGCAAGCTCATGGTGGTACCAGAGAATCTCACATACGACAACAAACATAGGTCATCAGCTTAATGAGCAGGTAATTAAGTTGCCAAACCCCTTCAGTCGTTCCAAGACCAGCCCATCCAACTAACTGCCCGCTGAAACATGTCGTTCTGGCAGCATCGACGATTTACTCATGGGAGACAAAGACTGACGGGACCGGCAACACCGATAAGAATGATGTGTTCCCGAGTAGTTCATTTTGCTTTGGTGTTACTGTCGTCCTCTCGGATGTTTTCTGCTCGCCCTCCTTCGGGTCTACCACGCGCGTCAAATACGCGAGTTCGAATGAAAGCAGAGCACAAGCAACGATTGCGCTGCAAGCGTATGCCTGGTTAGTAAGCAGGGGCCCAGATAACATGATTACTCCCATGTGGACCTGCAACGTCTGTGCAATTGACAGAGTCCACGTTGCTATAACCGACAACAGTATTATCCACTGATCCAATGTTGGAAAGGAGGGCGCGCCAGCATAGGTGAAGGACAGGCTGCTAGAAATGCTGTGAAAAGGCCACAAATCTTGTTGGTGGGGGCGACAGGGTTCTTATACTGGAAAGCCGCAGCCTGATCTAATTGTATTGAAACACCGCAGCCTGATGGACCATCACAACCCCTGCGCGTATCCGTCCGTCAGAACGGGGCCCGCGCTGCGTGGGAATCTAGCACTTATGCGTGGCTTCACTTATCGGCGACAGGTGGACAAGGCCAGCGGGTTCTGCTCATTCTACCAGGTCATCAGCGTCAGAGGAGCTTGTGGCCTCGGGCTGTCAGGTCCATTGGTGGAGGTTGGAACCGCCCGTCACCAGCACTCGTTCCTAGGGTCCGGGTTGCCAGGCTGTTATGATACCCCTAACCGCTTGGCCGGGTCGTAACGAGCCACAAGGAGCGTTGTATTTCTGTAATGTTGTTGTAGAGATGTTAGTAATATATCAGGGACGATATCGTTGGTCTTGCCTTGGGAGCGTACAGTACTTATGTATCAGGCTGTCCTAGATATATCGCGCTTTCTTTTGCTTTAGACACCCAACGTCAATGTTTATGACAAGATAGCTGTTGGTAGCATGCTCGAACAGCTTGGTCACTGCTAAACGCTAGGCCTCTGCGAAAGACATAAGTTTAACAACTACAACGTTAGGTATGCGAGCCTACTCTCGTTGTGATCCAGACTAGACTCCTTGATGCGTTAAAAAATGCGTTAGGTCGATCATATCTTTTTTAAGAAGGAACGCAACGACAACATACTACTTACCTCTCTTAGTAAGCGAAGCAGCCAATAAAGGCAAAGACCACCGTATAGTCCATTCAGCAGAGAATGTTTTGTGAATGGTCTTGATTAGCACTCTCTTCTGTAGTAATTTCGTGATAACTTTGTCCGTAATCTGAGTGTGAAATTTTGTCATCTATTATGATATGCTACCAAAGACAGTTGATCTGGGGCCAAGAGAAGTCTTACTTTGAGTGCATCTTTTCCTTGTCAAACTAGAATGTAACCCTCACACACAAAAAGCTTAGAACACTTATTTCGGGGGTGCGTGAGTAAGGTAGTCGTGCCCCATTAGTACCAGGGCGTATATAAACGCTTTGTCGTGCTACTTGACTTATTTGTCTGCCCAGTACCACAGCTGTTCTCACAGGAACGGTTAATACCAGACTGTAAAACATTCTCTGTCTGCCTCTAGACTTTTGCTAGGCGGCCTTGGCGGAGCTATTAAGGCTGAAGCTAAACATTGGTGATGTCCTATTCGATAACGGTCTCATCTTTTCAGTCTCTTGGATTGAGCTAGCGAGATATAAAGCTGACACACACTAACGTCGATTTCTGTCAAAGAACTTCACCGCATCGTTCACCAAATGGCTATTACTAAAAACCTACACGGTATACGCGGAGTCCTACAAGACCGGAAAGTTGATGCAAGGGGAGATCAATACAGATTTAACAAGGGTCTCCAGAGCATAGCAAGCTATTTGAAACCATTGCTAACATGAGATGAAGGCTGCCGCTGTGCAGCAACTGTCGTTGAACCCGTCGGCGTTGTCCGTTCGGTTAATTTTACCGACGGAGATTGCCTCATAGCAGGGATCAAATACAATAGTTTGCATATAGGTCAATAAATTCATTCTCTGATAGACGGGATATCGTTTGTTACATGAATTTGCTTACTTTGTTATATGATAAATTAATATACTTAAAAGAAAACGTTACTTAAAGTAAGATAGTAAATGTTGTAGTGGTTAGAAATGAGTTTTATTAGTATTAATATAGGAACTTTGGGATGTGCGGGATGTTGGGCTACGTGGTAAGCAGGGCGGTTGAGTTATTAGTTCAAGACACTTTGGGGCTCTTTGCAACAGATGGGTTGGATAGACAGAACAGGGGAAAATAACAAGGGGAAAAAGAAGAAAAAAGGGGGATAGTCCCTGGATAGAAAGTATGCTGGTCATGAAATTGACTCGGTGCGGTGCCGCTTCGTGAGGGTCGCTACGAGACACCAAGCCCGCGAAGAACTGCTGTCGAACCCTTATTACCCATTGAGGTTCTGTTATCCATAGAGCTGTGCGCATGATAGGGAAGCAGACTATCAGGGATAAACAAGTTTCATTCAAGGGGAGGATAGATCAATGACTAGCCTACGTGTAAGCAATGTCTTTTGAACAATAACGTGTTCAAGTACATATAGACTGACCTTCCAAACTGAACCTCGCAGTAGATACACAACGTTATCAGATCTTGCCGTACAACAGTCTAGCTCCTTTTAACTTACATCGTCGAATCCAACTTCCATCATGAAGCTTTTTCTCTCACTTCTGTTACCAGCTGTCGCAACGGCTTTCCCATCTATGTCCGGCGACAGGGGTCCTCTCGGACCTCGTCAGGCAGTTATTGGCTGCGATTGCAATCTGTGAAGAGAATCATCGTCGCTATCCACTGTAATATATGCTAACTATAACTTAGGCATGTTGGAAATATTGTCTTAAGTGACAGAATTCCAAGCGTAAAAAGGCAACATCCAACGGAAAATGCGTGTTGTTAACGGCAACAATCAATAATACTGTAGTGTTATATTTGACCGTGGAACATTGATGAATTGTAGCCAGATGAAGCAAATTGCCGGGCCTACTGGGTCTGGTGGCCACAGAAAGCTGGCATTTTGGAGGGAAGTAGTCCAAGAACCCCTACACCAGTTTGTATACCCCTTTGCTATAGCAGACATTGGCCAGCGTGGCCACAGCAGACGAACGAGTAACGTAAGCATTCCAACAAAACATCCGGACCACAGCGGCCAAACCAAGTATACCCAATAACAGAACAAGTTGCGCTAGAGCTCAGTTTTCGATGAGATTCCCTTGACATCGAGCGCGATAGAAGTAATCCGATCCTAGCATCAGGCAAGAAGCTTTTGGCGTCTTTTGGGCTACTTTGCAACGTGCCCGCCATAGTGATGATTCTGTCCCATGAAAACTAATCACGATTCAATAATTTCAACGCTCTGAATAACTTCTACTTATCATCTATTTGATGACTTGCCTTTTGTCTATCATTCTCCAGAGTAGGTTGCTTAGCTTTTACTACTGGCATATCATGAACGTCACGTGCTTCCTCTTGTTTTAATCGTGTTGTCCCGACAGGTTCAAAAGTAGTAGAAAGATGAGTGCTAACTAACCGTTCCCAGTGTGGTCTTGCATGTAATTAGTTACAGTCGTTACCGCAACCATCACTCTGGTATAACCGCAACTATCGGACTCTGATGGAAGAGAATCCGCCAGAAACTCAAAACGAGTCCGGTCTGCATCAGAATCTGCCTACCTGGAGAGGTATGTCGAGGAAGCTGCTTGTTGTTGCCACTCGGGGATTACAGGATGCCGCGAGTGCAGATACTGAGGGCACGGACTGCTCTAAATCATCCACAATGTCCATCTCCAAGACTTTGGCGGATGATGACAGAATTCCACATGAGCCTTGACGGCAGTAGCGTTTGCCATTTTGATATGTCCAAGCCGTATCCCAGCCAGAAAGATAATGATGGAAATGCGGAAGCAGAAGCCACAGTCGGAGCAAGGGATAGGGTTGTGGCTACAGGAGGGCCAGAAAGAAGGTTATCGGCTAGGTCAACCAGAGACCCTCCATTTTCTGTTTGTTGGCTGTAGCGTGCGAGGGGGTCCGTAGCTTCTGCAAAGCTATTATCAGGATTGCTACGGGGCTTGCCCAGGCTGTGTCAGTCGCTGATTAGATTGAGGCTGTACATCAGCTACACTGCAACGCCGACGTGCATGGCAGCGGCTTCCGCCCTTAGCCCCATGACAAAGGTCAAGTACAGAAGCAATCAAAGTCCAAAGCTGTATTTTTGCTAGTAGCTATCAGCTCAAGACTTTGCTGGAATCGGTTTTCATTTACTAAATGCAAGCATTTACTGAAGAGGCAACTCCGCACTAATTTCTTTTAGTTATCAACACTTTGTGTTAGACTTTACGACGTGTACATACCCACTGATCACAGAAGCCTATACAAGCTTCATACGCAGGTGAGGTAGTGAGGCAATCCTTTGAGCCTACACCACCCTGTCTCCTATGTTAGTCCCGTCTTGATGTAGTGGGTGTCCAACTCATCAGAGACTGGCACAGCGAATTTCAGCCAAGGTGGTGCGCAAGCAGAGTGCAAGCAGAGCGCAAGGCCAAGAAGAACGTAAGACATCATGTTGTTGTGTGATCCCGTTCGATAGCGAACTTGATTAGTTGAAAAAGGAGACATGAGTGAGGAGATGATAGGAGAGACGTCAGGACCTAATAATCTTTTATATTGTAGCAACCTTCCCTAAATCGTGTCCGGTTCCCGATACCGAGGCCCACAACGGATCATGTGGAGCCTGTGAAATTTCCCTTGAGAACACTCCCAAGAAAAATATTTAGACAAATGAAAGACCATCGTGACTGATTCTTCCTATGTATGGTCAAATTCATGCAATGCCAAATGCGGGTGAATATGGGGGAAGTTAAATAAACACGGAAGTGCAATTAGGTTGAAGGCCCCATGATGTACTCGGAGCAGGTTCTTATTTTCGGAATACGCAGGAAAAGAGATGAAACAATACCTAAAGAACAAGGATGGGAGAATGGTCAGATCTGCCAATAGCAGCTTACTTGTTGGCCCTTGACATTTAGCATGAGTGCATCTATTGATTTGTAATATTCAAAGCCTCAATTACTTTCAAATCCCAATCAACTTAGCGTTTCCATGCCATGGCGTACAAGAGAGCGGCCGCGGCCAGCTAAGACGGCTTCCAAGCAAGCCATTTCCCGGCGTCGTTTTTTAGTATCGGTCCTTCTTCTAGGTCTAGGTTATAAGGCTCAATACAATAAACTAAATCCCGTAATCTCCGCAGACAGTACCCGGCCTACACCAGGGTTTACATCTTTAAGCGCCATGGTCGGCTTCTTTGGGACCTTTGATGTTCTTATAGATCGGCCTATGAACCGAACTAAACCGCATTGGCCCTGAGGTTGGAGATAGCTGCGTAAATAGAAAAATCACCTGATTCAGACATGAGTCCAGAACCCGCAGTAGAAGAGTGCCTGCCCCAGCATCTATCTGGACACGCAAGGCTTTTTGCAATGCTAAAAAGTACGTGCAGGATGCTAAGAGCAGCCACATCAAGATATTTCGTCTCTATGAAAGTTGAAAGCCTCCGCTCTGTCCGTTTTAAAAAGCAATGCCTACCATTTCAGGTCAGTAAAGCCATGGAAAGGCTGCCTTCGCTCCATCTAGAAGAGACTTCTGAGGGCCGGATCAGTAGTTGAGTTGGTGACGATCAGCGAATACCTGGTGTTGTATGGTGCTATTTTGATCGAGGAGGCATTACGACTGTCTGCAACATGAGTCGGCTCTTTTATCTCTACACCCTATAGTATGTTGCCTCGACATAAAAACCCAGAATTAGCAGGTGGCTTTGCTCGAGTCAAGCTTTTAGAAATTCGAGCGACGTGTTTGGTGAACTACCTGGCAATGCACTCAATCCATATTGGAGTAATTTCCGGATTACGAGGTACCGATCCATGCGCCTCTCCGATTCGATTCTCGGCAGTGGAGCCGACGTTCGGGAGGCCCGGGGTGGCCGGTAAGCAATGTCACTTTCCCAATGTGAACAGTGTTCCCCGGTTTGGATCGGACACTCCGCCGATCATAAAAAAGCATATCTAGATTCGGAGCCCCGTTGAATCCCCCGTTGGGTTGCCAGTTTGCAGATCTTTGAGCAATCGTGAGTCCGTATTTTGACTTAAATTTTATGTCCAACTACAGTCAATCGTTAACTTGCCAGTGTTTGTTTAGGTTACGATGCGTTTCAGTCCCTTGTACCTTGCTTTCTTTGCTGGTTCGGTGCTTTGCCAGGATGCCGAGCACACATGGCAGGCTCCTAGAGGCAACGACCGTGAGTTGCTCTTTCGTCACAAACGCAGATGGCCATTGCCTAACAGCCACAGGCCGAGCCCCTTGCCCTCTCTTGAATAGTCTCGCCAACCACGGCTACCTCCCCCGAAACGGCCAAAACATCTCCGTCGATGCCCTCATCGAAGGCATGCACGCCGGCCTCAACCTCCGCGAAGATGCTAAACTCTTCTTCCGCCTGCAAGGCAACAAGGCCCTAGAGGCCTCATCGACGGGAAACAAGGACACATTCAATCTTAACGACCTCAACAAGCACGATCTCATTGAACATGATGCTTCCCTCAGCCGGGCAGATATCTACTTTGGAGACAACTGGTCCTTCAACCAGACCATCTTTGACGAAACCAAGTCCTACTGGCCTTCGGCTACAATTTCAATCAGCGATGCTGCTAAGGCACTCGTCGCAAGGCAGAATAGTGCTGAAAAGGCTAACCCTGAATTCAACTTGCCTTTTGACGGTTACACCAACTCGCTGGGTCAGACGGCGATGTACCTTGGTTTATTTGGAGATTATGATGACGGTAACGCGAACCGGTCTTGGGTTGAATACTTCTTTGGTAAGTCCGATACGGCATATCCACGCGTATCAGGAGACTTGAACCTGGCTTATTTCATCATGTGCAGAAAACGAAAGATTACCTTTTGAGCTTGGTTGGCAGAGGCGATCAGACGATGACAAGATCCCGGCCACAGGGATCCTGGCCTTGACAACCAAAGTTGCTGTCCACTACCTGGGAGCAAAGATAGGGTTCTAATTCAACAAGATAGTCGAACCGTTATTTTTGCTCAGTTCAAGTTAACCTACATCGAGTAACATACATTCTAGGAAATTTCCACGACCCAATGAGAAGCTCAGCGCTAATTAGCCTTGCCGAAAACCATGTCCTGTCGTGCTTTTAGATAGGCTCTGTCGATAAACGAACATCGACGTGCAAGGGCTCAGCCTGGGAACTCGATCACTCCGACACCATCCACACCAAAACTACAAAACTTACCTTAGCACTGCATGTTCATCCTTTGCATCCGTGCTCCCCATATCGACAGTAACCAAGGAGAGTCGGTCATTTTACAGCGACGCTGCCCCTAAAACTATGATCCAATAGAACTTCCCAAACGTAGCCCCATATTGCCAATTGCCAACAGACTTACCCAACCAGCAACGCATCTGACGAAAGGCCGTTGGTTCACCTGCATGAGACGACTCTCCACACATGGCCGCTATGCCCGACAAAGCTGGCCTTCACCACTGAAGGTGGAGAATGGCATGCTGCAATCCTACGCCCATCGGCGAAATGGACACAAGCGGAGCCGAGCGCCCGGTTCCATCGCCGTGATTGATCAATGCCGACCCGGAAGCATGGGCCTTCGAATCTTCAGCGGGCCAAGCCCAATGTTCTGTTGGTTCTCCATGTACGATGTCAGGGAGAGTCCGCAGCAGCAGTCCTGGGGTTGGTGGTCTGGGAAAGTGGCAGATAAAGCCAACGCCCATCTGACCGGCCCGCCGTGGTTCCCGCGAACCTCAAAGTTTCGTTACGCTCAGGCCAGAGACCGAACCTCTGTGCGCGGCTTTGAGGAGCATTGAAAACTCAGGGTCTGGTTGAGTAAAGTTCAATCCATCTACCCAGGATGGCAAACCCATCCTCACCGCCTAGGATCCTCTTGACCGGAGCGACCGGCTACGTTGGCGGTACAGTGCTCCATCATCTCTTCAACCATCCCTCTTTGTCGTCGACATTTTCCTCCTCTCCCATAACCGTCCTCGTTCGCGGCGGTCCGAACCGCGCCGTGAAGCTCACCGCAGCCTATGGCTCTCGTGTGAAGCCGGTCGTCATCAACTCTTTCGACGATGTTTCGACCCTCACAGCTCTCGCATCCCAACATGACATAGTCATCAATGCTGGGTCTGGCTTTCATCCGCCCTTAGCAAAAGCCCTCATTCACGGCCTCGCGGAACGAAAATCCCAGATCGGAGGTCAGCCGGTCTGGATGATTCACACCTCAGGATGCTCAAACATCGCCGATAAACCTTTGACTGGCGTCAACCGTCCTGATGTGGAGTGGGAAGACGCTCAGGCCGAAAAGATATTTGAGTTTGAAAAGGTTGAAGATGCCCGGGACCCGTACCCCCAACGCACAGCGGAACTTATTGTCCTTCGGACCGGCGAGGAGCTGGGGCTGAACGCAGTTAGCATACAGTCACCATGCATATTCGGTTCGGGCTCGGGGTTGTTCAACAAGGCGGGCTTGATGATTCCGATCATGATGGGATACGTGCTGCAGAACGGATACGGCCTGACTTTAGGCGACGGAACGGGATGTATCGACTACGTCCACGTGGCCGATCTCGCGGACCTCTACGTCCTCTGCGTGCTCGACATCATCGAGCGCGGCGGTGCCAACGTCCCCACGGGCAGGAGGGGAATCATCTTCCCAACGGTGGGTCGGACCTTGACAATTGCCATCCCGCAGAAGTGTCTCGATATCGTGTTTGCGACGGGTAACCTGCCCAAAGAGGGCGGGCCGCAGCAGAAGGAGGTGCGAAAGGTGAGTCTCGAAGAGGCGGCGGAGACGTGTGCGGGAAACCTAGACGTTGCGGAAACGGGGTATGCCGGACACCGGAAGACAAAGGGGACTGTTGCGAGAGAGAAGCTGGGTTGGAAACCTGTTCATATGGAGGAGGCTTGGAACAAGGACTTTGAGACAGAGTTAAGGGCGGCGCTGAACAGTCAGAGAGGGCTTACAATGGCCACTTGCATTGCTGGCACGAAATGAGAACCATTAGCTGTAATTCCTGAAAACTGAACGAAATTAATGGTCTCATTGTTCGCTCATGTTGTCCATCATTGTGCTTACCACTGCAAGTCGGTAACACGTCAAGCGGCACGCGAGCCACGTTCCACCTGAGTACTTGTGAGTTTAGGGTCCTTAATATCCAGGAATTTAATGTTCAACCTCCACTGACGTAATATATTAAGATCAGCGTTGGCAGGCTTGCTGCCTCGTGGCATTCCAAGCCGCATAATGAGTGCACGGGAACACTCACATCATCTTTCATGCATATGGACAACCATGTAACAGAGACTAGGCACACAACCTAGTCAACGAATCCAGAGAAGTTCGATTACTACCAATTCAAAATCTATGTACATTTCTTGAATCGATCAATATGCACACTTGAAACAGGATTTAACACTATGGTACCGGCCTTTTGGCAGTGCATGCGGGGTGTCTCGCAGTAGACAAGAAGGCTTCGATGTTTTTTTGTACAAGCCTGAAGAATCATTTCAGGCCTCCGAACTTGATACACTTCTCGATCCATCCCCTCCGAGGCGTCTCAGGTGGCGCCTGGTTCTGAGGCTGCGCAATGCCGCCGCCCCAAGTGCGCCAGGTGCTCTCGGTCCTCGTCGTGGCCTCCGTCGGCGCCATGGAGACGCCGCGCTCGCCAAAGACCACGGGGGGCGGGTCCATCAGCCAGGGCGCCTGGCCGGGTTCGTGCTGTGGCTGGTTCTGGTACAGCGATAGCAGGGAGTTGTTATCGGAACCCGTCGAGTGTCTGGAGGTGTCGTATCTGCTGGAGACGATGTCTCGGGGGTTGTTCTGCGGGACACCCAGTCCGGAGTTATCGACGTGGTCGGTGCCCCGGTAGACGTCCGGCATAGCCGGCACCGGCGGCGCGTTCACGGTGCGCGTGCTCGCGCCAATCGTGCGGGTCGAGTACACGCTACTTCGGCCGGACAAGGGGTTCAGCTTGAGCGGGTGGTGGCGGCGAATCCAGCTGGCGATCGAGTTGCGTACGTTGGGCTGGGCGACGGGCGCGGGCTCGAGGACCGGAAGCTGACGCGCGGGGTCGTATCGCTTCTCGTCGAGGTATCCTTCGGGAGTCAGCGAATTGCGGTCGTTCCCGTAGTAGCCGCCCGCGTTACCGTTCTCGTTAGCGTAGGCGTGGCCCATAAGCTCGGCCATGACGCTCGATGGGGACCGGCGGACGGTTGCGAAAGGTGCCGAGGGCGCGGCGGGTGCCGAGTAGGTCGCCGAGGGGTCCCAGAACCTGCCGTCAGGCGACATATTGCGGTCGTATAGTTGACGAGCTTTACGGCGTTTCTGAAAGCGGAGGCACCACCATATTCCGACGCCGATCACGAGGACCAGTGCCGCGATAGCTAGGTCATGGTCAGCAAACGCCCAAAAAGATATCCTCATACAAGGAGACATAGTTGAACATACCAATGGTTCCAAACGCGATGGCAGTCGGCGTCCATCCCACCTCAGTCGACCTATCGTTTCCAAGCCCCGCCTCGCTTCCTCCCCTGTTAGTGGCCCCTGTCGGTTGCGAGTTAAATACTGTGGTGGTCTGGGGAACGGCGGTAGGAAGAGTCCTAGTCGAGCTTGACGACTCTGCGCTGGTAACCGAAGGGAATGTACTAGACGGCTGCTCGCGCTGAGTTTCTCTCAGGGGAGCGGTCGTCCTCGGGAAATCAGAAGACGTGGTCGACTTGGTGGACGAGATGTCCTCAGTGGGATTTGCGGGGTTGAGAACCGGGCGCGGCCTCTGTGGTCGTGAGAAAGACTGGGTCTCTTGCGCGTTGGGCGGGAAAGTCGAGCTATCAGGCGAGGGCGAGTCGTCGTCGTCAGACGAGAAGTCACCAAGGTCATCGCGGACTTCGATTTTTAAGTCTTCCCTCCGATAGTGCGGGCGGCGAATAGCACGCCTGGGATTCACACTTAGTACACGATGCATTTTGCCATGCTACGAGTCTGATGACCTACCTCCTCAGTGAGTTCGTCGGAGCAACCATTGTTGAAGCTCCAAGGATCGATTTGATTTGAATCGACAAAACAAACCGATCTAAAGACCGAGTCTACGGTCGGATAGAAGAAAGTGACAAAGGGTGTGAAAGTTGGGTCGTCGAGACGCAGGATTGTTTGAAGCAGCTCAGCTGGAGAGATATCGAACGGAAAAGAGAAAAGGGCACTGCCCGCGAAGAGAAGAGGTAAAGGCGAACAGACGATGAAGAAACTTGCAGAATCGAGAACAAGAAGCTTCAAGTCATCTTGGCCTTGTGTCGAAAGGAGGGGGGGAAGAGGATGATGTTCCCGAAGGTTGATGCCGACGCGGACTGGTTGATGAAAGACCGGTGATGAAGGAGGGTAACGTAAGTCTGGAGAAGATACGACGAGAAATAAGGACTTCACTTTTGGGTCCCAAAACATCCCGAGCAGGTCGGCTGGTCTCGTCTTTGCGTCCATCCCAGTTCGATCCTATCTTTCTGGGTCCTGTCGGCAGCCCGTGCAGCCGCTGTCTAGTCCATGTCATGGCGTCAGGAAGCGCTGCGGCCAACACCCACTCACCCCGTCCGTTCAGTCCTCCCCTCCCCAGGCCAGGACTTGGGATTGTTTGCCTTTGAGTTTGCTGTCGCAACTTCTATGGGCAAGGGCCAAGGGGAGGTGGGAGACGAGGGTTTAGTGCGGTTGGTGGAGTTTACCCGCGCCCCAACTTTGTTGCCAAGAAATGAAGAATGCAACGGGAGACGCAAGCGAGGGAAGCCTCAACGCCTCAAAGCTCTCAGCCCGTAACCAAGATTTGGCGGAACTTGGTGCATCAGAAGGAAAGAAAAGGCGAAAAAGCATTGGAGCGCCTTCGCTGGTTGTTTCTCAGTTTCAGATTCTCTGCCAAGAGTCCCGAAAACGAGTTGGTGCGACGACACCCTTCCCCTTATTGGCACATTACCACGCTGCTCTTCCAGGGGGCCCCGGCTCCCAGCACGGAATGCGGACACTCGATCACTACTCTGTACCAAGAAGTCCTCGTAAAGAGCCCTGACATACCCAGCCCAAATTCGCCGGCTTCTCCCAAGGTGGACATCGAGGTGTAGGTACGGTGTACTGCGCAGAAGCCGATGGGCGGGCGGGCCGGAACACGCTGCCCTCGGAACCTACTAGTGCACACTACGTCGACGCTGGCCGGAACCCCAACATCGGGGCAGGGTTCTTCGTGGCCTAGCTGCCCTGTCTTGAGAGGCGCACCGTTTCAGAACGTGGTCTCCCCGCCGGCGCCGTGGCCGCCATCGCCTGGAAGATCAGATCGGCTGTTCCGAATTGAGCTTTTCTTGGTTACGGGGTAGCTGGTCAGACGGTCTCTTATCCTCGGAATCCGCCAATCAATCAATCCTGAGAAGCCCCTTCAGGAGTTTCCTTGTTGGTCCTCGACTAGGGGCCCAAAATGATCGAGTCAAGCTCAAAGAATGTGGTATTTGGACTTGACAGAGGAGCAGAGGCCAGATCGGGAACACGACTTGCTTGGGGAAAACGAACTCCCGGGGCCAAGTCTACAAACCGGCAAATGTCAAGTCACATGTTGACAAATTGACGTGAACTGAAGGAGAAAGCTCCATGCAGTCCAAGAAAACCTGCAGCAAAAGCTCAAACCAGTATGTAATCAATTGAAAGCCCACATCTAGGCCCCTGCTCAATTAAAGTCGAACGAACGCCCCCTTCAACTCTGCTCAGCTCATATCCGGCTTCCTCGAAGTTTCTTTTCCCTTGCTTTGCATATGCTTGGATGCTTTTTGCCGGCCGAAGGATCCGATCCCAACTTACTGCGGTTGGTCCAGATTCATTGGTGCGCCTTCAATCAGCCGTGGGCGACACTTGCAATTCCTCTTTTGTGCAAATCTCACAAGCCACATACGTCCGCGTGTCACAACAAGCCGTTAACCTGCAGTTCCAGCGTCGGCCGATCCATTTCCCGCTGGTGGCAGCGTCCCATTACTGAATAAATAGGAGCCGCGGCCAGCAGCCTCCTCGCCCTTGATGAGGCTCTTTAGGTTATTCTCATTTACGCAAGGCATTAGGTCGTTTACTTGAGCCAGTGCCGAAAGACCGGTAAGACATTCCTCGTGGGAGTTGAGATGCTTTCAATCTACGTAAAACACTACCGAATGAGAGGCTCGTCGACTCCAGAAAGCTTGGCCTTGCCGGGTCAATAAAGGGGGGCCTTCTGCATAATGCACAGCACAGAGACGAGAGTGGACACTGCTCGATTACCAAATGAGGCAAGCTTAAAGGCCAGCCCCGAATCGACTTGACTGTATCCCTCGCAGCAATGGGCCCTTTGTCTGTAAGAAGGATGGCGTTGGAGTGGTTCAATTTACAACGCAGCTGTTATTCATTTCGAACTACAAGCTTAAATGGTTGTCGAAATTGCCATACCTAAACCATTTCTCCTCGGGATAAAGCCCTCATGTCGGGTTCTAGTGATCCCGGCGTCGCCTAGATTGTGGCGAATCCGGGGCTAGTGCTCTGTCTGACGTAATATCGGAGCTATAAACCTTCATCGGGAAAATATTGAAGGAAAATCCAAGTTGGCTGCTAACTACCTACGCTTCATCTGCAAAATTCCTCTCGCTTAGTTGTATCTTTTCTGACAATTAGTAAACTTGCCTCTCGGCTCTATTCCAGTTCCGCCAGTCAGAAATGCCACGGACAAAATACACCCAAGCGAGATTGTTCAACGCATCAATCTGAAGCAATGAGCAACGACCGTCAGAAGTCCAGTATCAAAGGTGGTTCTTCGCAAGAATTTTTTTTATGAAGACCACTGGCTTTCCAGCTAGCATCTGAAGCTCGTTGTGACAAGGCGCAGCATGTTGATTAAGTATCTGCTTACAGATGATAATCGAGGGTAAGTCTGCCGTGTATAGTGCTCAAACCATCCGAATGACAAAACACAAGAACATCACGAATGATGCGTCCTCGGCATACTCTGGAAGCCTCTAGTATTGTCCATCAGGTACTCAAGCCTCAATAATGGGCGTCTCACATACCACGGAAAAAAGAGCTTGTGTGGGCCGAGTTGAACATATAATATTGATAATTGGCCTTGTAATTCAACTTGGAATTCGTTTCGATATTAATTTGAAGCAATAGTTATTGCCGTTAGTTGCGTCTGCAACTACATGGAGAAATGGGGAAACGAGCCTTGGTTGGACTTTAAAGCCGCAGCACATTTGAATGTACTTCTGGAGAGAATCTGATTCAACATTGGGGCGCGTTAAATAGGAGACGTGGGAAGCTTTGAGTAGCTTTTCCAAGCGTCTGATTCGGCGCCAAGGTTGACAATTCCCGCACTTGTACAACCTGAGCCAACAAGGAGGCAAATCCTGTGAATTCTCAGTGCGGTCGCATGTTGTTCAGGAAATCAATTTGAAGATGTCCTATTGACACGAAATATTAAGTTCTGAACATGTGTTCGAAGCTTTGAGAAGAACAAAAGCTTCATACACACAAGAGTCTGAATGCGCCCCTCTTTCCTTCCGACTGAGATGATTCTCTGCATACAGGCTATACATGATTGACAGGGAACTCTTTACTTAACTGATGTCATTGGATGAGTATGGGGAGCCATAACAAATTGCCGAAGCGAAGCGTCACATGAGGACAGCTCATCCCGGAATCGACACATCATTCTCAAAACTGAGGTTACAATGATAGTCAACTGTATTGGTTATCGCAGGATAATAATCGCCAGGAGACTTCCCGTATGGAAGCTTTGGTGATAAAAGCACATAGTCGAGTCCGGAAATAATTCTCATGCAAGTGACCTGCGCAGAAGGCCATAGTTAATCGATTGGTCTCTGGGAATAAACAGCCTCGGTGGTATGTATTTGTTGTAATTAGCGCCCAGATGCATCATAAGTCTAAGTCGTTATTCTGTCAGATCATGGTTATTTTCTTCAGTGTATGGACTTCTGAGGCTGGAATTGTAGTACTTGAGGGCGATTATGCGCAAGCGTGTTGCAGATTCACCCAGCCGGTATTCCCAAACAATCCAAGCATAGAAACAGTCAGCCCTGATCATACCAAGTTGCGGCAAAATAACCAATGATCGATAGCTTGGCTTTCTGCAGGACCATTGAGGGCAACATCGTCTCCAATATCTCGCAGTTAGACACCACAAACAGGATGTGGCTGAGCAGTCTTGCCAGTATTTTGGCAAACTAGTTGGCACCACTCCCAGCAAGACACATGTTCAGCGTTCCGATAGCAATGACGAGTCAGGCTTGGACCCTTGCTTTTAAAATCCCCTGTTGGACGTTAGGGTCGTTGCGGTGTGGCTTGCATGGGGTTGTCCTTGGCTAGGACATCACCAACCAAGGACTCAAGCGGCCGAGGGGCCATGACGTCATTTACTTATCGTCCCCCGCCAAGGGTGCAATGGCATGAGATGAGGTCAATGGCCGAGCTGGGCGAAAAAGCCCTCAGCTTACTGTCAATCTTGATTTGGATTGTGTTGAACGATGACAGTTTCTGTAAACCTGTATATGTGCAATTTTTGAAAAGGTTCTCACCTACAGATATCTGCAGAGCCGGCACCTCTATCGGCTGCATCCGAACCAGTTTCTAGTGCATCAAATCACACAAGGATCATCCCATATTTTACTACTCGATCTCACATTAGGCAAGGAAAGAATCTTCTCTTGCATGCTGTAAAGATGAGACGATCGAGCCGCATACTGCTAGCTTCGCTGGCTGTTTCCACCCTCCACCCCACAGCTGCCCTCGCACAGTCCGATCTGCCATCAAAACGCGGGCTGGCGTACCAAGGCGACGACCACGAAGCCGACGCCCAGCTGCTCACTTCCGAAAAGTCCCTCATCAGCTGGTACTACACCTGGTCGACATGGCCGGCTCAGGGCCTCAACAGCTCCATTCCCTTCGTTCCCCTTGTACACGGCGTGGATGATGCCTCGGACTCAAGCGTGACAACCCGCCTCAACCAACTCCCGCAATCATCAACGCACCTCTTGACCTTTAACGAACCTGATGGCACTACTTCATCAGGCGGAAGCAGTATCGATCCAGAAGATGCCGCAAAAGCCTACTTGGAACACCTCGTTCCGCTCCGCAACGCAGACTCGCGGAGCTGGAACATCAGCCACCCCGTCGTCACCGGCTCCACGCAGGGCATCGAATGGCTCCAAAAGTTCAACGAGTCATGTTACGATATCGACGACGGTGGTTGCCCGACCGACTTCGTCGCCGTGCATTGGTACGGCGACGCCACGGGGCTCAAGAACCATCTCGACGCGCTGCGGGAGTTCTACAACTCGACTTCGCCAGATCTCAAATACTGGGTCACGGAGATGGCGCTGCCGAAGCAGGACGCCGATGCGACGCTCGCAATGATGAACGAGAGCCTGACGTACCTGGACGGTCTTGATTACGTCGAGGGGTACGCATGGTTCGGTGCCTTCCGCAAGGATGAGGCAAATGCATGGACTGGGAAGTCTGTGTCCCTCTTTGATGACGATGGCGGTTTGACTGATCTTGGGGCTTTGTACCTCGGCGGCGAGGAGCAGGGCTTCAAGACTGGTGAGAAAGGCGAAGGCAACTTTGCCAGCTCGCTGTCGCCGGCTAGACTACTTCTGTGGGGAACCATTCTTGCTGCTGTCGCGGCTTTGTGGTAAACCACGGCTTTTTAGGTTCGGCGGGGAGGACATCGCGGTTCACGTTGTGACGACATGGGCAACGAGTACATGGATATGACATATTTTCTTCTTCTTTACATAGGCGTGTGCTGGACACGCAAGCATTGGACATGAGCAAGAATGATACCTACTAGACTGGATTCCTTTGTCACCGAAGGATATACCACGTTACATATACATCATAGCAATACACAGAGCGCATTTTCAATCACTCTCTCAATCTACGTTGCACATGCCCCTGTTGCTAATTGTCAAGTTTCACAAGCGCCGCATGCCAGGGTGAATGGCCGCGAAGTCGTAGCGGTTGTAAGGCACTCAATATGAACAGTTTTGCAAAGCGAAATAACTATATTTTGAGCATTGGAGTTACCACGGAGCCCATCAAACTTGTCAAAGTTAACTACGTGGTCTAGTCCTGCTCCCTGATTTGATATGGTCCTTGACCTATTCCAGCTCAGTCGTCGTGCGCGGTCATTAATCATTCAAACGACTTCTTTCATCTTTTAGTCGGAACCAATAAGAAACCACGCTGCAGAGCTGATCCAACAACATATGACATCCCACCCAACACTGCTCACAGCAGGATGCTCATACAGCGTCTTTAGTACAACCTCAAGGTCCTCGCTCTCACCAACCACCCCCTTGGTGGCCACAGCAAGCATCCAAGCCATCGACGCAGCCTTCCAATACCACCCTGGCTCGCTCAGAAGCCGCGATGGTAGGAACTTATTCAGAACCAAGGGCGCAAATGCCAATAGGTGAGGGCCCAGAAGCAGCGATAGGAACCTAGGGTTGTCGACAGCGGCAGGAATGATCGTCGCCCAGATCAAGGTCACAATGAGGATCATTGTGTGCCATGACAATAAAGACGAGTTCGCGTCGTCTCGCTTCCGCTGGTCTTTGGCTGCCTCTTGGATTGGAACCCTGCTGCAAAGGATGGCGAGAAAGGACATGTTGGCAGCAAATGAAATGGCTACCACTTGGCCGAGCAGCACGAAAACCCAAGCGTGAGGGATCAGTCTCTTTTGAGCTATTAGTTTGACCAACATTAGCGCCGTCCATCAGTAGCCTTTCCACACACGTGGTAATCCCACGGGGCTGAACTTACCTTGAGCCGCAAGCAATACACTCCAGTTGGCGCAAAACCCGAATATCTGCAACGACCACCACGCCCTAGGGCCCGTCTCCAGAGTTGACGCCCAGGCCTGTCTGAACAGCGACGTGTCGCGCAACCATTCTCCGAGTCTCAAGCCGGTGGGCTTACCGCCAACTACGGCTGCCCAGACTTGCTGAGAATCCCATTGGATGTACGACCACTCGAAGAAGCGGAACATGTGATACCAGGTTGTGGCAAGGCTTAAGGCTGCAAGTATGCTAAATACCGCGATGACGCGACGGTTGTTGGGGCTGGAAGACCCATGTTGCACGGAAGAAACGCGTTGCTGGCTGCGAATGATGCCAATCGTCTTTGCCGTGAGGCTAGCGGCCAGAACCATGTAACCCGTGAAGATGGCCAGCGGGCGGGCGTTGGAAGCGGACATCTTTCCCGTCGCTGTAGCTGCCCGTTGTTTGAGTCAGCCGCACAATTGCCAACACCAGATACAACAAGCGGCTAGATGATGTCAATGAAGCGAATGAGTTTTCCGATAAAGCTTTGCCCCGGGCAAGCCGGAAACCCAATCATTTGGGTTGGTCGGGGTTCAAGTAGTGTGGGGCATGATGAGAAAAACTTTTGAGAGCCAAGCCTAAGCATCCGTCTACGAGTCGGTGCAATATTCTGTCCGAAGAGCTGGGGCCGTCCGAAAGGGAAGCACGCGCAGGACACCTAGCCTTTGACATCTGTCTCAATGTAAGGCCTGATGCTAAACCATATCATCTGAATTCTTCTGGATGAACTTCATCGCCTAAGTATTCAGACTCATTTGCTCTGCTATTGGGGTTTATGTATTAGTGTTCTTATGCCTTGGCCTTTTGAGGATGGACCAGCTGTGGCCACTGTCTACGACAGTGACAAGGATAAAGCCTACCGGAGCAAATGGAACTGAACTGACGGCATGGGCTCGACCTCGGCATACATCCACCTTTTACAGGGATGGTACCCGCCCAGGAGAGCTTCGTTTTGGGAGTAGCAGAGACGAGAAGGACACCGTGCATAAATGAAATTGCGTTTCCGGTATCGAGTGAGGGCATGACCGAGGCAATCCGACCTCGCAATCTCAGATTCAAGACGCTCGAGTTTATCTCACGGTTTTATGTTTCTTGAGCTTGTAAAGTTTACTCATCGACTTTCAGCGCACCTTGGATTGATGGAGTAGACCCCACGAAAAAGAGAAGAAGCAATCAGCCCAAAGTAGCATGTGTATGGAGTCGTAAAAATTTCCGAGTTACAGGTTTCCCCGTTGCGTTATGGGTCGTGAAGCTCCCCTTCGGGTGGCCATCGTCGGAACCGGTTTGGCAGGTCTCACTGCTGCATACCTTTTAGAGAGTGACGAGCAGCGGCGATATGCGGTGACTCTTCTTGAGCAGGTAAGAAAGTCTCAATTCAATTCGCTAAAGTTTCACAAGACTGACTGATGCAGGCTGAGAGTTTGTCTTTTGACTTGGCATCGGTCGCCATTCGAGATGAGAGGTCCGGCGATGTCGAGCGTGTTGATCTTCCGATGCGCGCTCTCGCTGGAGGGTATTATGCAAACGTAATGCGCATGTATAACCACTTGGGCATTCCATATCATCCCATACGCTTTCTGTTCTCCTTCGCCAAAGCGCTGCCAGCTCGAAGATCCGATGCGACCGCCGCAAAGACGCAAGGAAACCCGGAGGGCGCAGGCGGAGCGCCAGGAGAGTACTTTGTGCACGCTTCGAATCTGCACCAAACGCCACCTTGGCCGGGGAGTCGAGGGGTGCTATCACACCTCATTGAGATCGTGTACCTGATTGTTTGCCAATTCTGGTTCACACTCGCGTGCTTTTTGGTCCATCCTTCAACCAAGGGGTCCGAAGGAGGAGAAACGCTTGACGAATATCTTCGAAGAATTTGGCTGCCACGTCATTACGTGACGCATTACCTGCTTCCTCTCCTCAGCAGTGTATCAACTTGCTCACACGACGAGCTTTTGGCGTTTCCAGCCAGCGACATTGTAAACTACAAGAAGTTGTCGCACGGCGAACAGCACTACACAGTCTGCGGCGGCGTTCATCAGGTGGAAGGGAGGTTGGCGAGGGATATGAAAGATGTCAGGCTGGGAGCCTGCGTCGCGGAAGTGGCACCAATGACTGAAGGAAGAGTGAGAATACGCTGGCAGTCGACAAAAAACGGCGTCCAGCCACTTCAGGAAGACGTGTTTGATCGGGTTATTCTTGCCGTGTCACCGGATGTTGCTGGTAAGATTTTTAATCCTCTCCGGAAGACCCTCGAGTCGATACCCACGATTCGTGTTGAGAGCTCGGTTCTCCGACCGGCTCATTTGGCATGGAGCCACTCCCTTACTCTGGTCGAAGATGAGAGCAGACACCCTAAGGCCTGCTCACACCATCGCGGGACTGCCATCCCGCCGCAGGTTATCTGTTTGCGAACCGACTTTGCTGCGGAAGAAGTACGAACGGAAGCACTGCATACAATGCCTGGAGGAACGGTGGTGAGCACCTGTCCGTTGGACCCGCAGGCCGACGCAAAGAGGGTGTTGCGAACAGCCAGGTTTACGAGAACCTTGAGGACAACCGAGAGCAGAGCGATAGTCCAGAGGATCATGGGTGAGTCCAAGGGTTCGGACAAGAAGACGGATTCGGCCACTGAGTCAGTGACGTGGGTGAATGGTCAGGACAATGTTTGGTTGACGGGAGCTTGGTGCTGGGATGGAATGGTTCTGCTCGAAGGATGTCTGATCTCTGCGATGAGAATCGCTGAGGACTTTGGTGTAGAGGTTCCATGGCAGGCCGGTGCGGCGAGAACGCGGTAGAAGGTTTCACGCGACAAAGGCCAGAAAGTGAAAGAAAAAAATGAAGTTGAAATAAACGCGCTCCTTGTGAAGGATGGACTTGGGTCGGAAGAGAGTAACATCGGACCTCCGAACCCTGCCGCTCCTTCCGTCCCTCGCCCGACCGTCATACTGGAGAGTGGGTCTGACGCAACACGTGACAGGGATCTCATCTCATTCTCTCATCCTTCGGCTCACAAACTTTTGGGTGAGATTCCTCCTCTCCACTCTTGCCTCGAACTCACAGCGATCTCACCTATACTGCACCATGATAAGTTCATCCGACTTCCACCCCGAGTTCTGGAAGGGACTTTTTCTGGGTATTGTTGGCAGTTTATTGGCGATTTGCCTCATAACCGTTGTGATTGCTTACAGAGTTCTGCGGCAAAATGACGTTTATGACAACGACCATTGGAAGCTCAACATCAAAATGCCGTTTACTACCATGTGGATGAACATGGGCTATTGGTAAGTGAATATTACTCGCATTTACTTTATGGCTTTTTCACCGCCTGAGCTATTTCTCTATGCGGCCTAATTGGATCTCATTGCGTCTGATGTCTGATGTACTCCCCTTTAGGACCAACACCGATGGTCAGCGCATCCAGGACTTTCAACAGGCCTGCCGTGGTCTTCTGTACGAAGTTGTTTCGGAAGCAGGCGTCTTGGAAGACGAGTTCTTGGCACGCAAACTGGCCATCCTTGACCTAGGAATTGGTTGCGGCGATCAGTCGCTGGAACTTGCACAACTCATCCGTCAAAGCAGCTGGGACGAGTACAGCTACGTGGGACTCACCCTGAACCCTTCGCAGTTCTATCTAGCCTCCAAACTACCATTTCAAGAGTTTCAGCTCCCCGGTAGCCGCGCCAAGGCCATACAAGTTTTCCGAGCCGATGCTGCAAGGCCAGACAAGTGGGACGAAGATGTCAAGTCGGCCATAACGTCTTTGGCAGACGAGCACCCCGAAAACCAAGCGCGCTGGGTTCTCGCCTTAGACAGCCTGTACCACTTCTCTCCTGACAGGAAGCCGATCTTCAACTATGCTGCCCAAGAGCTCGATGCTTCATTCATGGCATTCGACTTGCTTCTGAGCCACACGGCTTCGCTTCATCAGAAGCTGCTTGTCAAATTCATTGGCCTTGCAATGGGCTGTCCTGTAGGTGCATTTGTAACAGAAATCGAGTACAAAAAGCAGCTGAGCGAAGCTGGGTATGACGGAAAGCACGTCCGTTTCAGGGATATCACAGACCATGTCTTTTCTGGTCTTGTGGACCACATCAAGCGCCAGGAAGAGGTGCTCCGGCCTTATGGGATTTCAGTAGGAAAATTCAGAGTTGCTGGTAGAGTTTTTAGCTGGTTCGCACGATCAAAGACATTGAGGGCCACCATCGTAGTTGCCCGGAACAAGTCCAAGAGACTATGAAGTGTCTTTTTAGCATTAATCTTCGAGTGCGAAAATGGAATGGCACTCATTATTCAAGCCTTAATTGTTCGTGGACATTCCCATCGCTTAGTAAACAACAGATTGTGCATGCTTTTTGGCATCAAGCCACCTGTGGCTACGGTGGCCTTGTTACATCGATTTGGCCGCAGTACAACTCTTCGACTGTCTTCTATTTATACAAAACAGTGCGCAACATGTACCTTTTACGGTTGCTCCATCGCAGAAGAAAACTGCCCACTGGCCTGTCGACAGCCCATGTCGTATCTCGGCCTAATTCCACTTTATCGTCATCATTGTCTAACTTAGGTCGCGAAGCGGAAGTCAAGCCTGCCGAGCAAATGAGTTAAAAACAATTCTCCCATAAAAGGGCAGAGGAAAACTTACCGCTTGTTCCCTTTGTCTGTAGTGTTTGTCCGATAATCGTGTTGCTGCTCAGGTGTCATGGCATCCCACTTCTTCGCCTTCGAATTGTTCCTCCACCGATAGTAAAAGTATGTGAAGGGGTATTGCACAAGCTGGAATTATGTGAGTTTCTGTCTGATTGAGCCGGTTAGGGATGGACACTACTTACACACAGCCAAATGCAGATCACCAGCAGACCTTTGTTGGCTTTGAAGTATCTGGGGGCATCATCCGGTTGATAGACTTAAAGTGTTAGCTTGCTTCCTTAGGTGAAGCTAGAGTGAAATGCTTACTATTGGCACCAATCATGCCACTGACTTGCACCCACATATTATAGAGTCTGTATGGATTGGTCAGATAGGTCGAGTGTCAAGGAGACTAAGCCAACTTACGAAGCGGAAACCGTTCTGTTCTGAACAGAGCCCGCATTTCTGCTAGTCCATGCGACTTGGATAGGATGAGTGCTGGACTTCGTCAGCGCTTTGTTCACTTCCAGTAGAGAGTTCTGCATACTATGGGAATGAGAGAAGCACTGTCGCAATAGCAAAGTACGCCCATGGGTTAATCGGATCCGGCAATGCAATCAAGGCCACGAAGCAAGGTAGCAGCCAAGCGTCCTCGGCCATGGCTACGAAACTGCGGTTGTTCAACAGCTCACTGATAGCCGTGATTAAGAGCATTGTAATACAGGAACCCACGACCCAGGGAATCGACAACAAGTTGGTCTGGATGACGTTGAATTTCAAGTCTCGTAATGAAAGCGTCAGGTATTGGTTGACGGGGTATTTCGGCAACCCAAAAAGCAGACCCAGGATGTAGAGGGGCCACATGTCGTAGTCCTTGGAACACTCCCAGATCTGCTTAACGGAAAGACCTTGTCGGTTGTACATCCCTCCCTTTTGAGGGTCGTCGCGGATAACTGGATCACGGGTCAAAGAACGTTATTTTGATCGGGGCTAGAAAAACGTACCGGAATTGACAATGATTTTCGCTTCCTTTTCTGTGAAGTAGCCTTTAGGGTTCCACCAGCTCTTTGTCTTAGCTGGGCATTGAGGCATGAAGAAAAACGAGAGTATTCCGACAAGGACTAATAAAGTCAGTTTGAGGAGTCATACACAGAGACTGGCTGATCTTACAAGTGAAGGCTCCCCTTAGACTTAGTTAGCAACTAGTCCCAGGTATTATAACAAATCATAACTTACTCCACGAGAAATAGCCATCTCCATCCTTCGTAACCCAAGATACCACGCATGGAAACAAGTCCAACAGCGGCAAAACCGACTCCGATATCGACTAATGAGTCGTGTTAGAAGACAGCGTGAGGTGAGATATGGACTTTCTTAGGACGACTCACCCAGCTGCGAAGACATCCAAAACCAAGCTAGGCGGATTGGAAGCTTTGTAAATCAGTACCGCTATCCAAGAGTGCCAAGTTATGTGTGGGAAGGTCATTTACCGATGTACCGGTGTACCAATAACTGAGGTAGAGGATCGTATCGCTGCCAAGAGATTAGTGAAAGCTTGTGGCTGAGGACAAGAAAAGCCAAGACTTACGGGATGAAACCACCTTGGAACGTCGCGCTGATGGGCAGCCTGTAAGTAAAAGTCGCTGTGTCGACGTTTGTTGCACTCACATCAAGTATCTTGTTGCAAGAAAGGATGCCCGACCCTTGAGAAAGAACTGCGCACCCGAAACTATGGAAAAGAGGCAGATCTGAATAGGTATCCACAGATCGGGGCCAATACTATACGCGTACATAATCAGCTAGGGTTTTCTGAGGTTCGGACAAAAGCAACAGACCGCTTGGAGATCAACTGGGACGGAAGCTCTGCAACGAGGAAACCGACTCGAGAGATGGTTTGACCGATGTTCTTCTACACGTCAGCCTTGGCCTGTTCCAGTTTCGCGACCGCAACTCACGTAGTCGCCCCGAGTCAGGCCGAGATCATCAAGCATGTTGTCTGAAACGGCATTGGAAATGTTGTTCCTGTCAATGTTGAGAGACGCAAACATGATGCAGGCCCAAACCTGCATGGTATAATTAGCTCGAGCCATTGGCCAGCGTGCAGCGGAGCTCGTACCATGATCTTCCAATCAACCTTACGTCGCACCGCACGCTCCTCCCTCCAAGTCCAACGGAAGCTGGGGTCAAAAGCAGACCAGTTCTCCCACTGCGGATGGATGTACAGGCTCTTGTACTCTTCGACGTTCTCGGAGTCCCAGATGCTGGCTTGCGTGGCGACCTTGGACTAGGTCAGCTTCCATGTGAACGTGACTTTCGAACCGCTCACGCACCGCATCGAGGTCGTACACTTCGGCCTTGGGGCCCTTTCGAATCCTCAGAAAGCGGAGAATCGCATCTCCAAGCGCCGCTTCCATGCGCTGAGTCTCCTGTGTTGCCAGCGCGGGGGCCGTTGGAGGTGCCGACTCGATGGGACGCTTGTCGTCGATTGCTACTGTTTTCGAGTCCAGCGCGCCATGGTCGGAAGAGGTGATCGACCCCGGCGGCGAGGCCTTTGCTACTGGTTGCTGAGAAGACATTGTGCTTCAACCTTTCGACGAAGAAACAATGACGTATGGGCAATTTGCACAACGAGAGAGGTCCTATCTACCAGAGTGCCGACATGGACATGCGTGAACCATCTATATAAGGGTCCTCCGATAAAATTTCTTTAACAGGGGCCTCGAAAGTACTGGGTGCTGACCGCGCCGCTGGATCTATGGCCAAGCAGCCATAGAGCGCCGTTCCAACGACGTGATGAGGAACTGAGGGCGTCAATAGGTAGAAAGGGGGTTCTGTTCCCCAGTTCTCGGTGACAACCCGAAGGATGATCCACATGACAATGACGAAAGGCTGCTCATCCGGCATGGTTAGTACCGACAGAGGAGTCCCGAGGAGATGCACAGGTTGAATAGAGTGCCGTGCATCCTAACCACGCGAAACGATATCAAACCAAGTCCATCACGTATCATCGGTCCTTTTGACCGACTTGGTTCCGAGAACTAAGCTTCTTAAACGCTTGAGTAGCTGAAAACCTAGGTCAATAGAAGTTTCCTCCATTTATGCTTCTGTTCTTAAAGACTTGCACTTCGTTGGGGTTTCGCAGTTCCACAGCTCGCACTTTGGAGCTACCGTCTACCGTTATTGTGGAGGAGGCAAGGAATAAGCATTTACTGGGGCCGATGCTACTGCGCGCGCGCTTTAGTGGCTCGCGTCACTTTGCTTGCAGCTCACGCAATTGATTCACCATCGTCTCAGTCGATGGCGTGCTTCACACACGACACTTTTGTTGGATGCGCAGATACCGGATTCTCCAATCACATAGCAATCAATTGATTCCAGAGGACTTAACCCAGGTTACTCTGCAGCCTCCGCAGCTCGAGCTGTCGTCACAGATTGATATTTGCCAATACTCCAACGGGCAATCATGGCCCATGCGGTGTCTTTCAGGCGTCTTTCATGCCCCTTTGGCCACGTCTGGAAGACTTGCCAAATGTAGAGAAATCCAATTGTTCAATTCGTCGAATTGAACTAGGTTGATCTGTGGTATTATCTTCTCATGTGTGTGTGTGTGTGTGTAGCTAAGGCATTGTATTTGCGAATGGCAGCACATGCTTGAATACTCGACAACCATGAGTAATATAGCCATATTCGTCATGACAACACCATTATTTGCCTCGCTTCCGAGTGGAAGAAGCTGGTAGAGATGGTGAGCTTCTACATCCCTCATCCTTCTAGATTTGCTCTTCGCCAATAAATTAACAATTCATGAACCCCCAAAGTTGAATTATGAGACTCGATTGGAGTAGGAAGACCGTCAACATCTCAATAACGTCAGTCATTGCTCGATATGACCCGAATTGACTGACGGTAAACTCAGGTGACCCCAGTTTTTTCATGTCGGCGATCTCTAAATAGTAGTTGTTCGCTTTGCTGCAACTTGAGGCTGGCTGTTCGAAGTATGCGGAGCCCTCACGACTGACTGTACGAGCATGAGAATTGATGACGACTTTAATAAAGACTTCACCGTATTGATTTTAGCAGGCTCATACTGTAACTCTGTCAAATACTAGGTAATTCATCTGGCACAAGTATTGAGGATGAATCCGCATAGACGGCAGTGTGTTGTGAACATTGATGCTAAAACTAAACCAACATGAATGCTAAGACTAGGCCAACATGGTTTGCAGTCGCTCCCTCGCGCTTTGGTTCAAGTGACTGTTTCGTAGATGGGCTGTCTCTGACGACCCTTTCCCGCACTTCTTCGCCGGAAATTCCTTGTCAGACCCATACAGGCAATACCTGATCTAAAAGATCCACCCCAATCCATTTACCTAGTTTCTGCTCCCTGATCAGGTACTTTCCACTTTTGCGGTCCACTTGCCAGGCAGTCCAGTCTTCGTGGCCTGGGCTTCAAGGTGAGCTTCGTAGTCAGGCTCGATGAGAGTTAATGACTTGTTCAACCTGAACATTGTCCACCTGTGCTTGGTTATTGCAGCCCTCTCCATTTTCGCACATTCATCGTGATCGAAGACTTGACCACTTGGTTCGACCAATATCTCAAGCTTGTCGACTCGGTCTCGCAACGACGAAAGGCTTCCTCTGTATGTGCTGGTAGGGTTTGGGATTGTGATGTTGATCCCCATGTCGAGGAAGCCTTGGACTAGAGAGCCAAGCGATAGTGCTCTGCAACGGAGAGACGCCGGTTTAATTAGCTTACCAGAGACGAGGCGGCATTCGCATTTGCCCTCTTTCAGAGCTTCGAACAGTCCGATGTAAGGCGTAACCTTTCCCGAGATCCATTGTGCTCGCTTTATTGCGATTCTCTCTACACGATCCTGTCATTAGCTTCGAGCCAGCTTGAGATAGTTCAGGAAGATAAGCCCTACTCACCGATCACGCTCGTTGGAACCAAGGGTGCGGTTCCTTCGACAAGGAGGTCCGATTGAGATACTTGGTTTCCGTCTCCGTTTCCGCCTTCGTTTCCGCTAGTCGATGAATCCAAGTTGATGACTGGATCACCTTCCTCGTTGATAGTGGATGATTCGATAAGGTGCGTACTCGATGTTCTGTACAGCTCCATATCACCAAGCGCCCACGCGACAGAGAGCAGTTTGGCGTGGTCTCCGCTGGCTTTAGCACTCCTGAGCCAGGCTTGAATCCACGGGCGAGTGAGGGATATGGAGTCATATTTGTCCATGACCACGACGCAATTGTGTAGGTCTGAAAGTGCCATCGTCTCCGGCACGCGTCCGAAGTCTCCGTGCATGATCTCGAGCATCAGCTGCATCGGTGCCGGCTGATCGTCTGGGAGATGAATCATCCACTCGCCCTGCCCACCTTCCGTGGGTCGAAGCTCTTTGAAGCCGCTAAATAGAATCTTTTTCATCACCGGCGATGAACGAGCAAGGGCTTTCGAGCAGACAAGGTAAGCTGATGGCTGGTCGACGTGGTTGGCGCCGACGTAGAGACTCAGGTCACCGTACTCGTCGAGTACGATTAGGGCCTTCGGCTCGGTTCTCTCGAGTCTTCGTCGCTTAGGGTCAGGTGCCTCTGACTTTGTGGACTCATGAGACTCTCCTACTACGATGGAGTCCTTCATGATGTGCTTGTGTTGGTAGAAGTCGGCTGTGAGAGATTTAGGTTAAGGTACTCATAGAATGGAAGTGCGGGAATTAGGGCATTGGAAGGAAAGACCACCAAGAGTGAGATTGTGAGAAGAAAGACACAGGAAAAGAGAAGAAAGTCGTTTTTGGGAAAGTGTGAGGTGAGAGCGACTAGTGAAATTTGGGAAAGAGCTGCTGGAGCGATCTCCGGTTGAGGCAGGAAGGAGAAAAGAGCAGTAGACCAGGTGAAGAGTAGACAGCTACCAGTTAGTAATGGTCCGACTTTTTGTTAGCGCTTCAGATCTAGAGCTATTTTATTTCTCTAGTAGTGTCATGGTCATAGAAAATAAAGTCTGAGAATGCAGTGTTTGATGGAGTTGACGGTAAATTGACGTGATGCCCATTCTGTGCGATTCAAACAGCAGGACCAAATCATGTTCTTAAGACCTGAGGTCATTTCATAATTAAGCAGATTATATACCACACTACTTAGCCAAGCCCGTCTTCGCCGCCTGCTTCTGCAAATACTCCCTATGCTTGGGCTGCACAAAGCTCATATCCCCCCTCAGCATCAGCGACCTCTCGACGCCCTCCCGCAAGCCCGACTGCAGCACGTGCTCGCACGCGCTCAGGCTGAAGCCGAAGCGCGGGTGCGCCGCCTGGCCGAAGCTGAAGGGCGTCGACGACGGGTGCGAGTAGCCCGAGTGCACCGTGTATAGCTCAAGCTTCAGCAGGACGGACTGCAGGGCCGAGGCGCTGCCGCGGTACGCCGCCACGGGGTCCGGCGCCGTGAGGTCGATGCGCTGCGCCGCAAAGGACCGGATGAGCGAGCCCAGGAGGATGCTGTCGCACCGCTTGCCGCCGGTGGGGTCCTGCGGCGACGACATGCAGCGGTCGCCGTGCTTGAGCGTCGTGTAGAGGTTCGAGTAGGGCTCCAGCATCGTCGTGAGAAGGGTCTTGCGTATTGACGTGGCATCCTCTAACAGTCATGTTAGAAATCCATCACACACAGAAACACACCACACGGGGAAACCGTACCTATCAGTCCCGGCGGAACCAAGTACTCAATGTTGCGAAGCTTGTACGAGTACGTCTCCCTGTCATCGCCAGTGTACCCAAAGACGAGGTCCTCGTCCTCGTCGATGACGCACTCGGTGGCGATTTTCATGGCCATGTTGTTGAAGGTCTGCGAGTCGCCCAGCTGGTAGGCAACGCCCAGCAGCAGCGGGTTCTGCATGCTCGTTTTGACGGCCTCCATCCACCCGCGCGCCCACGGCCGCGTGACCCCCGTGGCGTCGTACTTTTCGACGACGACGAGGAACTGGTACAGGCGGGTGAGCTCGAGCTGGTCGGGGACCATCTCGAAGCGGCCGTGGACGATGTGGAGCAGCAGCTCCATCGGCTCCTGGCGGTCCTCGGGAAGCTCGACCGTCCAGCTGTCGCATGCGTCTGCGGGCCGCGACTCGGCGAAGCCGCCGTACAGCATCTTGTCGAACACCGCCGACGCCCTCGCCAGGGCTTTCGAGCACACAAAGTACGTCTTTGTTTTCTCTTCTACGTCCTTGCCGACTTGGAAATACAAGTCACCGTTCGAGTCGAAGACGTCGAGCCCGCCCACACTTCGGATAGCCGGTTCGCGATCGGCGTCTTCGTCCATCATCGTCATGATCCTGGTACCTTCCGATGAGACAATGTCCTCATCGACTCGGTGCGTCTAAGGCTCCCGATCCCGCAGAGCGCGGATGCCGTCCACCTTCTCCCCAGCCGCGCCAACCTGATGAAAGTTTTGGAGGTCGTCGGCCCGGCGCGCGAAGCTCCCAAAGGTGGCCAGATTGTGGCCCGTGCACGTCGTAGGACGCTGTTCAGCAAAGAGACGGGAGCGTATGAGATCTGGGCGACACTTTCAATAAGAAAACCCTTGGAGGGGGAGTCGGAAGGATGGGTGTGTCAGGATCGAGCCCTCTGAGCTGGTCGAATCAAAGACATGTTCATGCCAGGAGAACAAAGGCCATCCAGTGCATGAACGGCGTAGTAGAAAGAGACACGCACGCCGTCGGGAGATATACAAACCATCGGCCAGAACCCGGCCCCCGAGGCCCCCGCGAACAGGCCAGACCCTTGCGGTGCAACCCCCCCAATGGCCTCTTTGCATTTCGGAATCCCGCCTAGTGCCCCCGTCTGCCGCGGCATCCCACCCATTCGCGCCGCACGGAACGCTCGCGCGGGACCCCACACTCCGAAGTCGTCGCCCGAGACAAATGACAGCATCGTCGAGCGTCTTGCTAGCGGGATCTCCTCGTCGCGGCCGAAGCCAATCGGCGGTTCTGTCCGCCGGCAAGGAGGGCGGCAGCGCAACTTGCACCAAAGGTTCCGTCGACATACATCCCGCAAATGAAGGCGCCATTGACTCTTGGAAGACAACAAATGTCTACCGTTTAGAATAACCATGTCAGACGTTATCAGAACTGTAGATTTAAGCATCAAGTAACCGCACCAAGTACCACTTCCCGCAAGGCGTGCGAAACCGACGGACGTCTCCGGGGCTGCCGGTATCCCACCGGCGGCACAAAGAACATTGTTCTAGATTGATGGCTTCGCAGTTGATAGTCAATAACGGCGCCTGCTCATCACTTTCGAGTCTCGGCCTGAGTCGTCATACCACCAAGCGCTTGTGTGCTACACCAACAATCACTCCTGCTCTTGGTGGCGAGTGACAACGAACAGCAACCGAGATGTGTGTACCTCTGTCTAACAATCCGTTGCCTATCAAACCATCGCATAAGCCATTACTGCCACCGACGCCTCTCGATGAAACCCCACTGTCCGCCCACCTGGCCAATGCCCACTCTGCTGGGTCTTAACGAGCCATCATACTGGGAATCACACAAGAATCTTCAACGTGAAGGATATCATTTCGCACAGGAACCTCTGGGCAAGATTGAAATCAAGCTTTCCGGTGTTGAAACAAACAGAGAGCGTCGTGGCCCCTCCCCAACTTTCCATGAAAACCATCCTAATACTGGTTAGCATGTCGGCAGTGTCGAATCACGATAACTCACACATCGGCATGATGCGTGTCAAGGTGGAACAGGCAGTTCTCGACGGTCATCATCCGTTTGCCAGCCTTGTTACAGATCTCGTCGGGGACATATTTGTCCACAACCCCGTCACTTACAAAGATCTGAGAAACGCCTGTTAGCAGCGCGTATTCAGCAATAACACTGAACCACTTAATAGGTGACGGACCGGAAAGCTGGCGGTTGGTAAGGGAGAAGGCTCACTGTAAACATTGTCAGCTTATAACATTGACGGCCTTAGCACTCATAGGCGGGGCGCACGTTTCAGCCTCGCTTGCAAGCTTGTTCCATCTGTCTTGGTCCATGGCCAGTTGGAGTTCATTCCCCAGAAACCTCCCGTATGATTTTTTGATATGACAACAGAGCTTCTTGAGATTGGCCTTGGCCGCCTCCCTGTTTCCCTCCTCGACTACCTATTGTGCGAGGGGCGCCAGGTCGACGAAAGCAGTGGCCAGGCACGATCCATAGCGGCGGTCGTCATATTTGCCGTTCAGATATCGTCGACCGTTCACAAGCAGCGGCGAAGCGACAGTGGCAGAAGCTGAAAAGCCTGATGGTATAGGACTGACGCGGAGCAGAGCGAGGATCATGGCAGCGTGGCCGAGATGGGTTAAGGTGTAGTCTTGGCCGAGATGTTGCTTGACAGCCTGCTTTACGGCCTGGCTTTGGTCGATGGTAAGACTGCGTCTAATTGTCTTCGGATCGCCCTCGGCATCGGTAACGGGTAGTCCCCAGCCAGACTTCCAGGCTGTTAGTTTAAGGCGCCAAGGAGAAGAGGAGAAGCGTCTGAGAACTAACTGCTCCCTCATGCATAATCCTTTCGTGCTCGTCTCGTTTCTTCGCAAAGCCATACCCGATTGCAGTCACACCAGGCCTGCACGCGTCGAGAATGGATCCTGCCAAGTTGTCTGTCTCGGTGCCCCAATCGTACTGTTGAAGAGTGCTGAGACTCGGTCCTTCGTCGGCCCACAGCTCCCCGGCGCAGCGCAGCAAGTCTCCCACAAAGATGCGGGAGCTTACGCCATCCCAGAGAACAGGGTGGAAAGCAAAGATGACCTTCACGCGAGCTCCGATCCCAAGCTCTGTCGCCTGGCTCTGGTTATTCGCGACGAAAATCTTGACCGAAGACAGCGGCAGGGAGCTCGTCTTACTGTCCCCGGTGATTATAGAAGAAAGCTGAATTCCACTTTGGCGCTTGATGGTCCTATGGATCGTTCGCTTGGCCCGGTCGGAAACACTGCCTGCGTCTTTTGCCACGGTGTAAGCAACTTCGGGCGGACAACCTGGATAATCGTAGGCTACAAGCCTGACAACTCTACAAGCCAATTCCGGGTGACAGAACCGAAGGTGAACGAGAGCCCTTGAAAAGCGATACTCCAGATCGTCTACCGTCGTGCCGGTTGATTGGATGCGGAGAGTCGTGCTAATGTAGCTGGTGTATTGGCCACAAGACAGGTACTCACGACGTCCAAGCCAAGCTTCGGCGCCGAGGGCCGTACGTATCCAGGACTGTGGGAGATCGGTAGCGTTAGCTAGACGCCATTGGTAGTCATGCGCACGTAAAGAAGTAGGTGGGAGAGCCGCCCTGGCTAGGTGCGGCATGGGCATAATGACTGGCGGTTCAGAGCGTAAAGAGGGATAATTCGGTGCTATTATGATTAAAGGAATCGTGATAGATCGATGCGAGAGTGGTAAACACTGGATCAAAGGTTTGGTCGATTCGCCGTGTGCCTGTTGGATGATGCTCAACCAGAAAGCCTCTAGATGATGGGAGCTCAGGTCGACATCCTGAAAGAACTGGTATCGCACCATGTGGAAGACACATGTATGGCGAGGAATGCATACCATCCTGGACATTCATGCCTGCCTCGCAGAGTAGGAGGAGTACGTACCAAATTGACTCGCATGGCGGCAGGAGCATCGTGCTCGTATCTGAGAAGGAAACTCCAACAGTAGCATTATCTTGTATGACGGAGCTTGGCAGGTTTCCCCCTCCATCATCTACCGGGCGAACTTGTTCTGCAGCCGCAACATATGACCAAGACTCGATAAATGCCTGTCTCCCGCTGGCGGTTGTGACTTTCCACATCTAATACAAGAACGAGACGAACATCGCTCAATATCACGAATGTTGACTGTTCATGGTCTTTTACTGCGTCTATCGCAGACTCGAAATTGGGCTCTGACTATAATGTATTTTGGATTGATGTCGTGGGCAAATACGCCTTTGAGAAACACCCACCAGCACCACACAGCACGCGAACATTTTGACAGTTGGCGCGAAACAAATGTTTGATGAAACAATAGGAATTACCAAACTCAATATGAGCCTAATCTAAAGCTGGCAATTTGCTTAAACTTAAACCCCATCGTCGCGATGCCGGTGATGCTGAGTGCTGATGGCCGCCTCCCTAAGCTAGTCTCTTTTCGTGCGACGTCGTGTTAATAAGCAGAGAGCGACGGGTGTCCCTTGCATCAGTCTCATCCACAAGACCTCCGCACCAACACATCAGCCTCAGTCATGAAATCTACCAACATCATACGGTCACGGCAGTAAGAAACAATGATCCCATTTTTTCCTCTTCTGTGATCTTCACCTCGGGATGGCGTACACAGCAGCCCCCGCCCGTCAAAGGTTGGCCCAAACATCAGACGACACCCCCTCCGTGCCCATCTCATCGCCATCAGCCCAAGCACCACCACCGCCACCATCAGACGGACGCGTTTCCCGCAAACATATACGGGACCCAAACTCATGGGACCCCAATCCATCATCAAATAACCCCTTCGCCCTCATCCCAGCCGCATCATACAACACCCTCGCCCAGCTCTGGCCACTCACGTTCCGCCTGCTGCGCGCCCAATGGCGGCTGAAATGGTTCCTCCTGCCAGCCCAGCCCGGCTCGCCACGCCAGTCGGACGCACTGCACGCCTTTTTCACGCAAGTCGGCCACGGGCGCTCGCGCTTCGTGCGCAACTCTGCCGTCGTCGTCTTCGCGATCCTCGTCAACCATGTGAGGAGGATGGTCTTTCCCGCGCTCGGCGTCGGCGGGTTCGGCGCGCCCATCGCGACGCTGAAGCTGGCGGTGGGAAGCCCGGAGATCTTCCTCAGGGAGGAGATGGACTTGGGAATTCTCGGGAGGAATTCCGGATGGGAGGGGGTGTGGAAGGCCGTTGGGGACGTCGTGGGCGGTTGTGCTCTGAAGGATGTCATGGTCATATGCTCCGATAAGTGGTCGGGGCATAGGCTTGAGGTTAAGATCATGCAAACGCTCGAAGGAAGCCATGCAACTGGGTCCAAGACAACGCCCAAAAAGTGGATTAACGAAGACGACGAATGGAAGATGATGGACCGGAAGGGCAGGGAAATAGAAAAGGACATGGTCGTTGGGGCGGTGGTCTACTTCGTCTGGGTTCTCGGATGCGCAGAGTATGTCCACGCGCGGGCGGTTCATGCTGTCGCAGTCGGCATCGCATACACCAAGCTCCTCCGCGGCGGGCCAGCCCACCACCAGGCCATGAAGGAGATCCTCCTCCCTTCTGCCCCTCTCAGCACCCTCAACGTTCTCGGAACCCACCTAGAGCTGGCCTACTACATCGTATACGGACTCCTGCCGCTGCTTTCCCTCGCGGCCACGTTCGCCTTCAGGGCCAATCCCGTGAGAAGCAGGCCGGAGCTGGCTTTGCTGGTTGCAGGCTGGGCCTGGGGCACTGGATACGTGACGCGGTACTCGAACAAGTACTACATCGGTCTGGAGATGAGCGGGCTCCTGCTTGTGCTGTGGTGGATCTCGGCGGCGGCGGCGGTCTTTGCGTGGAGCGCCGTGAGGGCTCGGTTCAAGGCACGAGTTCTGCGGGTTTGATATTGGTCGGGCTGCTGACCTTGGATCTCACTGAGCGATCGCGCATCACGAATGGATGCGTCCACTCCCAATGTCCCCGATTATCGTACGGCTCTCCGGGACCTAATAAGCTACAACCTTCAAAACAAGCCCCATACATCTGACCGCTTCCCGGTGATAATGGGAATCGGACCCTCCGCCAGAACCTCGCGCAACCCCATGGAGTTAGCGCTCTGACGCCAAGGATAATTATTTCCATCTTTTATGTTCAGACCAGCGATCCTGCTCGGTCTAGGGGCCAATCACCTATTGCTCAATACGAAATTACCACTTCGGAACCAGAATCAAGCTCCCGATTTGGCCCCCGAACCCCAAAACTCACCCAGGTCCTCTCAGCAAACGGTCAGCACTAACCCTATATCCCCTTGCGGCACCTGTCCCTAGATAACGGCTTTTCGAAATTCATCGTACATAAACAACTTAGCGCCCAGTGATGGTTTCCCCAAGCCTGTACAGGCCCTTCTCCAGGATATTTCGCACCCGGCGGCGGTGGGTACGTGACTGAAACAGCCCAGACTCGGCCGGCCCCTCATTTCGTCCCATCATCGACGCATCATTCATTCCCTCACCGCACACAGTCCCATCCGGCCGCGCGTATCTTCCCCATACGGCACCGCGAAACCTCTCCTCGTCACCCGCTTCCGCCAAAAACCACCATGGGACCTGTGTATGCCGGGCTCGTCCTCCTGCCGTGCCTCTGGATAGCCTCGCAGCTATGGACCCTCTACGCCAACTACCGCGCGGCCCGCCTCACGGGCCTGCCCATCGTCGTGCTCCCGTATAACCCGGACAGCGTGAGTGAAGAGCGAACCCACACCCGACGCCGCCGCCCCCGGTGGCCTCGGCATCCCGCGACGAGGACTAACACGCCCGCCAGGTCCTCCACATCGTCTTTGCTGTGCCCCTCCGGCCCCTCCTCAAGCGCCTGCTCCCCGCCCGCGCCTTCGCCGCCGTCGAGCTCGCAATCTTTGGCTGGGAGTTCCGCGACAAGGCCGCCGTCCACGCCCGCATCGGCCCGGCCTTCATGATCGTCACGACGGGGCTCAACCAGCTCGTCTGCGCCGACCCGGCCATGGCGCAGGCCATCCTAGCCAAGCGCAAGGAGTTTATTCTGGCGGATATCTCGATCAAGATTATGAGTTTCCTGGGGATGAACGTCCTGACGGTACGTTGAACCCTCCTGGCGCCTTGAATGAGAGATGCAGTGCCATAAAAGACGCCGTTTGTCCAAGTCCGCGGCCGGAGTGGTAGCGCTGACAACCCAACCACAGTCCAACGGCGAGTCCTGGTCCCGCCAACGCCGCATCGTAGCCCCGGCCCTCAACGAGCGCATCAGCCCAGACGTCTGGAAGGAGACGGCGGAGCAGGCCACCTCCCTCGCTGACCTCCTGCTGTCCTCCTCCTCCCCGTCCGCCACCTCCGCCGACGGCGCGTCCTCCGACACGCTCCCCGGCCTCCGCTCCATCGCCATCAACGTCCTCACCCGCGTCGCCTACGGCCACCGCAAGCCCTTCGCCCTGCCCTCCCTCCCCCGCGACCCCAAAGCCCCCATGTCCTACGTCGACGGCATCTCCCTCTGCGCGGAGCTCCTCGCCGTGTCGGCGCTCGTGCCGGCCTGGCTCCTCCGGCTGCCCATCATGCCGAAGCTCCTGCAGACCCTGGCCGTCGCGCTGACGAGGCTGCCGGACCTGACGAGGGACATGCTCGATCAGGAGCGCCGGCGGTCCGCGAGCACCACCGCCGCCGGCGACGCGCCCGACACCATCATGAGCATGCTCGTCCGCCTCTCCGACCAGGAAAAGAACCATTCCGCCGCGGCCGCCCCCTCCGAGAAGAAGGCCGTATCCAACAGCAGCCCCAACAACAAAACCTATCTCACAGAGGAAGAAATCGCAGGCAACCTCTTCATCTTCACCGTCGCCGGCTTCGACACCACCGCCAACACAATGGCCTACGCCGTCGCCGTCCTCGCGGCGTGTCCGGAGTGGCAGACCTGGATCCAGGCCGAGATCGACGCCGTCCTCGGCCCGGCGCCGCCGGAAGGCGAAGCCGACGGGGAGTTGCCGGACTACGCGACGGCGTTCCCGAAACTGACGCGGTGCCTGGCCGTCATGGTGAGTCGCTGAACCCTGCCTCCCTCGACCTTTGTCCAAAACCCCGTAGATGCGTCCCCTCAACCAGACAACCCGGAAGCTGACCTCCAGCGCAGTTCGAAACCCTCCGCCTCTTCCCGCCCCTAACCCATATCATGCGCTTCACCGTGACCCCCCAGACCATGTCCTCGTCCGCGCCATCACCCTTCTCCCTCCAGGCCCCGTCCATAGTCTACATCAACACCGTGGCCCTGCACACCTCCCCCTCGACCTGGGGCCCAGACGCCCTGGACTTCAAACCCACCCGGTGGCTCCAGCCCGGCGGCGCCGGGGAAGCCGACGCGACACCGCAGCTCATGACCCCGCCCCGCGGCACGTTCCTCCCGTGGTCCAGCGGCCCCCGGATGTGCCCGGGCCAAAAGATGTCCCAGGTGGAATTCGTCACCGTCATTGCGACGCTTTTCCGGAAATGCACCGCCGAGCCGGTCCCGAGAAAGGGGGAGAGCATGGAGCAGGCGAGACAGAGGTTGTTGGACTTGACGCAGGATAGCCAGCCAATCGTGACGTTGCAGATGAAGCGGCCCAAGGATGTGCTTCTGAGGTGGACGAGGCGATGAGTTGGGGTTGCGCCTGTTTCCGCACAGAGAGCCTAGGTCTTGGGGCCCGTGCTCGCCATGTCTAAAGTGCCAGCAAGCGTCGCTAGCCGTCAAAGACGCTGTCACCGAATGGCCGGTTCATCAAGCAAAAGAATATTCGGATTTCTATTACGATGTATGCAGTGTTCAGAGTTGTGCTTAGTAAACTCCGTTTTCGCCATGCTACCTACCCAGCTTCCCCCGAATCCAGTTAACGTCCTCCTTCCCGTTCCATCAGTCATTACGCGTGCCTCACTAGCACGTCGTTTTCATCAGTTCCGTTTGCCCTTCCTTTATTGAGATATCCCTTTTTTTTTTCCCGCTCGCATCCAAAAATGTTGTCTAGACTGACATATCATACAGCATAACCGACGGGAGGTCTTCACTCGTCAAATCCAGCGGAAGTCGCCCGTGGCAGGGCCCGATTCTGTTATAGAGGATGAAAAGTCCCGGACGGTTGACTTTTCTGGTACCTAAATCACCGCAGGTACGATGTTATCGGCTATTTTGCAGCCTGTTGATCCGCAAGAGCAGGACGAAAGTCAAAATGATTGCCGGCCTACTCAGCCTGTACGGTTTCGCAGACTGCTCGCCCGGCCGAATCCCGGGAGCCATTTGCGCTTTTGTAACGGAGCGCCGCCACTGCCGTTGTTGCTTATCGGAGTCGTTTCCGAAGACACTGGCGTCCCGTTTGCTTTTGGTGTATGCGAAGCGTATGCTGCCATGGTTGTTGTAGGCGTCGAAGGAGCCCCATCAGCAATGGGGGCACCCTCGTCGAAGCTGCTGGACCGAGCAGGTCTTGGTTTTCGCATGATGGGAGGCGGTGTCGCACTGTCTCGATCCTCATCCACAAGGTGAGAATGTTGAACCCATGAAGGAACGCCCATCGTACCGGCCTTCGCTGTCACTGACGGAGATGGCTCAGCCACGGGAGATGCGGGCTCGGGCTGAGTTGGTGTGGTTCCGCCACCAACGGACCGCCTGAAGATGTTGAGACGATGCCCGCGAGATGCCGTAGCGGATGAAGGTGGGTAGTGGCTGTCCTTGGATCGGACACCGGGCTTTGACTCTGAACGTTGGGGAGTGTTGGCGACCGACTCAGCCAACTGGAGCATTTGCGCATCAACACTACTACGCCTTGACCCACTGCGGGAAGGTGACTTGCGTAGTTTCCCGTTGGCTGGAGGCTGCTTGGATGATGTTGAGCCCGTCTTCGCACCGAGGCTTGATCTTCGGTTTGGCGGGGGAAGCTGCTGAACGCCATCCGGGAAGAGTGCTGGTTCCGCCAACATGACGTCTTCCGCGAGGTTGCGGTGCTGTGGTGCAAGACCAGGGACTTCAAACGCACCACTAAAAGACCCAAACATGGCGTTTGTGTTCCATCCCCCGCCAGACGGGGGGAAGCTAAAGAGGTCCGGGGACGCACTCTCGGTGTGCTCGAAGTATTTTGGGTCTTTGCCCTGTTGCAACCAAATGTCGAGACTGGAGTCGAGTGAGTGAACGGAATCCCCGTCCGAGTCCCATTCAATATCGCGGCGGTTGGATATTGTTGTTTCACCTGCCGATCTTGGGCGAGGTACCAACGGTGGCTTCATGTCAAAGTAAGCTGCACTGGCTGGCTCGTTGCGGTCTACGAAAGAGCTGTGCGGAGCCTGTTGGAACACCGGCGCGCCTCCCGAATGCTCGCCTTCCTCATCCTTAGAGGTGCCGTCGGAAATGGACCTGTAGCTGCGCTGATCGGATACGCTCCGTTGATTGAAAAGAGTATCGTTCGACGTCTTGAACCTACGAAGCGTCGATGTGGAAATAGTGTCGGGCGTGGGAGGTAACGCTTGCTCGCCGGATCGTGAGGTTGGCGTGTCGGTCGTTACTCTCCGTAGAGCCTCCCTCTTCGCGTCCTTGACATGCTGGCGCGACTGTCCTCTACTAGAGAGAGGGGACTGATCCTGGGCTGGTGCCTTATCCAGGTAGGCATGATCGAGCCTGGCCAACTTCTGGAGGGGAGAAGTGTGGTCGATGATGTCGTGGATAGACTGGAACTGACCTGGACCAGGGGCACGCCCAACCGAGTTGGATCTGCTGGGCCGACTTATCCTCGTTGACATTGTGGTCAGCGGTCTTTGGACGTTGGATTGATCGCCGCCGTACGATTGCTTACGGGATCGCGGTTGCGGTGATGGGCCGTCCATCGGGCTCGGCTCATCCGCGTCGGCGACAATCGTCCGGTCCTGATCATCCTTGCCCCCATAGACGCTTACAAATGAGCTTTCGCTAAGAACACTTAGACTCGGGCTCGTCATGTCATTGACGTGACGTACGTCAGCATCTTCGCCCTCGGTCGTGAGCCTCGGCAAGCTGAGAAGGCTACCGCGTGAACTGAGGTACACTTTGCGCAAGTTCTCGGTGTTTTCTGTGCGGTCCGACAGAAAGCTCGGCATACGGTTGAGAGTATTGGCGTCTTCTTCGAGTCGAGCTAGATCCGCTTCCCTGGGTTTGGGCGTTGGACCGTTGAACCGAGACTCGAGGGCTTCGAGGGCGAGAATCCCAGCTGCGTCGACCTGCCGCACCATTTCTCGCTCCTTCAAGAGCGCTGCGACCTGAGCTTCGAGGGTCACTATCATCTGGACCGCCTCTTGCACAGCTTTGTCTCGCTTCTCCAGCTCGTCCAACAGTTTGTCGTTCACATCGTCAATTTGTGCTTTCTCGCCCTCGAGGGCGTCGATTCGCTCCTCTAGAGCGTTCTGTCGCTCGCGACGGTGGAAGAGCTCGAGCTTCAGGTCAAAATTTTGTTTGTGCAGGCTGGAAACGGTCTGTCAAGGATTTTGTCAGCAAGACGCCTAGACTGACGTGGAACGGAGTATGGTGGAATACTCACAGCCTCCATCTCTTTCACACCCATCCCCGTCTTCTTTACGGGCTCTGCATTACCTCCGCTTGACCTGGGCCGATGTCCGTCCACGGACTCACTCTTCACAGGGGAGCTCTGAAAACGGCGCGCAGCAATTTCCATAGAGGCGTTCATGTTTTGAGTTGACCTTGAGGCGGCCAGTCTTTCGGCTTCTTCCCTTCTCTTCTGTAGCTTGTCCTGTAGGTAAGTTGACGTCGCGCTCTGTCTTCCTGAATCAGACGTCCTGTCCCTCGAGACTGCAGAGCCGGGCCGGGAGGTCACTGTGGAGGGCGTGCAAGAGCTGTGGTGGAATTTGTGCGGAGGGTGAGCGCTTGAGGGCCGCGGGGAGGTGACAAACTGCGAAGTCGAGCTGTTTGTGCTTCGAGGGGTGATTCGGGTGGCGGTAGTACTTGTGCTAGATCTCGAGGACGGGCGAGGGTAGCTGGGGGAGGGATGTGACCTTTCGCGGTCCCGCGATTGTATTCGAGCAAGATTGTCCATCTTGTCGGCAAAAAAGAAACACCAAAGTGTGCCACGCAATCCGATTGAACCGAGGGGTTGCAGGTAAAGCGGGATGACGCTCAGCTCCGTCCTATAAGACGACTCTTTGGCCCAGAGAAGAAAGCCGGCAGTAGAATTGAGGTGCTCAGCGGCCGAATTGGGCAACGGCGAGGTGAATACAATCGGGATGATGCTTGCTGAGAGGCGCAGAAGCACGGATGACAAGTGCGTCGAGCTAGCGCAGCTGCAGGCGGTCGAGCTCGCTCGATGGAGGAGGGCGGTCGACGGGTCTAGATAAGAGAGGGACCCTGGATCGCAGCGCGGCAATGAAAAGCAATTACGGCGGTAGCGATCCTCTTGAGTCGTGCCGGTGGATGCGCTTTGAGGATATATCAGAGGCTGCTATTGCGAAGGAACAGGCCAGGACCTGGTTATCTGCAACAAAGGGCGACGCGACTGCAGACCGCGGCATGTAGCGGATGTGCAGCAGAAAGCGAGAGCTTTGCAGCGAGTCGGGACCGTCTAGACGCGAATGCTGCGTTGCGTTGGATGGCTCGACATGGATCGATGAGAGCTGCAAGGATGCGCTGGGCGATCAGGCAAAGGCTCGATGCGGAATCTTCTACACAATGTCGGAGCGGCAGCCAAGTAGAGCGTTGGAATATGTCGCAAATGGTAACCAGCCTGCCACGGGGTTCCTGTCGCGATGGCGCAGGAATGTCTCAACTGACGACGGCTGGTGATGCTGCAATGTCTCGAAGGGTGGGACAAACGAAGTAACGCAGGACGGGCTGACGGAGGAGGCTGGGAATGCAGGGGGAAAAAGTATGCTGGGTATCTGGAATTGAAGTGGTAAATGAAGCGTAGCAAATTGTTGATCTTGTCTTTGTGTGTCGTCACCGTCCACGTCGCAGTCGGCCAGCAATTCTGGTGTTGCGATGGACAACGATATCGGCGTCGTCCAGACGGCAACGAGGACGACAAAGCCTCTCTCTTCTTTCTTTCTCTCTCCTCGTTTTCGACTCCGCCAATGACTGACTGGACGTTGCTCTGAAGGGAGGGAGACCTTTCGACCCTGGGAAATGGATGGTGAATGGTCGACAGGGCTGTCGTGGAATCTGACCAATTGAAGCCTAGAGGAGCGAAGAGAGGGACAGGGTGGTTCGGCAGATGGTCGAGACGACGGGTGGTAATCCGGGTATTGGGACTCCGGCGAGATCGAGTTGTGGGAGGAACGAAGGAGACTGAGGAGAATGACGAAGCGAGAAACTACCCATTTCCCTCTTGCAGCCGTCAGTTGCAGGACAATTAAGAGAGCCGGAAGGAGAAGGAGAAAAGGGCGTCGTCTCATGCAACGAAACAGAGTGACGCGACGAGGGTAGCTGCAGGGGGCTCAAGGATATGGATATAGATGGAGAGAGGAGGAGGGGAATGATTCCTAGGAAGCAGGTGGAGAGCGACTACTGCAGAGTGACAAGCAGGCGTAGATTCCACCGGGTTGGCTGCACCTCAATCGCCGTCGCGCACGCGCAGCCAACCTTGGGTGTCCAAGAGTGGGATGGCAAAGGAATCAGACGCGATGGTTGGACGGAGCCGAGATGCGCAGCCTGGGGCGGAAGACAGGCAAAGGCTTCGGCTACAAGGTTCGAGGTGGAGGGAAGGAAGGTCGGGAGTGGGCTGGCCAGGATGGGCTGAAGCAAGGAATTGATTGCTGTTGGTCGGCGATGGAGACGAAAAAGGAATGCGTCTCACTGACTATTGCAGGCGATGAGCATATGATGTGACTACATCGAGGAGATGAGTGAGTGAAGATTACAAGTGAAATAATGTGAGATGAGGTAACCAACGGAGCGAGCCCGGCAGGTGAGATGAGATAAGAGCCGCTGCCGCCTAGGAAGGAGGTTGGAAGGAAGAAATCAGGCCATGGCAACAACGGCATTCGTTCAATTGAGACAGAGCCAGGAAGGAAGGAAGAAAGGAAAGAGCAAACAAGGATCGCTCCTCGGCTTTCATCACTTAACTATTACAATTTTTGCTTTTCCCATCCGACGCGTCGCTTTTGCAGTCTCTCTTTCCAACCATCCCACTTCTCTTGCTCTCCCCCTCACGCACCACTCGGGTCACCCAAACTCCATCCCTTCTGCCGCGCCTCACTCTAGGTAATTGTTTGGTGCCTGACCCCCGCCTCCGAGATCTTCATACCTATATCCCCAGGTCGCGCGCCGGTCCAGGAACAGGAATAGTAGCATCGGACAGGGGAGATTGCATGGCGTCGAGCTCGTCGCTATTAGTGCCCTCGGCCGGCACCCGCAAGTCGCTAGTCGATGTCTAGCGGCACTTTGGAAGAGCAGCATCGTGTTAGTACAGCAGTCAGTCGAGAGCTTTTCTGGTTGAAGTAAGCTTCGCGCTGTATTGATCGACATCGACATCGCCCGCCGTTTGCGTTCTTGTCGAGCTTTGCCTTTGGGCAGCAACCAAGTCGTTGTCGCGACGGAAGAATCCTCTGGTTACCCCAAGTGCAAGGGACCGAGCAGCGCACGCGTCTTTCAATCTCTCCCACGCCTCCGTCCCCTCAGATTGACCCCGGAATTGATTCTTCCATTTATCTAGCGTACGGGACAGATGCGGGCGGGCGTTATGGATGCTGCCTGATACGGAAGCTTAAGCTAAGCTATTGGTGCTATTGAAGCTCGAGCAATCATCTGATGGTTTTCTTCGGCGTCAGCGCTAGCAACCACAACTCGGCCTGAGCTTTCTTTTTCACAATTAGGCAGGGTTATGCAATGCTGGACTCTTAGTGCACACACACACATGCAGGGGGCCATCCAGGGTAACATCCAATCGCTCCGCGCTGTTATCCCTGTCTGCCTCCTGCAGGTTTTCCTTCTCCATTGCCCAATGACGGCCGATTCCAGTGTGATGGGAACAAGGCCATCCCCGGACCCCAGCAACAGGCTGACTCTGCCGTGCGCCTCCCAGGGGGCGCCATCACACCCGCAAGGAGGGGTTACTCGCATGCTTGCTTTCTCTTTCGAAGAGGGAGAGAGGACACACTGCTCATCGTTTGCCGAAGACGAAGGAGATGCTGGCGCTGAAGACACTTGATGGCAATCGCTAAGAAATCAAAGAGAGCGTGGTACAAGGCCGAGGCGTTACGCCCGAATATGATATCCGTCAATCAATACTGCAACACACTCAGGGTCTTAGCGGCAGTCGCTTCCATTGCCATCACCGTCAAGGCGTACGGTCTGCGGCTAGCCGTCGATAGACGCACCGGGACGTCGCAATTATACCTGATATTGATCGGTCCTTCATCCCGACCATGGCCGATTGGGCAATACGGACGGCTCTACTGTGCCATCTCCATGTCGCCCAGAGCCGTCGGATTTTGAGTGCGGGCCAGATATGCAAACCCTCCAACGGTGGGCCTGGCCAGAATGCCGGCCGGCTCCATGCACCAGACAGACGCCGTCGGCCGCCTTTGGTCAGGGCCCGCGAAAGACCAAAATAGCGTTCCCGAAATCTGGTAAACGTTCCGCTGGCGTGGACCCTTTACAGCTGTGCGCTCCAAAAGCTGTGCGCTCGTCTGACCTGACCCATGATGCCCGATCCCTGTCTTTTTCGCCATGCTTTTCGATTTATTTTTTTCATGGACCATGCATGCTCCCCTCCTCCTCCTCCTCCTCCTCCATACCTTGATACCCATGCCCAGCGATGCCCCGTCTCGATCGACCCGGGTCACATGTAGTCAACGATGGAGTTCCTCCCATGGTTTCGTCATGACTCAAATCTCGTCCGACAGGAGCCACCCGGCGCTGCTGTTGCGAACCTAACACGCCCAGCCGGCTCCCGGAGAACAGCCCGCGAGGTGTGACGGAAGACGAACCCGCATGCACGAAGCAACGCCGGCTTGAAAACTTGCGTAACGGCGAGTGAAACCTCACGCGGTCAGCTCGGCGGGCGTCAATCCACGTAGACATTCGATACCGGCCGGAACAGGAAGACTCTCATCTGACCGTTGAAGTGTGTTGCAACCGAAACGCATTCTCACGTTCCACTGAGACCGAATCACTGCCATAACAGTTACAACGAGACGGGTTTCTTCAGTGACTGGCTATGAGGCGTTAGTCCTCATCCCCAGAACAGAAGGGGACACTCAAGGCGAAGCACCGCCGACCGACAGTTAATATCCCTGCTGCAACCTAACCCCCTGCCTGAGTCGCTTGCAGCAAGGATACGCGACAATCACGAGTGCGACGCCAGAGTGCCCCTTGAATCGTCCACCTTGGTTTGGTTTGCCATCGAATGATCCCAAGGACACGAGTATCTGGCATCTAGGTGGTGTACACGTGTAAGGGGCGCCAGCCTTTTCCCTAGTTTTCTCTTCACAGCTTTAGTGTGTACACCGTGTGTTATCCATCCAAGGGACAACCTGAACTTGGAAAGTTCTGGAGAGCCCCCTAGTCTCCGGATCATGCAAGCACTTAAAGTTGACACTAAGAAACATCGTCACTCTACCGAGCCCCTCATCCAAGACCAAGAACTTGGTTTCTTTTTATTGAACGCCTGGCCCAAGCGTTGGGGGGAGGTTGGTCATGCCCATGGCCACGGTCCCCACTGCTTTTTGACCTGGGAGCTATCCAAAGCTGAATAGGGAACAGAATTGTGTAGGATACTATCATACTCCTTGCATGTGTCTTGCATCAAATTTATGTAGGCACCAAAAAACGATATTGCTCACACGGTTATGTGGTCTTTTGTTGATTCATTCTACTCTACTTGAGTCCAAAGGTCTATACGAAGGGAAGAATGACATGACTTGCACAATCTCCTCCCAGATGCACGACATGTCTGCCCTTGTTCAGACAATGATTCATCCCAAAGTTACTCACCGCAAAACTCTCCCCGCTCACCACCACCCTCACGCTCTCCCCCGCCTCGAACTCGACACCCAACGCCCAGATGCCAATGTCCAGCCTCACCACCTCGCCGGGCGTGATCTTGTCCTCTTTTTCGTGGGGGTGGAATGGCCAATGCGGGTGCATGCTCCTCGCTTCGTCGATGGCGCGATGTGACGCCCTCAGGATTCCTACGGGGCCCTTGTAAAGCACCACCTCAGTCTCCTGCTCCGGTTTGAACTCCTCAAACGACTTCACTGGGATGCCCTTCCAAGGCACGTTGAGGTTTTTCATCTGCTTGCCTTCCTTGTCGAGTTTTTGGATCATGATGTACAAGTCCATGTCGTCGTGGTCCGGACAGGACATGTATAGCACGGCCTTGGGCAGGCCCATGATGCGGGTTGTTTCGGTGAATGTGTAGTTGAAGCCGACGCTTTCCCCGGATTCTGAGTCGTAGCTGACCGTCGTCGGCTTCTCAGGCCCGCTGTCGGGAGCGAGACTCCCCTCGGAGCTCAAGTAGAACTGCCTGTACTGCGTCCGGGCCGGTGGGAAGTCCTCTTCGACAACGTTCTCAATGGCCTGCGGCACCTTGTTCTCAAACCGCAGCAACGCCATCCGCACCTTGGGCGTCTTCTCCCAGCCGTTTTCAACATCTTTGAGATAATGGTCGAAAAACGAAAACAGCTCCTCCTTGGCCTGCGGGTTCCCCCAGAGGTCATACCACTCCTGCCACGGATGCCACCGCAGCCACTTCTCGTCCGTGTTGACCTCCAACCAGCCCCGGATGGCGCCCATCCCGTGCATGGTATTCGTCCACGTCCCCGTGATGTATGTCGGGACATTGATCTTCTTCATGTCAGGCCTCTTGTCGTTCCACCAAGAATTCGCCAGCGGGTGCTGCTTGAACATCTCGCGGAAACTCTCGATCCCTCTTCGCCCCTTGAGCATGTGCTTGACAATGAGCTGATCAAAGAGGTCGCCGGCGTAGATCCCTCCGCGTGCGAATTGCTCCCTGTACAAATCGCCACAGCCCTCCCACGGCGCAATGGCCTTTAAGCTAGGCGGGCGGAGCGCGGCGATGAACCACTGCGCGATAGCAAGGTGCGAGTTACCCGCGAGCCCGACGCGGCCGCTGCACCATTCCATCTTCGCCACGGCCTCGATCGTGTCGTAACCGTCCTCCGCCTCCTGGGTGCCCATGATCACCATCGTGCCGCCGCTGTCGAACGTTCCGCGCGTGTCGACGTTGACGATGGCGTATCCGCGGGGCACCCAGTCAGCGGGATCGGGGGCCTCAAACTTTTCCAGCCCGGAAAGCGTTCCTGAGGGGATGCCCAGATCCCATGGCGTCATGTAATTTAGGGACATGAGGCCGTTGAACTTCTTGCCAAAGGGGGACCAGCAGATGAGCGCGGGCACTCTTTCGTCCGTGTTGGCAGGACGCAAGACGTCGGCGTAGAGAATTGTACCATCTCTGGCAGTGATGGAGACATCGTGGTCTACCTGTATGTCACAGGGCAATGGGCGGGCGTCTGCGTGGGGGTGCTTCCAGCCCTTTGGTAGAGTCTCTGTCCTAGGGTTGAGGCCGGTGTAGCCATCGCGGCCAACCACTGGTGAGCTCAGCGGCTCAACCGGAACTTGCCAACCGGGTTTTTGCGTGGCTGACATGGTTCCACGGTTAAAGATGGACTGGTAATTGGCTCAATGGCTAATGAGGTTGAAAAAGAGCAAGTGGAAAAGCCCAGCCGATGACGAACAATATTGTCGGGGCATCATCTCAAACAAGGTCCTTTATGACAACAAGCATCAAGCTGCCCATCCGTATCCATTAACCGTAATGTTCCTCGAGGTTTCAATCCGAAAACATCGACATCCACACCACCATCAGAATTGCGGCCCGTCCTCGCGTCTGCGGGATCGAGGCCCACAAACTCCCGAAACGACCGCCACACACCAGCCGCTGCCGAGCCGACGCATTCCGCACCCAACGCAGTGTCCCCCCCCCACCCCCTTTCCGTACCGAGCCGATGGGGGTTCTTGGTCGAACGGTCCGAAACTCTGGAAACCATCGGAGGATGTTGTTCGGGCGGTTTCTTAAGATAGATCATCTGAAGTCGGAAACGATGACATTGAGCTTCAATGTGGGCTGATGGAGTCGTCGGACGACATCCATCAACGTGGATGAACGTCAAATATAAACCCATATCCATGGTCCTCTCCGTAAGGGCCCCTGAGCGCAGCATCTCCATACTGAATACTGCGCAAAGAAATCCATCACATTTATTTGACCATTTTCAGCCAGTTTTAAGATGGTAGCCGCTACTGACTACTCAAAGCCTTCGGCGACTATCACGGTCCCGTTCACCAAGAAGACCGAGTCTGTCTCTGTTGCGCCTCTTATTCCTGAGCCAGCCGGCCCCAGTAAACTCTTCTCGAAACAGGGTGTGAGCTACGGCGACTTCCGCGATGACCTCGTTCGGGATGGATATGTAGTCGTCAAAGGCGCGGTCCCGAAAGAGAGAGCGGCCAAGTACGGCGAAGAGATGATGTCCTATCTCGAGAACTTGTAAGTTGACACCCTTGTCAGGGTATTTACCAGGTCATTCCAGAGTACGAGTGCTAACATGACTAGCACCGGAGGTCTTGGTTTCAAGCGTGACGACCCCAGAACCGTTAAGGAATCCAACCTCCCCATCATCACCGTGAAGGGCATGTGCCTCGGCTACGGCATCGCCCACGAAAACTTCACCTGGGACATTCGCCAGGAACCCGGCGTCGTGGAAGCCTTTGAAAAGGTCTACGACACCAAAGACATCATCGTCTCATTCGACGCCGTCATCATGGCATTCCCCAACCGTACAGACATCAAGCCCAACAACCCCTGGCCGCACCAGGACCAGGACCCAGCGAAGCCTGGCTTCCGCTGTCTTCAAGGGCTCGTCAACATCCTCCCCAACGGCGACAAGGACGGCGGTCTCATCGTGTGTAAGGGCGCGCACCGCCTCTCCGAAGAGTTCCACGTGGCCTTCAAGGACGAGCCCAACAAGATCTGGGCCTGGACAAAGGAGTGGTACGGGTTCACGGACGAGGGCATGAAGTGGCTGGCCGACAAGGGCTGCGAGTGGCTCAAGATCAACGCTGAGCCGGGCGACCTCCTGCTCTGGGACAGCCGCACGCCGCACTACAACCTGAGCCCCGAGGGCGACTCGCCGCGGTTCTGTGCGTACACCTGCTTCATGCCCGCCGCCGAGGCTACGCAGGAGGACCTGATCCGGAAAAAGGGCGCGTTTGATAACTTGCAAAGCACGACCCACTGGCCGAACGCGATGCATGTTGGCGGCATCCCGGTCTTGCGGGATGGCAAGCCGTGTCCTTATAACACGGGCAAGCCGAGACAGGTTCCGAAGCTATCTGAGAGAGGATTCCAACTTACTGGCATTCCCTACATTCAAGGAGTGCCAACTGGGGTATCCTAAAGTTTTGGCTAGGACGGACGAGAGCATGAATGTTGGATAAGTTACATGTTAGTATAGCCGATACTAATGAGACAAGGCGGTTATTTCAGCTTTGACCAATCGTGTCCACGGGGAAATACAACAAAAAATGTTAACCCGATTGATCAAAACCTGCGTTGCGCGCAATAGTATCAGGTTTGCAAAACTACAAGCCTAAGAGATGACTGTAACACTGATGCTTAAGGAACATCAGTTTGCGCCGTGAACAAACCTTGAGTAATCTTGACCAAGGTCCTTAATTACCGTGGAAAAACATCTGTGTCCGAATCCGAAGACAGAATCACATCAAATCGACGCTTTGGTCGCACATTAAAAGGTTTAGAGATCCAGCCTCGAAAACATACTTGGAACTTTCAAATTGGGTCGTAACACGATTAAAGTCTCAGTAGTAATTTCAATCAAAATATTTAATGAAGTAATCTGATTCCAATCACTGAGATATCTCCGGCCATACCTTCTTCGTAGCCCACATTCTGATGCGAGAGCCAAAGTAGTACACCGGGAAAGTGAGAGCCCCAATGACTCCTGCAATGATGGCAAATATGTTCATTGCGCCATTGTATCCAATCAAGTTGATCAGCGGGACTGTCGAGTAGCTGAGTCCGAAAGAGATGAAGCCGCGACCGGCGCAGATAACTAGGAGGAGTGGCCCTGCCTTACTCGGGAGGCTTTCAATGGCGTAGGTGATGCCAACGAGATTGGCGCCAAGGAACGCAAAATAGCCAAGGTTGTACGGGGCTACGATGGTGATCCAATGCCATCGGTTAGGGAACGCCCCTGCTTGTCCGAAAAAGACGCATGATATGATGGCTGATATTATCGGCAGACTTAGGATAATGAGTCTATACTCGGGCTGTAATAAAAACAGTTTAGCACTGGAGGTCTCGTTCAAAGATGGAAGTTACTCGAACAAACCAACGTACCTGAAAAGTGCCGTTTCTCCACGTGCTGAGTGCTCGCACCAGCATGTCGGAACCATATCCGAGAAGCGGCACGAGAATGACGCAATCCAAAACTTGCACCAATTGAACATAACCAAGCCAATCGTACTTGAAGGTATAAGGAGGAGACATCAAAATGCTGGAAAACGTAGAAGATTGGTAGACGTAGATACCCAGGAATGCACCGTTCAACAAGAGCATCCACACAATGTTTGGCAAGCAAAGTGCCTGGGCAATCTCCTTGTAAAAGATGACAGTTTGTCTCCAGTCTGGCTTGAAGTGGAAGATCGTGAGGTTGTGACGCCATGTTCGTGGCCCAAAGACTTCAGGTTGCAAAACGTGCGTTTGTCTGGTCAGTACCTGGAACACCATCTCTGTGTCGCCGTTTTTGTTGACATTTCCGTCCTCGTCGAGCTTCAAGTGAACGGCACCCCCTAGGGACTCAGGCGTTAGTTCTCGTGCAATAAGCTTAGGAAACTTCGAGACTTGAAAAGAACTTACTATCTGCATCAACCGGTCGTTCATACTTGGTTTCAACGGCGAAGAAGAACGCCAAGACAAGGACAGCGGCGTTGATAAACGTGGCGATGAGATACCACCACTTTGTTCCCCACGCAGGAACAATATAAGCCGTTGCGATGAACATGGCAGCCGTGCCCACAGTTTGAACTCCAATGAACCACGATAGCTTGGCGCTTCTCTCGTGGAGAAAATGTATTTCCTCGATGATAAAAGGAGCCAAAGCTTCGCTTTGACCGGCAGCGAGGCTGTAGATGTTGCGACCAGCGATGTGACTGCTCAATGACATTGAGAAGGCACACCACAAGCCGGATGCCACAAGAAGAACAAGAGACATTAAGAATACGGGACGTCGTCCCAAGGTGACGCAAAGTGGCATGGATAACAAATTGCCGATGCCCATGAACAGTGTTGGATATGTGAGAAGGTCTGTGGCTCGCGCGGACTCTTCAGGTGGATACTCCTTGAGGACTGATGGGAAAACGGCGCCCAAGCCGGAAGTGACGAGAACAGCGATGGCCGAATATGCACCGACAACAAATATGATGAGATATTTGTGTCATGTTGGTAGATTCAGAGGGTCTGAAAAGAAGAAACGGATATTAGCGTATAGACAAATATCCAAAAAAAAGATGAGATGTTCACAGTTCCACTTTACCTTTGGGATCGGGACTCGGCGTGGGAATCAAAACGACTGAACCACCTTGAAGCAATTGCACCGTCCCGTAAGCCTGTTGCTCTACTGCACGATATTTCCCATCGTGTGTCTCAACGGTGTCAACATGGGGCCTATCGTCTTTGACAGCAGGAAGATTCGACATAGCTGGCATTGTCCTCGAGTTTGCCGGCTGGGGAAGTCGGCGAAGGGTAATTTCAGGGCTCAACAAATAAAGGTAAATACACGTCGTTGTGTCTCAGCACAGACCAAACCGGCAATATCTGACTCGTGAAACTGGCAGACGCCTACAATATGACGAGGTACTATGTTTACAGCTATATACGACTTCAATACCATGGTTGGAACCGTCTTTGCATTAGTACACTCACACGCTACCTTTGCTGGTATCAACAGTGTAAGACGCCAGTAATGGAGAGCCATGCTGCAATTTGGTGTCCAACCAAAGTTGAGCTGCTGCCACAGGATACATCAACTGGGTCATCGGCTCGGCTCAGACCCATCAACTCCCGATAATATTGTCGATAAGATTCCTGAGGTAATAGCACCAAATGCGGGGATTGAAACTAATGCTCCCCACGTCCGCTTTGAGGTTAATCCCCACGGGGTTGAGCTCAAGAAACTTGCCCATTTTAAGAGTCAAGATGGCTGGATGAAAATGATCGAGCAAAAATCTTCCTCTTGTAGGGTCTCCAATTCAGGGACACCCCACGTTCCGATCTGGTCTAAGCATCAGCGGGATGAGGGGCCGTTGGCTTGAGCACCATCCAGCTAGGAACCTCCGAAACGAAAGTCAATCCGTTCTGCGCTGCCTCAGTTGTTTCGGAATAGTAAAGCAACACTTTTCATAACGACACGTTTCGGCATCTCACCTGCCCAGCCGATCGTCATTCCACCTCCCGAGCCTTGCAAGCTCCATCAACCAGTAAGCTAGTGGAGAAGAAAGTGAATACGATATGCGAGGAGCTGACACAGTATAAGCAGACGCGCGGCAATGACATCGTACACGAACCCCGTATCCACATCGACTGGCTACCAGGCCGAATCGGAAGGGACAGCAGCCAAGAAGCGACGAATTAACTTCGCTTGCAACTACTGCCGCAACCGTAAGACGCGCTGCGACGAACAAAAACCTTCCTGCAGGGCTTGTATCGCCGCCGGTATCGAGTGTATCACCACTGACCGCCGGAGACCCGGCGTCGAGGTCCAGCGGCGCGAGACCAAGCGCCGCACGTCGCAAGCGTCGACCTCGTCTATAACTCATTCGCTAACGGCAAACACGTCTCCACACTCACCTCGAGATATCGGTACTGTAGAGCCGGCCGAAGCCGCGGTGAAGATCTCACCTCCAGGGAGCTTTCACGGCAAAAAAGATCGAGGTTCCACAGCTAAGATTGCAGCTTCGACAAGGGAACACATAGCCGTTATCCATGAGAACGAAAAAAACGCGACAAATCAGCCAGCGGCAAAGTATCAAGGGAAATTACCCGTGGTGCGACCGAGCCGCGGCAGTAACTCGGTTGAGATCCTCGGCGATTGGTTAGATCTTGCGGCCCGTCGGCTGGGGATTCAACAGAGGCGCGGCCTACCATCGGGCCCCGAGAAGGCTTTTTCTCATCGCATCCGAGCCCTTCTGTCATCTGAGTCCCTCCCGTTCCCACCCAAAGACATTGCGCATCAACTCACGTCACGTTACCTTAATGGTGTGAATCTAGTGTATCCTCTGGTCAATCGAGACCGCTTCCAACGAGACCTTGATGCAGCATTGGAGCATGGTCCAGTAAGCTTTGCCGAAGCCCGAGGCATAGCGGCCTTGTCGACTGTATACCTAGTCTTGGCTATAGGGTTTGCTTCTGAGTCCCTATCAGAACTACCTTCCGATGCGAGGGACTACATGTTGTACTGCAACTCTCTTCTTGGACATCTTGTCCTCAACAACAACGTCAATACTGTGAGAGCAATAGTATTGTTGTCTCTATGTCTCAACTGTTACGACAACTGCGCTGGCGCCTTCAATACCCTCGGCGTCGGAGTTTCAATGGCTGTGTCGCTGGGTCTGCACAAACCTCGTACCTGCCAAGGCAGTCGGCGTGACCGTCCAAGTTGGAGGGAGGACTTCGTTGACGACGAAGAACGGAAAAGGTTTTGGCTGGGCATATATGCTTTTGAAAAGTTTCTAGCTTTTGAGATGGGCCGTCTCTCTTCCATCAACGACGAAGACTGCTATCCCCCTCGTGTCGACATGCCTGTTGGCAACGGAACATCCTCGGAAGAAAAAGCTTTTCCTGTAACGGTCGATCTCGCCAGAATCCTCAGTGAGATTGGCCGCAAGGCGGTCATCGTAAGCCGAAAGGAAGATGGGCTTCGTGATAGTGCCCTGCCCACCGTCATTGCTGAAAAGGTTCAGACGACTGGAGAGGCGCAATTGTTACTCACGAGATGGGGCGAGTCAGTACCCGATGAACTGAGGTATGTATTGCTGTTTGAGTGTTTGGCGACTGATCCAAGAAAATTCACAATTTCGAAAACTCCAAAATAGCTAACAGCGCATTTCCATCAGGCCAATATCAGACATCTTGATCGGTTCGAAGATTTGTCCTTTTGCATCATTCATATCTATGCATTACAATAACGCGTAAGTAGTCCTGCATAGATAACGAATTTTGTTTAGATGAAAGTAATCTCTAACCCGCGTAGGCTTGTTATCCTCTCGCGCAACAGTCTTCTCATCAGTGAAGAGGCAATCACCACAGGCGCAAACATCATCGCCAAAGGGAAACCATGGGACTACATTATGCGAAACGGCCAATCCCTAGCAGCAAACTCGGCCCGAAAGGTTCTGAGGATTGTTGTCGAAGCTGTGGACTCCAAGTCTAACGTAATAATGCCCAATTTGCTGGCACCGCTCCACGCACTTTCGACACTGGCTGTGCATGTGATTACACATCCAAATTCTCGCATCTCGACGATGGACCTCCATGTAAGTAGCTCTGACCACCCACTCAAATGCGGCCGTCAGCTCACTCTAGGTGCAAAGTTGATTCAGACTTCGTCGGACTCGATGAGAGAAATATACACAAGAGTCCGGGGTGATGGTCTGTTAGACTCTTTGCTACAGAAGCTCGATGCACTCCTACAGAAAGGTTTACCACCACCGAGAGCATCAGACTGTCCACGCCTGAACGGAACGACTACATATACGCCGAGATCGGAAGCTGACCCATGGCAAAATGCAGGGGAGGACCCCAGCCACCGAAAACCGGAATCTTCCTGGGTGGGCAGTGCAGAGAATCGACCTCGAGAAATGGATGGCCAAATACCCAATTCGACGATGCCCTTCTTCGACCAAGGCCATGCTATCCCTGGAGAGAACGATTTCGGCTTCGACTCATTCGGCACGATGTCCATGGCCGGAGATGAATGGTCTCCGAGTGTATCAGACGGAATCGGCTGGGACTGGGCTTGCTTTTCCCAGCTTCTATCGGAACAATATCAATCCTAATAATTCATCTCGAAAGAACTGCCACGTCTTGCTAAGAACATAACCGTAAGCACTGATCTCTATCAAAGCCTGAGACTTGATGTACTTTATGGGGCTTGTCACGAAAAAGCTCAACCAAAACATGAAATAACCCCGGTCTTCATGGAAAAACTACTTGTCACAAAGCCTCCCGCCAATCGATGGATTAGCGCGCAACAGACTGGTTCACCACTGTCAAATCAATCTCTAGGCCGCTTTATCAGCTCATGTTTGAAAGACACACAGAGCTTTCTCCAGCTCAGGATCGGGCGAGTGAGCTAGGCCGTGTTCCTCGACATCCTATCCTTGCCCATGCTAAACCCCGCCTCGAGAAGATTATAACTCAAAGAAGTATCGTCAGCAGGGTGGTATGACTTATAGAATAGTTGTCGGCAATCCCTAGCCGAGTATTAGGAAAGGGCCCCAACCTCCAACCGCCTCGACAGCACTGGTCAGGTTTGTGATGTCTTTCAGCAGCATCCCGCCGACGATGGTACGCTGAAGGTGTCGACCGTGTGAAGAATGACGGCCAGCATGAACGGGAAAGATACCGTGCGTTTCCTCCCGTACAGCAGCGTCTTGCCGCTGGGCGACCTGGCGTACAAGTGGGTAGGGTGTATTGGAAAGGCTAGTTTCTCTTAAGGGCATTTGATCTAAGCAAAGCGGTTAGTAGTCAGGAGAAATTGGCTCGGTTGTCGAGGATTATACTTCAAAAGGTCACATATCGTGAAGATAGCGTTCCGGTTCGATGACACAAGCAGTCAATACTTGTAGTTTTGCAACCACAAGGCATATTACTATCGCCCCCTCATCCTTACCGATCCTTGTTCATGGAGGCTGCCTGGATTTCCATGAAGACTTCCGCCTACCGTGAGATTTGACAGATCAGAAGCTCAGTCGAGGTTAGTAGCGCCCCAAACAAGACGGCAGGAAGTCCACATAACAGGATGCGTCAGTCCAGACCCTTTGAGGCTGCAGTGCTTTGCTCTAAATGCGGACAAAAGGGAAATAAAAGTTGCAATGCTCAAAGCAGGCATCTTTGTCACACGTTTGAAGATGTCCTTCTTTCGTATTGTGTCCCGTGTCAGTACCATCTTCCTCTCTAATAACTATGGTGTACATATTCCAACTTGGTGTCGAGGTTGCCTGTAGCAATAAGCTTCTTGGCCTCTGCTACATTTACAAGCACGCCGTAAAGGCCCGATACGGTATCGTGAGCCGACTTCTGCCTAAACAATTGAGTCAGTCATTGACAAGCGAGCATGGTGGCACAGCAGTAGTCCGTGCCCCGAAGTACATATATGTAAAGGTCAGCCTAGTGGGTTTTAGTCTCTGCACTCCTATGGATTCATTCTTTGCGTCACCCCGGAAGATCATATGAACCATAGCATACGGAGAGTGAGTCGCTGCGATGGGATACTCTGAAGTCTGTTGCCATTTATGCGGCGTCAGCTTCAATATCGGACGTCTACGCACCCCTGAAGAAGTTCAAAACCCACCCGCTTTGTCACCTGACCTGCTTCTCGACTTGGCACGATACACCGAAATCGCCCTTTACAGCTCGAACCGATGCCGTCGTATGGACGGTTGCATGATTCTCAAGGATATATCACTCAAGATCCCGACCGAAAACGCAGAAGAATACGAAGGAGAACACCTTCCAGGCCTAAATTGCATTCACGGGGGAGGCTACCAGGGCCGTTCCATCTCTGTGCAGGAGATGCACGGCTGCTGTACCGTACAATGCCTCATGCCCAAGCTCAGCTATTGGCAGCCCGAAATCGACGATCAAGAATTCGAGAAAACTGAGGATTTCTTCCTAACTGGTCTCTCCGATTTTATGCCTTCGAGGGACGCTGACTATCCCACTATGTTTCCTGTGCGCCACAAATGCCAAAGACCCCTCACAGATAACTTTTTCTGGTCTGCGGATGAGGAGCGTATGACGGGAATGCCGTTCCATCCTGCCTGTCTAGAGCTTTACAAGCGTGCTTCGTTGCACAGGTCTGGGAAAGTCGACGTTCAAGGCTTGATGGACTGGTTCTGCCTTGAGGCAAAATACGAGATTTACAAGTCCTTCCCACGTTCCGAAGCCGTCAAACGAGCAGAAGGGCAGTGGTGGGTGCACAGGGAAGGGGATGAGCACCTTGCAGCCAACCCGTGCTTTGTGCCCAGTCTGCAGAAAATCTTGAGGATTCGCACAAGGAACTTGGCCGATGATGAAGACTGGTGCTGCAACGTCTATGGTGTTGAGGCCACAGCCTCTTTCTCATCCAAAGCAAATGAAAAGTTTGCCGAGTAACCCTACGAGCTGAGAACTCAAATCCTCTTTGAGTTGGACTCGCCAGATATCATAAACCTCCGACTTGCCTCTGGTGCGTTCCGCAGCCTACCACAATCCGTCTTCCGCATTCTTCTTCTACTTAAGAAGCCCTGGATTTGAGAGGCGTGGTGCATGCTTCCCTATTCATTCTGGGCCATGACGACTTCTGCCTCTCTAACCAAACAGCATAAAAGATGGGAAAAAGAGCAGAAGGCTTTCTACGACTCCTTGAATCATCATCTTGAGAGATTTGATAATCTATTGGGGTTGCAAGAACAAGGGATTCATTCTTCCCAGGAGACAATGGAGAAAGATGCTGAAAGGGAAAATGCCTGGCAAATGGAAATGAATGTTCCTGTACTGTCATCTACACAAACTGACTGGTGGGGGATCCTCGTTGAGACCGAGAAGCAGCGGGAAAACATCCTTGGTTTGATGAACCGGGAAAGAATCTGGAGGGATTGCGAGGAGATTTTGGACCGCATCGACAAATTTCGACGCGAGGGAACGATTCGGCATACATTCGAGTCGGACGAGACGCCATGTCATGGCGTATGACACACAATCGAGGTCAGTTGTCTTAAATGGGCAGCTATGTAGGAATAGCGCTCTCTTGATGATTTCAAGTGAGATAAGTACAAAAGTCTTCTAATTTAATGGACGAAATCTCTGAGAAACGTACTGCTCACCAAGACCTCCTAGGCCTCTGGTGTCTCACGGAAATGTTTCTTCTCTTGCCATGATTGAACGATATGGTATGACCAAGCATTATTTTCAGCACCCAAACTCAGGGTACCGAACTTCTTTTATGGATAAAAAACCTATGTTTTTCTAACCAGCTTCATTTGTGAATTTTATGATATTTAAAAGAACAGCATTTCCAAGCTTGTGCCAATCTTTTCATGTTTGTGTCGGTTGTTGTCCCCACTTCCCCAGACAACCCTTCACAGGAACCGGCATAGAAGCGCGACAACATGGAGATGGAGAAGGTACATTTACTAAGTAGTATGTACTGTAGGACACCATCCAGTACATCAACATGGAGGATGCAATACGCTGATGCCCTTCTTTTAATCTCAGTTGCACATATCCTCATTATGGTTCCTCGAAAACGTTGCAAATCCTCAAAGTTGCCATCAAACCTTGCCAGCCCCTGTTTTACCCACCAATGCTTGACTAACACGCTCCGATACCGGCGACCTGTGAGAAGGGATTTTTCTTCGACTCCATTCAATTTAACAAGAATTGTGTCAAGCAGCGGAGGTGACCCCGGGAAATGGAAAGAGTTTTTACGCATGCGGGAGATCATTCGGCGTCATGCAAGGCGGTCTGGGGCAATGCACATAATATAACAAGCTTCGATCCCCGTCCTAGCACGTCTCAGCCGCAACGACTCAATTCCCGATTTGTCTCCATCTTTGAAATTTCTAGTCTGCACTGGACACCATGAAAGAAAAGAAAGAGGGCTCATATAGCGACGGTGAGGCTTTGTCCAATAACCTGGACAACGCGATTGCACACGATGCCGTCTTTGGAGATATTACATCAGAAGGACCCAACTACCGTAGCGTGCGTGACCATATCCTGCTTGATCCAAAATTGAGATTGTTAACATTATCTAGGTTGGGTGGTTGGGTACATCGGTTCTAATGATGAAGACACAAATTGGCCTTGGAGTTCTGTCAATCCCCTCCATATTCGACACGCTCGGAATGGTGCCAGGAGTCGTTCTCCTCTGCGTGATAGGCGGCATTACGACCTGGTCTGACTTCATGGTTGGCACTTTCAAGCTTAGACACCCACATGTGTATGGTATTGATGATGCTGGAGAGTTGATGTTTGGATGGGTAGGCCGTGAGGTTCTTGGTGCTGCATTCTGTCTATGTAAGTTTCCAGAAGACGTCATGAAATTGCCCATTGAGCTGACGACAGTGAAGTGTTCACCTTCACCTCAGGGTCAGCGATGTTGAGCATTTCTATTGCCTTAAACGCTCTCTCCATGCATGCGACATGTACCGCCGTATTTGTAGCTGTCGCCGCCATAATCGGTTTCGGCTTCTCGAGCCTACGGACTTTGGGACGCATCAGTTGGCTGGCTTGGATCGGTGTCACAAGTATTGTGGTTGCTGGTGAGTGTGATGCTTGTTGTTTACATGTGCAAGTCGCAACTAACGCCCGATCCTAGTTCTTACCGTGACCATCGCTGTGAGTCTTCAGGACCGTCCCGCTGCCGCGCCACAAGACGCTGTATGGGAATCCGACTTCAAGATTGTCAACACTCCGACGTTTACCCAAGCTATCAGCGCCATCTCTTCTCTGGTCTTCTCGTATGCTGGTACTCCTGCCTTTTTCTCAATCGCAGCCGAGATGCGTGACCCGCACCACTACACCCGATCCCTTGTACTCTGCCAGTCGGTCGTCACTGTTGTTTACCTAGCCGTAGGAGTGGTTGTTTACTACTACTGCGGGTCCTACGTGTCGTCACCCGCCCTCGGTTCTGCCGGCCCTACCGTCAAGAAAGTTGCTTACGGCCTTGCGCTTCCTGGACTAATCGTTTCAGCGGCTGTAATGCTTCATGTAGGTACTTCACTCTTCGACAAAGAATCATGCTGACCCGCCCACAGCTAGCAAGCAAGCACGTTTTCGTCAGGATTCTGAGAGGTTCCAAGCACCTAGCGGCGAATACTTTGGTACACTGGTCGACGTGGCTCGGCTGTACTTTCACCATTACTTTGGTTGCATATATCATTGCCAGCGGCATTCCTGTTTTCAACAGCTTGATCTCTCTCATTGGCGCCCTTTTAGGCACAATGATCTCATTCCAACCAATGGGTTGTATGTGGTTATACGATAACTGGAGCAAAGGCAGACAAGCCCCCACTCTGAGATGGTATCTTATGGCTGCCTGGAGCTGTTTCGTCATTGTATCGGGAACTTTCCTGACGATTGCCGGCACATATAGTGCTACTGTTGGCATTATAGACGACTATAATGAATCCGGCGGTTCTGCAGCTTGGTCTTGTGCAGACAATTCAAACTCAATATGAGCGGGTGCCCGGAGTTTACAACCCACTCAATGGTAAAATACGTAATAAAAGCACAATTTTTCAATATTATCAAAGTACTTCAAGAGTTACTCACGATGATTCTTTGTTGCATTGCAAATATGTTGTAAAAAATGGTACTTATTGCGCAGTGCGAGGTCTGATCTCATCCAACGCTAAATAACACTCCTTCAATGTTCGAGTGACGAAGAGGGCTTATGGAGACAAACGGCGGATGACTCCATTTATTTGGCTGTAGTTAAGTCGAGCCATGAGAGATATTCGGTCTCGGACAATATCACTATCCCCTCTTTAGATTGATTGTTTGTTCCAATTCCCCGCATGAACCTGAGGGGTCCGTCACTCTTCATACTCCACAAGCCGGGAACACCTACTGGATTTGTCCGAAGCGGGTGTTGGCCATGAAATCTACCCACTTCGGGAAATGAAGTTGCCGTAATGTTCCCATTATGTTGCCTTCCAGTTGTGTGCATGCGATATGATTCATCCTTTACATGATTAACCATCGGACCGCGTGCAATTGCTGCATGCAACGCGAAATCATCACCATCTAAGCCTTACTCATCGCAGAACAGTTGAGCAACATGACAGATCTACTCATGGCGGATTGGCATGGTTCTTCAACTTTGGTAATACTTTAGCTAGCTGAAAGGCTCGGATATGGGACGAAAAATACTCTTTGAGCTGTGAATGCACTTGCCTACTTTCTACTTAAATGGGCTCAATACCCGAGATGGAAGCCGGTAGGCAAAACATGCTTTCGATTATTTCATTAAAGAAACCTTGAAAGTTACGTTTCAACGTAGTTTGGCTCATTTCTAGTTGCTTCACAAAAGTTAAATGAGATTTGGACCAAGGTCAAGCATCATGTAACCTAAGTCATAAGCGTAGACGGCTGTAAACACAACTCCACTGTTGCCGACTGTTTTCGTAAACCTAATGTTCTGATTTCAAATTTTTAAGGGAATTTTTACAGCCATTCCTATAAACTAAGTATCACGTTTCCATTTGAGATTAATTCCGACTTTGAGATCAAGTAACCTTGGAAGTAAAGTTTGTAAACATACGTGTAAATCATGGAGATAGGATTTGGCACAGGTCACTTTTTACAGAGAGCCATTGTCACTCGTGATGTTAGTACTGAATCTGGTTGACGATTGGGATTGGTTATTCTACTAGTCCCAACAGCGGAAGTAGTAGTTTCGCTGGAATGGGTGTTTACAGGCATATCCGTTGGTGTAGATATATGCATGTGCGGAACCCTTTCCCAAGTACCACTAACACTGTTCTCTGTGGCCGTTTTAGCTGGTTGTCGCCGGGTCGGAGTTTGATCACCGATACGGTGAGCTATATCCGCTGGGCAAACATGGCATTTTGATACCGTGTCGTAAGCTTGAGTTTTCGGAATTTTCCGTCATCCAGCAACCATTGGTTTCAGTTCGAGATTCATTGGCCAGTCCTCGTTTTGAGTGGGCTTTCATGCAGAACAATGGCGCTTTCAAACAAGACATCACGGTCTCGTTCGGAAGTACATATTAGCCCTCTTCAACCACGCTACAACAGCGCCTAATTCAGATCATGCTATGTGGGGCAGTTATCGTTGCTTTTCAAAGCGCTATTGGAAATGAAACCAGAGACTATGGTAGAACTTTACCTAAGGTAGTTCAATATACTTAGTGTTGTTTTGGGTAGAGCTATTCTTGTGAATAGATTCTGAATCTAAACTCATTTTGTTATAAGTACCATTTATAGATCGTAACTTGTAAGCTCAATAGAAATCAGAGACAAGGATGTAAGAGAAACATATGGTGCTGTTGGCTTAGCATCAGAATTAATTCTGTTGAGTTGAGGTAGTATCTAGGTTGAATGAGTAATGTGTGTCTAAGCCACGGCGCGGTTCTGGAGTTGAGTCTTCAATGTATTCATAGTATCCTTGTTCGGTATTAACTTCGGAAGGTTCCTACTCCCGGGTTGCACAGTCACTGTAGGTTTACGTGCGCTACCTCTCCAAAATCTATTGTCTCTTAATGTATATGCTTGTTTGGAGCTAGGCACCTACGCGTACGATTACTTAAGCATGTTGATCATGATATTTGTTGTGTCTTCTATCGCAACGCTCCTAATTCAATACCGAGAAGAGACGTTGTTACCTTAGAGCATGGGGGATTTTAAGAGAGACTCTTCTGTACCTGCATTCATCGCTAAGAGCTCTTGAGTAGATGCTGAAAAAACGAGGCTGTAAAGACAACTTACGCAATGAATGATGGCATCGTAAGGATCTATTTCAACCATCTTAAGTGCCAAGGGTATCCAACGTCCTGACTATGATCATGTTCTTCTAATTCGGTGCGTCCAGATGGATTCATTAGTAAGAAGTCCTTTTTACTAATTATGATTGCGAAAAGAATTTAGGTGTGTGTCATAGTTGAAGAGTACAGAATACCGGCCCGCCACCTGGTTAGGTTTTGCTGTTCCATCAAACTTGCCTGGTGACTATGGAGCCTTTTTCTCCCCCCCAGCTATGTGCAGATTGCCTCGGCCCCAAGCTCGCCTCACCTGGCTTGATGTGAGAGATGAGCAAAAGCGGCGAGCCACACCCAGCTCAGCAATTGGCTAGAGAGTGACGAGCCTAGGAAGCTCCGGACGCAGATTTTACACTACGGGATGGCTTCGCATTGAAGTGAAACTTGCCATTCCGACAGGGATTAGTTAGTCGATGGTTGGTCAACGGCTCCTTCGGTTGGTATCCCCGTCAGACCCATCCTTTCTTCAGTCGAGAAAAACCCGCACGTTATGGTTATTTATGACCATTTGATGAAATGCAATCCGAATACAGACCCTACATGGTATGGGTCAAGCGGGAGGGGAAGCGGACCGGGAAATCTTTTCAAGGGCGGGCCGTGACCGGATATGACTGTAAGACCCCCAATGGAGTTGTTCATTCATGCATTCCCCTAACAATTAACTTGATCGTAGTTGATGAGGGTCTCCAGTGTCACAACCGCTATGGCACTTTGGCGGTCGGACGCTCAGATCGCTGGATCGACAGAGTGCTGCGGCCTGGACGCTGACTGATACTTTGCTCACACGCGACCCATGAATAAATGTACTCTTCGAGGCGCAATTTCGTCAGGCGACAAATTGGACAAAATTGAGATGTGACGAAGCGTTGGAATTGTTGATCCACCCTCCACATATGTACGTGCTTCCAGCAGCTTTGACACGCTGCTGTGGTGCTGCTAGTTTAGGCATTCCATGTCCCTCACGTATCGTATTTTATGACTCTTGACTATAACGCCGTATCTAATTCCCGTCTCAATGGAGATTCTTAGGCATACTTTTGTACCATTTTGAGGAGAGCCTCCTCAACCTCTTTCGGGCTGGTAGCGTTCAGGTAATGACCACCTCCCTCAACCATAGTCAAAGTCGCTTCGGGCGAGGAAGTGAAGAGCTTGATCTGCTCCGTGGGGATGTTGACACCAAAAACAGGGTCCGCAGTTCCCTAGGTCACATGTCAGTTTATAATTTTCGTCATAGTGGGTTGCGGGCCCGGAACCGGTGCAAGAAGCCAGTGGCGATTGGAATTACGTACCTGGAGCCAGTAGACAGGGCACTTGATGTCTCTGATCCTGAGCAAAAGGCCATCGCGCGACATCAGGTTGCCGAGAGCAATCTTGAGCTTCTTGCGACCTTCGTCGCCCTTGTAGACAGACTTGAGGGTCTTTGTCCAGAACTCAAGGGTCTCCGGCGGAACAGTGCCGGAGAAGCCCAAGCTGCCAACCATGCCGCACCAAATGTCGTCAACGATGAAGTCAGGCGTCGGGACGGGGCTCGACCAGGAGTCGTAAAAGGCCAGAAGCTGGGCCTTGGGGTCCCAGCAGCCCTTCGCCCGCGAGTCGGCTGACTCGTAGTCCATAGAAGTGCCCAAGGGCAGAAGACCCAGGATCTAGATCGTCGATTGCCAGGTCAACATAGTTCAGAGACGAAACACTGTAGGTCATTCTGCAAAGGATTGCGTTGTAGGCAGTGCAACGTACCCTTTCCGGGGCCAGGAGGGCCATGCGGGTGACCATCCACCCGCCTTGACTCGTGCCAAGAGCGAAAGCCTTTTGGACGCCAAGCTTATCCATCACCTGCAATGCCATAATAGCAGTGTCCCAGTAAGTGAAGTGTTCGACCGAGCAGCTAGTAGCGCCGTGGCCGAGAGGCTCAATGGCCAGCAGATTGACGGCACCCGTCAACGTCTTGCTATCAAACTGGTCGTTATAGAGGGAGACGGTAGTGCACATGGAGTTAATGAGCACAACAGTCGGCTTGGCGGAGTCAATCTTATCCCCGGACAGGCGGTAGCCGGCTGCGATGCCGCCGAGGTGGGGGACTTGAATGGTGGTTGTGGCTGCCATGATGTGCTTTCGTACGTGGTGCGCTGTTTGTGTCGTGTGGTGTCTAGATTTGATTTTGCTCGATGGGAGAAGTGGCTTAGATTTTTTTTGGTTTAGTAGCAGGTTCGAAAGAGACATATGTCTACATGTACTATTGTTCCTTGGAGGCTTCTGGATAATGCACCCCTCTTGGCGCCAGTTGCGGGTTTCCTATGGATGAGTTGGCGGTGAATCTCAGACTGGCGACCCCGCTAACCCGTATGAGAAGTCAGTCGAGTTGTAACCTCTCTTGCAGTAAGCTGTGGCTTCATGTTCCAAAACAGTTCGCTCCGCGATGAGGCCTATCCTTGTTTCGGTGCTGTGGATTGAGCAGAAATAGCTGTTGACGACTCCAGTGTGTCCAACGACAATGCGGGCCCAATTCGCCAGTATCGGTCCCTTAATGAGGGGTTATCCAACGCCCCCGACCTTTTCTTGATGAGTGGATATTGCAGAGCTTGCTAAAATCGACTAGGACGCCGCGGAACTGGATTTGTCAGGGAAAAAGCTGTCTTGCTATCGCCGAAGCACAGGCATCGGAGGAGGGACTGGAGATGCCTCGGGATTTGCTTTGAGGAGCCGAATGACAACCGGTTTGAGCTGGCCATGCTTTCCCAGCTAGCGTACAGGCTAACGCTATTGTGACGGGCCCCCGAAGTACCCGAAGGCAACTCTATTAGTTCATTTCTGCACTATTGATCTGCATCCAAAAAGGGGGATGCATCGGCAGCGGGCCGGCATTAAACGGTGTTGGGGCAATGGTGGTGTGCGAGGTCCATCTTGTGATGTCTCATTGGGTATTGTGGTGTCAGGGGCGACGAAATCGCCGGTGTTTGAAAGAGACCGGACCGTTGAAACTCAGTTCCTCCCCGGCTTTGTCTAGAGTTTAGAGGAAACGAAGAATCGGAGTGACGGGAATACCCTTCCTCTAACCCAATATGTCGGTTTCCTGGTGCACAGATTGGCGAACGTCTGTGTCTGTTGCCGTTCAAATGCCAGACTTTAAATGTACAACATGTGCTTGACTGGCAATTATTATTATGGTCCTGCTGGATAAATTCTTCAACGGGGGACGCCGATCGTCACGGAAGCATCCATTGATCCTCTGCCGCAGCCCCCAGTGCCCACGGTCATGCGTTACGAATGGCGCAGGCGGCTGCCGAGGCCTCGCTTAAATCTCCCTGGTCAAGTTTGTTGCTCCTAGCTGATCAGCCCTGGACACAGACAGCCCAACTCCGCATGCGGAATTGTAACGACATCAGATCACCGAAAAAACAGCCGCAAGGGATCTCCCGATGACACAACCATGAAAAACGTTGGCCCATGCATGAGGCGCAGGACAGTGACAGCACTAGCAGTCTTGGAAGCCAGACGATGCTTGTTTAAAGCATTTTAAGTGGAAAGACGCGGCAACGGACGATGCCTTCCGGGGTCATCCCATCCAGCCATGCCATTTGCCCCCGTGTTTGTGGAGAACAGCGCCGAAATCATCAACATCGTTCGAGCTCCGAAAGCCTGTCACCCTTTGCCGCTAGCAGCGTCGGTCCACAAAGCGTGAAAGGAAAAACACGTTGAAACATGCACATATTGTGGGCATCCTCGTCTTCGTAGAATAATAAGGTGATCAATCCTACGGTACTTTTGACGAGAAATTCCACATAATGCCGACATGGAGGCCTATGCAGGAACGTGCAGCCCAGGAATAAGACAAGGAAGGGGTTCACGTAACTGCCTCGTGGCATCAGAGAAACCCTCTCTCAATTTGTGACCCATGTATGCATTCCAGACGAGCTCGTGGTCCTACTAGCCCACTCGGCAAGCCAAATCTTGTGGAAGATCCAGCCCTTTTTTGGGCCGTATATCCCGTCTCCCATATACACGGTGCTCTCCGCCGCTGCCGTTTTAGCAATGAGGCAACATCGGCTGAGCAGAGAGATCCATCAGCCTAACAGGTGTCGAACGAGAAGAACGTTGCCTCCCCCAATTTCTGTATCTTTTCGTCATCCTACCTTGACCAGGGGTTCCTCCATATACAGTCGTCGCAGAGCTTTCCAGGGGTTAGGGCCCTTGGAATGATACGTCTTGCAGAAGGATTCCCATCCATGGTTCGCTGCCTGGCAAATAAAGTGATCCAGTCGCCCTGCCCTTATGGAGTCTCGCGAAGTGGCCGGGCTGATGAGATTCTTGACTGCCCAGAGTGCCATCCCTTCTTCTTTCTCTTGTTCCAAGCTCTCAGACTGGGTCCTCCCCCGTATTTGGAGACCAATCCCCCCCACGGCAGGGTCAATTTTGTCCAATACAGCATCTCGTAAGGAGGGGAAATAAGTTATTTTGTTACAAATGAAAGGATGCCGTCAGATTCTGGCCCTTCACAGCTACCCGGTCTTCCGGGCTTCGACCCTCAGAACATACAGCCATGGACTGTTGAAGTCGTCGTTTCGGTCACCCTGCTTGCGCTCATATCTGTCGCTTTGCGGCTCTTCAGTCGCCACACAAAGGGACAGCAGCTGTGGTGGGATGACTACTTGATAGTCTGGTCAATGGTATGTTTTCAGCCATCATTCAGTCCTGTGACAGATGGAGAACACAGTCAATGATAAGGCTAACCATGATATAGCTATGGAACCTTGTTGTTGTGGGCTTCATTTTCGCGATGCATTCCGCCGGGATGGGCATCCACGCTGACAAGGTCGAGATGGACAGCATCGTCCTGATGGCAAAATATCTCGTGGTGGCAGAGATTCTCTACGCCTGGAATCTGGGGTGGACTAAACTAAGCTTGATGTTGATGTACTATCGCATCTTCCACATCCCTTTCTTCAAGAAGATGATGTGGTTTGTTATCACTTTCGTCTTCGCCTGGGTCATTTGCATTACTTTCCTCTTCATCTTTATCTGCGTTCCTGTTGAGAAGCTCTGGTACCCCGATATTCCAGGCAGATGCATCAACCAAGTGGCGACATGGATCGCCAACGCGGCCTCGACTATCTTCACCGATCTGCTCATTCTACTTCTTCCTCTCCCGCAAGTCTGGAAGTTGCAGTTGCGATACGCGGAGAAGATCGCCCTGACCTTCGCCTTTGGCCTCGGGTTTTTGTGAGTTCGCATGCGTCTCTTCCGGTTCTGCCAAATAGCTGACATAGACATTAGTGTTGTCTTCACCTCAGCCTACCGAACCAGTGTCCTCTTCACCTACAGCGCGTCCGACCCAACCTATACCCTTGCCCCGACTGTCGGCTGGACCGCCATCGAAATGTCTGCCGGTATCGTCTCCGCCTGTCTGCCTACCATTCGTCCGGCTATGCAACGTATTGCCCGTGCTTGTGGTATTAAGGGCAACATGGGTGGTATGTTCCGCAGCCCGACAGCTCTAGGACTTGGCTCTAGCCGAAACAAGTCCAACTTTAGCAACGGAATGTCGTCACAGGATCCGAACGGCGGTTCTCAGGTTACGCGTAACCTCTCGACAACGAAGCATGGAGCCGGCCAAGATACATTTTACCGCCTGTCAGATGACAACGGATCCGAAGGCGCAAGCCGCCAAACCACGCCCCCACTGGCTGAGTCGAAGTTGAGGCCCGACATAACTGGATTCGGATACTCTGTCACGAGTTATCCAATCAAGGAAAGCCAAAACAAGAGCGAAGACGAAATTCCACTCCATGCCATCCGCGTGCAGAAGGATTTCAAGCGTACGGCAGAATGAAGCCACCAAGACATCGACCACCACATAATAGCATCGAGGAGGACTGTTGTTGCTCCATATCCAAAGGACAGTGAACTACTTGAAACGGATCTCATGCTGCCATCATCTTCAATGATGACCACTCTTCGCCGGAAGTTCTTGCCAAAATCAATGGCACTTGGAGCGGTAAATGGTCCATCGTTGGTTGCACAAAGACCAACTTGTGACCTGTGGCCAGCAATCAAAGCTGCAAACCAAGCAGAGCTCATACACCACCAAGCGCAGTAAAGCACGGAGTAACGAACATTGACCACGATATTAATACAATAAACCAATATGGCTCTAAATGAGCCGTACGGTACGATACAAGCCTTGTTCGTAAAGCCCCGGAGTACATGTATATGCCCACACGTAGTTATATCAAATTTTACAGCCTCACATCGCATTCCACATGGTTCTTTATGCTAAGCGAGTCCTTTTCTCTTTAACGTCTGTTGACACATAGCCCTTTCTGCTCCTGAGACACGATACAGGCCTGGATGGCTCCAGAGCCAAGATAAAATGAGCCACAGCTCATGTTCTCGAGCTTCGCGGCCGCTGTTACAGGTTTTACCGGAAATTCTTAGCGCCCTTTCGAATGGTACTTACTGTTTCCATAGACGGTCTCGAGGGCGGGAAGCGTCAGTTTCATTGAACTTGAAGATGGAAAAGATCTTCGAAATGCGCTGAAGCACCGGCGGCCACCATCCCTGGTTGGTTTTACTCAGCAACCCCTGGTTTTCCAACTGCTCCTTTTCTATTCCCCGGCAAGTGAAATTCGATGGAATTCTCATATCATTGAGCTCGGCACAACCTGCACCTCCGTAAGTTTCAGAGACTGGCGATCGGCAACGTAAGCTGATCTACTGCCATGTCAGGACAGAACTTCCACATCACATTGAATTGCTGTTGGGGCAGTATTTGTTTACTTCCTGTATCGTTAGGGGGTTAACTGTTTTGGTCTTTTCCATGTCCCGGTTCCAACAAACTTGGTCGCTTGGATTTGGTTAGTGCTTTCGACAACGGGCTAAGCCATCCGGCAGATAAAATCAAGCCGCTCAAACCGATTTGGGCTTTGAGAATGCCTCAATCCAGGAATTACTCATGCCTATATACTTCGCCTCCTTGGTTTGGTCACATTCTATCTGCAAACATTCTAGACCACTGTTGAGAGAAAGCTGACCGATATTTGAGTGAAATGGTGCGGTCGTCGTGGCTTGAATTGTATAGAACGCCATTTACCAGCGCTAAGCCTAGGAGAAACTATATGCTTACTCCTCCTTCTCTTCTTCAGGCTTTTGGCCGTAGACTACATTGCTGCAAGAGGGATCAGTATATGTATGCACTTGTTCCTCAGGAGAAACACTTACTAGTTCAACCAGGCATGAATATTAGGATTTTTCAAGTCTCTGCGCACTCCGGACAGGAGCACAAGGACTTCCTCTCTGGTCCAACCGAGGGCTCCACAGAGTAATCTCATGGAGAACCCTTCCAGGCCGTCCAACATCTGACAGAGGTTACACATCCCAATATCCTTCAGATGAGGATCTTTGGCCCAGGGGCCAGCTGGAATCTTGTACGGCTGGTGATGGATGTTAATCAGGCCGGTGTTTTCACGTACCAAGCCTTCTAACTTTGGGCCGATTTGGCCATCCCGGCCAAATCGGTCGCAGGCCTCCATGAATAGATCGATCCAGCGCATGAGATCAGTACCTTCAGTAGAACCATCGTCAGAATGCAGCATGAAGCTCCAGTCCTGAAACTCCGCCCAGCCACCAGGACTAAGGTTCCTACAAAAGTCTATGCTTTAGCCGTCAATCTATCATGACATGGGCTTAGGGAATAATTACTCGTAGACACGCTTCATGTATGTTGGCCAGTCTGCCAAAGAACCGTTCATGTATCGGCTAAAAATGAAGTCATACTTCTGGTCATGAACCCATGCACTCTCAACATCGTCAATCTCAAATTTGACGTTAGGCGGGACCCTACGTGAGCGTGCAAAGTGTTAGTACACTCTTCTTAGTTGGACTTGAATGCGGAAATACTACCAGTCTGGTTGGATGGCACTGAGGTCATTTCCGAGAATCTATTGCATTGTGAGCCTCAAGGCAGCAGGTTTTTTTTTTTTTTTGCGGAAGAGTTAGGCGTTAGTCTACCTCTGCGTTGGGAAATAGGTCGCCCATTTCCATGGCCCCTTTATGATCAGCAACGAGTTGTCTTCTCACCAAGCTGGAAGCTCATGGCTTACAGATACCTGTTCCCGTTCCGACATCAAGAATACGATGAGTTTTTGCCTCGTCGATAGGTGCTGAGAACAGTCTATTCCCAGTTGTCTTCACAAGTAAAGTGTGGCACATGTCGAGCCGGTCCATTTCATCCTAATGGTATGTGTAAGCGCTGTTGTCCCAGGGGATTTAAGATGGCAAAGAAAAGCTGCGGACCTCATCGTTAGGAAAGTTATAGGCTAAGTGAACTCATTAGAACGAAATCAAGATAATGGAACTATGATATAGCATCGGCAAAAACTCACTGCCAGCTCGGAAAGCGTGGTATCGCCGGCCGTACTCAGTTGGGTAGTCAAGAACGGACGATGACAGCGATGCAGTATATGTGGAACTAAATGGTTAGAAAGCTCGGCCTCGAAGAGATGTTCGGCTTGAGTATTCCAAGCATACATTCTATCGTCTATCGTCGACCCCTCGTCCTGTAGAAATAGTTAGACTAAGAGGTGAAATGGAAAAGCGGTAAGGCAGCGGTAGAATAAGAACGTACCCCGGTACCATCATCCACTGCAATCGAAGCCTCAGGGGAATCAGCCGCGGGTGGAGGGGACTGGATTGCGGCAGCTCCAGCTACAGTCTCTGTGTCTGCTGGTGTGGTGGGAAATGGAGGTTTTGGCGATGCTGAAGCTCCAGAAGGTGGGGGCGGCAGGCTCGTCGGCGCTGTTGGAGTTGTGTCGGCCATCGTGTTAGAGGGATTGAAGTTTTTACAACTGAATTGAAAAGAACGAAACTCGTTGAAAATGATGAGACTTTTAAGAAACAACCTCGGAAGCCACACCAGGAGCTGCGTGCTTTTGTAGGATATTCGGATATGGGTAAAACCCCTCAGCTTGGCGACCGCTTCTCATTGCTGTCTGTTGGTTGGACTCGGCTACATATTCTTATGCGGCGTGGATGCACGTTGGCTGAATATTGCAGAAAACTGTTTTCTCCTTCCAGATTAGATCCCCGGCCGCTTGCTGCACGTTGGTAAGGATTAATCGCAGCCCAATGACGAAAACCGAAATCCTTTGTTCTAGCACTTTTTACAAAGCAAGTTTCGCCGACTTCCAACTTATTCAGCACATATATTTTCAATCGATGGTAGTCGGAAGCCAAGAGTTCTTGCTCGAGTGGCGATACCGCAGACTACAGACAGACGAAATTGAGAATGGAAATGTTTCATTGCCCAGAGAAATCTATCCGGCTGCAGGCTTAGAAAAAGAGCAAACATTGACATTAGCGCTATCACAACTGCGAACACAGCCAATAGTGTACGCAGAATCGAAAAATCCCCTGGATCTCCCTACATTCGGACCCAACGTCTTTGCAGGCATTAGTGGTTCAGAACCCTCCCAACCGTATACGAAAGGTCAGCCAACAATCCTAGCATGCGATATGCCCCGCACAACTGAAGCGGTATTCTATTCGTGCAAAAATCATTTGGGCTAATATGATGGCTCTGTCCAGAGGCATCGAGTGTTGCTCCAAATATCTGTGACGCTGTAAGCTCCTACCCAGACGCTGCCGCCGCACCGCAGTTGCATCCGCGCTGATTCTGGCCACAGTGGCGCTCGCAAAGCCGAATGTAAAAAAGTCAGCTGGAAGAACGGAGCTTGGCTATGAAACATACGCTCAAGGTTCCCAATGTTACATCCCAGAAGCTTACTTGCTCCCCATCTCGAAAGGTCTTGGAACCATGAGGTTATGTCCAGAACCACATGGACTAGACTCAGCTGTTCCTACCAAAAATGTATTTGTGAATCATTTTTGGCGGCGTTCTTTAGTGGCTGAAGAAACTTTTCAATTTAGTCAAGCCATGCGAGCGCGGAAACGAGCTGCAAGAGGTGAGCTGTAAACCCCTAGTCCCAGTGAGAAACGAGCAACATAAGGAAATACGTTATTCTCACTGGACTCGCCATTCAGATCATATTTTTGGCCTTTTTTTCATCGTCACGGTTGTGTTCATAAACGGATCCGCCGGGAGCCGACAAGCATGAGCATAAGCTTAACTGTTCCCTGGCGATATTGCCTTTTGTATGCTTTACGTCGTCTCGGCCCTCATTCTAGTAAGATCGGTTTGTAGGGTCGTTGAATACGCCATGGGGAATGATAGTGTGCTCATGAGTAACGAGCTTTAGATCTATGTTTTTGACACCTTGCTTATCTTTGTTTGTGTTGCAACATTCAGCATATGGCACCCAACCCGGGTTGTGTCTGCACACAGAAGAGCAAAGCCTCCGAGCAGGGTGGAATTGGAGGCTATCCTGTGATAGGTGTGCCCAGAAGAATATTTTCAAGAATAGCGAGGTAACTTGAACCTGACATTGCATGACATACATTAGGACGAACACTTCTAAAATGAAGAACCCCTAATTGAGCCGCAGTATCGTTTAGCTACGGGTCGCTGAACGAAACTCTTTGGGTTTTTTCAGTATAATAATTGTCTTCGATCACATTGACTGTAAGCCTCTCTAAGCATGGACTGGCTATGATAGTTAGATATCTGGCATTAATCCTTCTGTCACTCAAGAACCAAACTTGAAGTAACCAGTACTATCAATCCTAGTGCCATATCATTAGATACAGGCAGACTGTCGATTTTAGGTTAAATTTGGCGCACGTTGGTGACCGAAAAAGATGGGTTTAGTGATATCAGTCTCCCTTGATAAATTTCCTCGGCCAGACCGCCAGGTCAGACCAAGTCGTAGTGTCCAG